AAATAGTTTAATGTAAGTAATTCAAGCAGAAGAGCAAATCAGAATTATCGATTAAAAAATTATTCATTTACAAACTCTTTACTGTTGTTGCCAATAAGTCAATAGTAATTATTAACCATTATGCATAAATATATTACAAAAAAACACACTACACATTATTTAAGCGTGACGTAAAAATATATAGAATAAATTTATCTACATTTACTTCCTACCTTTTTCTGCTATCTTCACAGCAAACTGATCCGTGAATATCCGTAGTGTTTTTACATTTGCAACATTTGTTTTATTTATTCAGATAAATATATAAAGAAAATTAATCAAAAAATTCTCATTTTGCTTATTATATTAATTTTAATTTAATATTCAGGCTTGCCGTGTTGTAAAGCCAATTACATTTTGAAATGCGAAATATTGCAATTTTATCAAACAATTTCAAATAGCGAAATGAATCATCGCAATTATCATGAAATAAATGGAATGAAATTACTCACCGTTGCAGCATTCTTGCCATCATATCGTCTCGAGTTCATAAATTCACGATGCAAATAGAAACTGCGTTTAGTTGCAATCACGTACCACAGATGAATCCTCTTGGCAGTATCGTTGTTGATGTTTGAACGTTTGCGATTAATCATCTGTAATTGGTATAACATATAATTAGTCATTCAAATTATATAAATTTATTTTAATAAAAAGAAAAACAAAATTATTTTTTATTATTTTATATATACATTTTTCCAAAACTTGAAAAAAAAAAACAATTTTACTATTTAATTTACAAACTTTAAAAAAGTTTTATTATTTTTAGACATAATTAATTACACAAAAATTATATATAAGTTGAATTATATACGTATATAAATTATTATACATTATATACATTATTACATATTAAAACAAATGTTTTCATGTTTAATAAAATAGATCGTTAAGATTATTATAAGGATTATTTCAATAGACATCATAAATCTCGATATAATCGAAATTAAATCACATCATTCAATGGAGAAAATGCAGTTAATAATGCGTGCATCAATTAACGCCGTAATTATAGTTCGCGTCATCGCTTTGCTGTTCATTTTCGACTAATAACGTCGGATCATTTGATTTCGAATCGACACAAATGTACTTCACACATCTACTCGAATATTGCACGTCAATGGATAATTAGTATTACTTACCTTAACTGATTCACTCTGGCGGTCGACCGTTTATATTCACTGTACTCGACGTGTTTCGCGCGTGATGCGAATTACGCGAAAACGCGATCAATCGCGATTATGCTAATTAATGAGCTGCGACCGTTCTCTACATAGGAGACAAATGTCACGCACTTTCGATATCGCGCGATTCGCGGGCGAAAATCACTTTTGCCGAATCTCGAAACGAAGGAAGAATATGGCGCGCGTGCGCACAGTCGCTCGTGGCTGGCGAAACTCGCGATCGCGTGAAAACGTGATTAATCGTACTTGCCCAGGTCAATTAATATACTGCGGTGATACCCGGCATCGTACACGACGTTCTGGTTATCGATTCGTACAGAACGCGTAATTGTGCGATCGAGTAAAAAGCGCGAACGCGCAGAACGATTTTACAGCGTTCGTTACACGGCGCCGAGTCGCGTGAAGTGCTGCGCAAGTGCGGGTAGCAGTAGCGCGGCGCGGCATGGCACGCGCATGCGCAGATACCACGTGACTTCGCGCGGCGCGATGCGCGTGAGTTTGAAGTTTGAATATCTTGAACAAACGGTGCATATAATGTGAGTAATTATTATTATTTATCAGGGTTGGGTAAGTTAATGATTTTTTTAAACCAAGTTAAGTTAAAATTATATATAGTTGTTTAGGAAATTAAATTAGTTAAGTTAAAAGTTGTGTGAACAAAAAATTAACTCAGTTAAAGTTAAGTTAAGTTAATTAAATTAACTGAAGTTAAATCAAAAGTTAATTTTTAAAAACATTATTTATACTGAATTAGAATTTTGTTTGTCAATTCTTTTAAAATTTGTAATAACAAATAACGAAGAAATTTTGATTTTAGATATAGATATATATTTTTTGGTAATTACAATTGATGACAAATGAACATAAAAATTAATAATATGTTTATAACTTATAAAAAAAAACAATAATGGTAATTAGAGATAAAAAAAATTTAATTTAAAAAAAAGTTAATAAGGATAAGTTTAAGGTAAAAAATAACTAGTTGAAATTAAAAATGAATACATTTTAAATTAACTAAGCTGAGTTAAAAGTTATTAACGATGTGATTTGCAAGACTGACTTTAAAATTCGATAACTCTACGTTAAATGACTTTATTGATACATACAAGAATCATAGCAAATAAGCAATTTATGATTTATTTACAATGTTAGGCAATGTGTTAATTAAGTTGGACAATTTAATTAATACATTGCCTAGTGTTGTATATTTTAGATATAGATTCATACGTGATGTACAATAATTTCGAGCATGAACAACGTGGAATTATTTCAGTAAATTTGTTTGTCGTTAAACATTTATATTAATTAAATGACAAAGGTATATAATTAGTAAATTTTCTTAAAATACAATGTATGGCACAAACGTTGTAGTTCTTTTATTTAAATAAAAATAGAAATAAAAATATAGTGTGAATATATTATATATATTCAACTGTTATTTGTATTCTTCTCCCTATATTTTCCTTTTTAGTAATTTGTTTGAGCCAAACAGCGAATAAAATTAATTAAATCAAAGTTTATTTAATGTCCCTGAATTTAATATTTTGTGTGGATTATAAATAATGTGCATATATAGTTATTTTATAATACTTTAGAAATTAATCTAGAAGTGAATAAAAACAATTCGGAAAATTGATTAGAGAGAAAGAAAAATTTATGATAAAAATATTCAAAGCAATGCGTAATATATTGTATATAAATATGTATACATATGTAATAAAAATATGCATATATGTACAAAAATCTTATAGAAGCAGCATCATGCTGTATATGATCATGCTTCCTATTGTCTTTACGTTTGGCTGCGAAACGCCCATTCAACGGCTGTTTGTATGGATAAGTCCATAACGCTTACGCTTCCATGTTATTTCGGTAAATACTACCCATGGCGTCCCATTGTTTGGAGCGTAGAATATTTATGTAAAATAAGCTGTTATCAAGAGAGCAAAGCATACTCTTACATAAAGATAGACGCAATATATTACATTATCTTATATCGTGTCTCCTTTAACATTATGATTTTATCGATTACATATATGAACGTTATATTACGATGCGTTAAATGTAGTCTGGCTAGAGTGTCTATAAATTTAAATCTTTCTTTCTTAAAATAAGAAAAAGGAAAAATTATTACGTTCGTATTTTTATGTTAAACTGTAGGAGAAAATGATATTGTATATATTAAATAATAATTATATTAAAAATTGATAAATAATTATTAAAATGAATATATTTTCTTAATAGTTATTACAATTTTGTTGCAGTAAAAATATGTATATTTTTTTAATTATCAGCTGCAAATTATATCGGTTTCATCCGTTTTTAGCTCATCAAACAGTTCACTATTTAAGTCTCTGGTCTCTTGAAGATGTTTACTTAGGTAAAACTTATTGGTAAGCGGATTAAAAAAATTCTTGATGGAATTTCTGACCATATTTATATTATTTTTAGAGAGAGATTTCTATTATTTTCAAGACTATCTACAGATTAAAATACAAATAAAAATACTGCTATTATATTCAAGATTGAATTTTATGAAATTATATTGCAACAAAAACCGGAAAATAAAAGAATGAAAATCAAATATATATATTAAGTTTTATAAAATCTTTATTATTATTTTCTTACAAATCATACGTTTCGATTTTTCCGAAGGCAAATTGAACTGTCATAAATAAAAGCTGTGTGCTAGAAATGACTCGTTTTGTCGTACATTTTATTACATTCTATTTTGAAGCTTTATAAATTGAAAATTAAATAATTCTAACAGATACAATAATTTATACACAACATTATCTGTCTCTTGAAATTTCAAAGTCCTTAATATATTTTCCGAAATATTATTTCGTCAAAATACAGACAAGAAAATTTTGCATTTTTATTCGAAAAATATTTACATAGCTATTTATATAAAATATAAATAAATTTTATATTTTTATATTTTTATATTTAATTTTTTATATTAATTAATATATAATTTTTTATATTTAACAAAATTTTATATTTTCAACAATTTATAAAATAAATAAATAAACTTGTCATTTATACCTATGTTGCATAAGAAATATTGCGATGATGAGAATTTAATTAAATTGATCGTGTTCAACAATTAATAGCAAAGAGCTAATAATTTTCCAAGTTTACTTTGAACGAGCCGAGTCGAGCCGAATGTTCCACTTATTGAGTCAGTTCGAGTTTCGCAAGAGTAGGTGGACCTAACACGCGATCGGTCCCGAATCGGCCGGCTGATGCCGGCTGCGAGTAGTAGGAAGAGAGGGACGCCGTGTAACAGTCGGGGCCCTTGCGGCCCCTCTAGTCATTTGAGAGGGGAGAACAGGGGGCAAAGGCACATTCCAAGGCAGAACGGCTGCCAGTGAAGGTGGAAGACTCCAACAGTCTCTCACGATCTCCTGCTCCGCGTCTCTTCTCTTGTGAGCCATAACCACCGCGATATAACGAACGTGCAAATCGCATCGAGAATTCAGAGTCCCGTTGAAGTTGCCGGAGAGATTCGTAACTTTATTTCCTCGCTTTGTTCACCACATTTCTGGAGTGGCGATAGTTTCTGGTGCGCAGTGAAAACCAATCGTGAACATTTCATCGATCAAAATTGGGAGGAGAATTCTCTGCAATTCTCTCGGGTGTTTTATTACGTTATTATCATGATATCGCGATACATGTTGCGAACAACATCTGCGTTTACAACCATCTTGATTTAAGTCCTCTCCAAGAATTCGCCGTAAGGATTTTTATTCAATAGAACTGCAAGATTTAATAGGTAACTTTGTATGCGTCAAATCGTTCAAATAGAAAGTGTTTAACTTTTTTCAACTTTCCTTTGTGACGTATGGCATCGGCAATCCATGATTTATTGCGTCAACGCCTGATCTTGTCGGTTAAGGTTTCGTTGTGGACTTTGGAAGAATAAGCTCGACGACCAATTGCCATCTTATCATTATCGAGAAACTCTCGAGAAATTTGCCATCTGTTCCATTGGTTCGCTCTCCCTCGCGCACTTTGTCTGAGCCCTTAAACGTCGCAACCTCGTTCTGGCATCCTGTCGATTATTAACAACCAGTGAGAAAAACAAGCCGGGGGCATCCCGCAAAAATGCGCCGCTTCGAGGCCGCAGAAAGTCACTCCCGAGAAATAATGAGAAATGAGGCTCGTTTCATCATCGTACAATACATCGAATGCCAGCTCGTCGAGCACGCGGAAGACGCGACGCCGTCAAACTGCAGTAGTGGTTAACAGGATTCAACGCCAGAAAGCAATTTGCAGGTGAGCCCGGTCGTTATGGATCCATTCGATCGTCCTCGCTATAGATTAAGAGGCAGTTTACTATAACGCGAACTCGCGCAATTCTACGATTTCGCAACGCGCGTGCGAAACGCGAGGCTCCATGAAAAGGTCGCCGCAGTTCTTCTCACGGTGTTACAACCGCGCTACGGAAGAGCGACCTGGTAAGCTTCTTAAGTTCCAAGATTATTGTTTGTGTAAGAAAAAAAAAACAGGGATTTTTAATTTAACAAAATATTTATATATGTTTCGCTCATTAATACGTTGCATAATATTTAATGATGAGTATATCTCGTATATAGAATTATAATGTTTCCAGACTTTTTTGACACTATTTTTGAAATCAAATTTTACCTTTAATTGTGCGAAAATATGAGGGGTTCTCACGATTTTGTCTCCGAACCAGCGTCTTGTTCGAAATTAAATCCACGTGTCGCGAAGATATTTCCATTCTTGCCGAGCACCGCGGGATCGTCGAACGACAGAAAAAGCTAGCACATGCCACCGACATCGAACTTGACCGTGGCCTTCGGAGTCTTTGCGCAGGTATAACGAGATACGAGGAATGTGAGCGGCCGGGAGTCACTGGTCGTACTTACGAAGACTACTTCTGGACTGGTTATGGCAGCTAGATGCCCGGTATCTCGAAGCATGATCGGTTTAGCGAGACCAAAGTCTCGTCATTTTCGGAAGTTGCTTTTTACATTGCAAGACGGCGCGCGCAAAGTGAAATCAATCCAGGGATTTCGCATGATAATAATAAACCGCATCCACCTGAAACCAAATAAAAAATTTTCAGACTAAATCAATTATGATAAGTTACTAAATATTACGAGACCATGTAAAACGAGCAATAAAAAATTATTTTAAAACTTGGAAAAATTTTAATTTAAAAAACTAATTACAATATAAACTCTAATATTTTTAATTTTAAACGTTTCGAATTATACTTAGTCTTCTTTAGTGCGCAATAAAACAATAATAATAAATAAAAATTTAATAAAAAGTCGCAATACAAAGTCAAAATAAATTAGATAATTATGTCAAAATTAAAAGGCGAAATACGTTAACAATAAATTGAAATTATTAAAAATAGTTTAACACGAAAAATTGCAATTAGAAGCAAAATCCGAATTAAAATAATTCATCCAGCTAATCAATAAATATTTTAAAATTATTATTAAAACCTCGGAGTGGCACTTAAATATTACTCCAAACCAATCACTCATCGTTAGTCGGCGAAAGGCTATCAGTCCGGTAATGATCGTGTCCATTCTCTCCAAGTTATTTAATATTTGTTATTATAAACTGAATTTAAAAAGGAATTTTATATTGTAAAATAGAAATCCACTTATGTATATGTAAAAATTAAAAATTAGTTACTTGTTGCTTACAATTGTTCTGAATAAATTGAGATGACAATGCCTCTAATTGTTGAACTTAGTACTTGACTGATGTCAAGTCATGTAAAAAGTTGAATAAATAGGTGTTAAGTAACATAAACATTTTAATAAGTCTAAAAATTCGCTATTTCTTCTAGAATGTCAAAATCAAAATTAATTATATATTTATTATATAAATAATAAGAATTAAGAATAAATAATAATTTATTATGTAAATAATAATATAAATAATAATAAATTTATTATATATGCCGACATTACATATTATAATTCTTATATAAAAAAATAGAAAGAAAAAAGATATAAATTGTTTAATTTTAAATAATATATATTTTTTCTGGTCGTTCGGAACTGACATAAGACTGTAGGTTTTATATATATCCGCGGAAAAACTATAAAGAGATGCATATCGCAGATACATATACACATATATATATATATATATATATATACGGAAAGATCACCATTCTGTGACAAAGAGATTGCGAAGGATGTAATATAATTCTTGCATTTAGAGAGAGAAAAAGGAAGATAAACCTAAATCATAATCTATTATCCCCGATTAGTAAACTTACTTTCACGATTGAAATCTTTTAACGAGATAAACGCATAATAAATCGCTTCGGCGCATTCTTGAAGTTTACAATGATCGATCATAAAACTTCTATTTCAAAGAGCTATAAGAAAGGGAGAAGGGAAAACTAGACTAAGATTCAGTCTTTTAGAAGATATTTATTCAAGTTCGCGGAAGGGCTCGTCGGAAAAGTTTTAATAACGAAGAATGATGACGATAAAGTTTTCGTATCAAGAACAGATACATATAATTCCAATTTTTGTATAATTTAAAGCTTTGCTAACGCTTCGCTTCATCAAAGTTGATCGTTAATTGGTTATCAATATTAGTATTAGTTATTGTTTCGTATTATTTTTATATCAGAATTAAGGATTTATTCCAATAATATAAATTAATAACTAAATACTTAACATACAACTTTTTAATTTCATTATTTTTTAACACATTTCCAAGAAATATTGTGTGTTAAAGATTTTCTACAAGAAAACTTTTTAATACAATATTTTTCTTAATGCACTTCTTCGCGCATTATATCGCGATATTACTTTAGAAATAGTTAAAGCATCGAAAATAACACTTGAAGTTACGGGAGACTAATTTCATATTTTTTTCCAACCGTATAATTTTTTTTCTATTTATTTTAGCGCATTAAACAATAAAAATAATCGATAGAATTCTTTGGAGAGTTACCAGAACTGTCAATTATCGAAAAAAATTTTAATCCTGCGGGAAAATTTTCGAATCAGCAATTTTTTTGGGAAATCGGCAATTTTATTGAGAGTTCTGATAGTTCCCCGAACAGTTCTATCGATTACTCTTATTGTTTAACGCGCTAAAATAAATAGAAGAAAAGTTATGCGGCCTCAAAGTTGGAAAAAAGTGTGAAGTTAGACTCCGTAACTTCAAGTGCTATTTTCAATGCTTTATTAAACAGCGAAACTATTTCTAAAGTTGATAGAGAACTCTAGAATTATAACTTAGGGGGGCTAACTTCACATACTCGACATATCCGCCTTCTAGATCTAGATCGATACGTCGAACGGTTTCCAACTGCGTGATCTTGTATTGCGATGAGAGGTTGTTCGTTTTGATGTCCTGCCTCGTTGCACTTGATAAATCGCTCCATATTACGAAACAGCAGGAGCCATCGCGAGCGACGTATAAAAAGTAAAAACGGAAATCCATCTAACGAGCATTTCTTTCACATCTTTTGTTATTTATTATATATGATCGCGACCGATATAATTTCCGTTACTTTTCTCTCGAGAGAAAATAAAATACTACAATCCATCATGTCATTTAATCTTCAGAATGTTTTTCTAATAAAAATATACAAGCTATTAGCTATATATATTGTAGATTGCAACGGAATTTGCTTTCAACTAATTAAATATGGAAAAAACATTAATTATTAAATAATGAAAATATGTATAAATAGATTCTTCCAGAAAATATACTACATCCTTGAGGAAGAGACTCATCTCATTATTAATTTAAACTCACGAATAATAATCTATAATAAAAATCCATGCTTTGCAAGTTTAATTTTTATACATATTACGTTATTTCAGATACTAAAATGTCCCAACCGGAATTGATCAACGATCTGGACGTGCCTGAGAATCCGCAGCATTCTTGTCAGTGCTCCACTATCGGCAACATGAAAGGCGCGTGGGCAGCACCAGGATCTCCAACAATCAAGATTTCCCGCGAAGTCTGGAGAGTTTACAGAGCGCTTTCGAGCCGATACGAAGGCTGGAGAGTCCTCATCAAGATAATTCACAGCAGATCAGTCTGGAGAACGCCAGAAACATCGATCTTCTAGAACGCCAAGCGAACATATCCCCAAATCCGAGATCCATGAACGGCCAGAGCTCCATATTATTGCTTCACGAGCACAATCTGTCTTGTAACTTGGACCTGTCGCGTAATTTGGCATTCGAGGCGGCTCGAAGGGTCCAGGAGACCTCGAGCCTGCAGGATAATCAGCACAGTTTGACCTCGAGTCCCAGTCCCTTGCTCGAGGCCGAGTCAAATCTGCTCGAGACGAGCAGTAAAGAGCTGGAGGATCACGGTGGCTTATCACCCCAGAAGCAAAGCTCCAAGGACAAGCTGAAGAACGTTCAACAGGTGTTAAATCCCTATCAGCATCATCACGAGCCGGTGGATCGCAGCGTTCACGGACACTTTCATGGCGACATACCGCGCACATTCACAAGCACACCGATCATTTTCTGAACACTCGAACCTCGACACGAGAGCCTGATGGGTTTTCAGCAACACCAGCGACAGCACACGCATCATCATCACGGTAACGCAAAGACCAACGTTTCTCATCATCATGGACCCGGCGCGCATCACGCGCACGCGCAAGGAATGACTGCACATCATCACGGAAATCTGGTGACTAGTCTCACCAGTCATATCCACGGAACAGCTGGTGCGTATCACCTTCTTCGTTATCATCATATTAACAGTGTGGTGCTTAGGTGATTTTAACATTAGCTAGATAAGGATAAGATAGAAATATGTAAATTCATCTTAGATAAGATAAAGATGATTTTGTTTGAATATAGATAAAAGATACCATTCTAGATAATTTCCTAAAAACAATAATTTTAAGACTGCTTATATAAATATATAGTTATAAAAAATTATTCTAGACGATTTGGTAAAGATAACACTTTTTTCATCTAAAATGCTGATATAGATAATACATATTTTTATTATTAATATCGTCAACGACCTAATTCTAAGTCACAGCTAACTTTCGCAAACAGCTCATATTTAACCCTGAATATCTTATTAATTATAATTAACACACAAAAAATTCCATGTGAGGATTAAAAGTCCTAACAACATACTCTATAACTTTATAACTTTAATTAATTATAACATAACTGTAATAAAAAATTTCTCGAACTTGTGACGTAATGGAGCAATTTGGAAACCGGATTCGTTCGTTCCGGTGTTTTAAAAAGATCATCTTTTGTTGAGCAGTATTAATTATCATGCTTGTAAAATAAATAGAATATCGCGTTATCGTTTCAGGTTCCAGTTCGATGAATCAAGCCAGCTCTGCCACCCTACCGGACATCATCATCCAACCTCAATACCAATCACGGCCACGATAAACCACGTAACTCGCCGCGCAGCCACCATCGCAGTCATCACTCGAATCCCACTTTTCCCGGGGATCATCACGGGGTTTCCAGCCCTCTGAGCGGCGCGTCGTCGAACTCGAGTATGATGAACCACGGCGGCTCGCCCACGATGCACCGGCACGTGGTGAACGTCAACAGCAGCTTGTCGACGACACCTTTGGCAGGCCACCATCGCGGCAGCTCTTCGGGCAGCCTGACCGGCCACTCCAGCGTGAACCATCATCACGTCAGCTCCGGTATATCGTGCGAGTCCTCGTCATCGAACGCCAACACCAGGACTCATAGCAGGCTGGACCACGTTCACGAGCATCATCACCACCTGCAACCGGTGCACTTGCTGCACGCGAGCCATCCCGACACCAGGCCGAGAGATCGGACGCCCTCGAGCTTGGATCATCACGGGCACCTTCATGGACACGTGCACAATCATGGGCATCCACACGGGCAGAACGACACCAAAAACGCGTCTCTTATAGGCGTCGACGCCATTCAGGTATGCAAATCTATACAATGAATTAGCATTTATTTCGCTCAGCTATTTATAGTTTTGTCGCATAATTATTGTATATACAGGTATTTTGCAATATAAAATATATGAAGCAGATGTAGTAATGAACTAATAAAATTTTAATCCCAAACAATTAAATGAAACAGAAGAATTACTTTGAGAAATTAATTAGATCTCGTACGATTGCACTTTCATAAATTTTCCACGCGCTTCTCGAGATGATGAGAATGACTTATGCCATCGTTCCGCCCAGCCGTTCGTATATATTCCTAGCCGCGTTTTTGCCGCCACATCTCAGAAAATACATGTTCGTGAATCGCCATATCTCTATCCGCGCACGCTTGAGTTACGTTCGCTGTGTCTCGGCCACGCGAGAAGCTATAAATCGTGTACTAAGCAACGGCTCTGCCCTTAGAGCTTATATCAGGAAATATTTTCAGCCATGGACCAAATGCAGCGCGCGCACAGATGATTTATGATCAGTGCCCGTTGCAGAAATGTTCGAATTTCGTCGCGAGTGCGACGAAATGTATTTCATCGGGCGTTCTTCGCCCGTAAGTGTTGATATCGAGGGGACATTGTCTGATTAACACTAAAATTCAGACAAATTATATATTTTATTCGATTACGACAATTGTGATTTTCAAGAGTTATATACTTGTTGAACAGGGTGGGGTAAATGACTTTTGACTTAGCTTAGTTAATTTAAAATGTATCAATTTTTAACTTCTAGTTATTTTTCATCTTAAACTTATTAACTTTTTTCTCAAGTTACATTTTTTATCTCTGAATACCATTATTGTTTTTTTATACGTGTATTATTTTTAAATTAAAGTATTATTAATTGTTATGTTCATTTGTCATCAATTGTAATTACGAAAAAATATATTTCTATATAAAAATCAAAAAATCTTCACAATTAAATTGTTGATCGCCAGTGATAAATTTTTTCACAAAAAATAAGATGCAATTTAATTCGACCAAAAACTGGCTATTCATTTATTAAAAATAAGTACACACTGTGTGTACTTATTTTTAATAAATAAATAGCCAGTTTTTGGTCGTATTAAATTGCATCTTATTTTTTATAAAAAAAAAAAAAAATTTCTTTGTTATTATATTTTTTAAAAGAATTAACAAACAAAATTCTAATTTAATATAAATAATATTTTTCAAAATTAACTTTTTATTTAACTTTAGTTAATTTAATCTTAACTTTAACTGAGTTAAAGTTAAATTTTTTGTTCATAAAACTTAACTAGATAAATTTTATAAGCAACTAATTTTAACTTAGTTTAAAAGAATGATTACTCAACCCTGTTGTCGATTAAGAAGAAAAGAATTTCTAAACCATATAACATTATTAACAATAACATTTTTATTCTTGAAATTAATTACAGCAATTTTATTACTATATACTGTAATTAATGATTCATTATCACAATCTGACATAATTCGATTTATGCAAATCGATTCGTGCAAATCACTATTTATTCTAAAAGAATAAAATTAAGAAACTTATAGATAATATTATCACTTATTAAACATCATCGATCAGGTGTAATAAAAGGGATTTTTCCGCCGAATACTTTCGTATTTACTATTTGATTAGACAATGCGAGAGCATTAAATCATTTGAATTCGAGTTAACATGAATACTCCCTTCGATATTTCAGGTTTCAGCCCCAACGAAGAACAAATGTCAATGCCACGCGGTGCAGCAACCCGGAGGAAACAACAGAGGAACGGAGGGCGAGAGTGATGAAGGCATTGAGGTGGCATCGAGAACACATCAACCTCCTGCCCTTCCTCCACGTCCACCACCGAGACCAACGAGACGTTACGAGAGGACTGCTGCCAGTCAATGTAAGTAATTTATTCCCCATGCGTGCATTATGAAATATTCAATTTTTATTAAGGTAATTATATGATTTGCACAGAAAAAATAGCCAAATATTTCTTTTGTTTGTTAATTCTTTAAAAAATATAATGACAAAGAAATTTTAATTTTTATATAGAAATATATTTTTTTGTAATTACAATTGATGACAAATGAACATAACAATTAATAATACTTTAATTTAAAAATAATTCTTATCTTGAAATTTATTTACGTACATTATACTTATTTATATATTTCTTATTTATATATATTTATATTTTATTATATACATTATATATATATTTTTTTTTATAGTTTTAAATATTGAGCATATTGTATTTTAATTTTATTATTGCGAGATTTTTGCGAATATTATAATATTTGCATACCGAGAATATATTTGATGGTTACATTAATAATACACGAAACAAAGGTATCTCTCCTGCGAATGCAATACTTTCCATCCTCGAGTTCCACGAATGAAATGAATAGTCGATTCGCGATATGAATGATGTTAGCATTCTGCTCCATATCGGTGACTTAATTTCCATTCGAGATTGAAATGTCAGACGGAGTCGTACCTACGGTTCTCTGGAAATTAGCTGAGTGATCTCTCGGGACAGGTGGTAGCTCCATCCGTGTGTTGGATTTGTTCTTCGCTCATTCCGACCGAACTATCAGCCGGATGAAGAGAGACTCGTCGTCTTATCAGTCGCGGACATCGCGTTATCGACGACTATCCACGGTTAGAGATTCCTACCCCGTTTGTATGTACGTGGAGGGTTGCATTCCCGCGGAATTTCAACCCTCGACCGCGACGGGTCGCTCGAATCATCCGGGGGAATATATCGACCAGTCGATGCTTGCAGCATCCGAGAGTAGGACCATCCCTTTCCGCCGAGGATCGCGAGCGACTTGCGAGCGGGCTGACACGACACGATAGCCATCGCGCTGAAATAAAACGTGCTTCTTTTCACCCTTCGCGCGCGCTCGACATCATTTTTCCGCGAGCTCTGTGAAGAAAGGGCCCGGAATCGCGTCCCATTTGGATCTCGTGGATTCGACGAACACCACGAAAGCCGCCACCTGTGGGACACATCACAACGTGTCCGTCACCGACGAGTGTGAATCCTCCCGAATACGCGATCGTCGATATATGAGAGTGGATTTTCACGTTCACGAGAGAAAATAGACGGCGAAGTCCGATATTGGGCAACAATTGAAGCTTGTCTATGGAAATATTGATCGATTTGAAGTAACGGGGATCGACGATAGTGATGACTCTCGATGACGATCATCGATGGTGAAAGTGGGTTGACCCAGTTGGAAATGCACGACGAACAGGTGACCTTGGCGAGCTTTCATGGTGACACGTGACCCGTGTAAAATATTACAGACATGTGCGGTTTAATGACAGCAGCGGGATATTTATTATGTCGAATAATGCTGCTGTAAATTGAGTCTCATTCATGCATTACATCAATCATTTTACATATCAAATGCAAATTTTCTTTCGATCTTTGTGCGATGAATAATGAAGGATACAATACATAATCCTGGCTTTATGTGTTTCAAAAAGTATGAGCTTATACGATCATCTGATCATTTATTATAGTCGTTTATACTTTATAGATTCTTTTTTTTATTATGATATACATTTTTAGTTATAAATGAGCGATGTTTAGAACAGTGATTCAAATAATAAATTATTTTCTCTAATATTTACGCATCAATTATATTTAAATTTCTGTTTTTATTTTCTTTGTAACTTTTATTATTCTGCCATTTATACTAAATTAAATTTTTTTAATCAATTTTCTGACAAGTTTTGAGTATTACAAATCTTATAACAAGAAAGAAAAAATGTAGACAATAAAATAATTTTTTTCGCAAAAATATAATAATGTGATGATTGTATTTACAAATAAACTGCACAAACAAAAATAAATTAATAGTTACATCAATATATATACATCAACTGATGCAATTTAAAAAATTGACATCTCGATCAATGTAAAACAAAAAAATCTTTGCAAAGTAATTACAATTGATAACGAGTATTGAATTTCGATGCAGAGAGTTCGTATATTGATACATTCACTCTTCAATTTTCGCGCTGTCTATTCGGGGAATCGATTGAACGAAATTGGATTTCTAGCCAATCTAACCAATATTGTCGTCCAAACTGTTCGATAGAAAGATTAATGCCAAAGGGGAATCGGCTGATTAATACAGAGAAAAATCATCGAGCGCCGCCACGTGTGATAACAAGTGACAAAAGTGCCGAAGAATGAAATTCCCGCGGAATTGTTGAGAACCTTGTCAGCGATGGATGGCTACCCAGTGCTCCAGATAGTGCGTTGTCGCCTCGGGTCGGAAATGGAGATGGACAGCCAGGGTTATCCCTTCCCGATGGCGGCACACTCGCACTCGCATTTGGCGCATCCGACGAATCACGCGCACTTCCCGAGGCCGCATTATCCGCATCCCTGTGGTACGAGAGAGACCCCTTTCGCTTATCAGCCTCCCCTTTTTGTGCTCCCTTTGTGCGCTCGTTATTAATAGAGACCGCGTCTTGAAGCAAGGTTAAAGGTTGCGACGCCTCGCTCCATTAATGTGCGCATCCTGCTGTATTTTTACCGCGTTTAATTTCAGATTGAAAATTGCTTCGGGAAAATTATTACGCAAATTCTCATCCGAAGTATAAAATAGGTGTCAAAAGGATCCTCTTAATTTAAGAGGAAAATTCTCTAAACAGATATTCTTATTAAATATTCTTAACGTGTAAGAATATCTACTTCGTGGACTGCTTTTTTATGTATTGTTTGAAGTTATTAATCGTGATGACAAAACTAGTCTTACAAATGGACATTTATTATTTATTTATTACATAGAGAGATATTTAAACATATAATTCTTGAATATTTTTTATGTACTGCATGATATAGTTAAATACACATTTTTTATATTATATATTATTTTTTAATATTAATTGATTATTAAACTTATAAATTTAAGTAATTTTTATTTTATTAATTTATTATATTTATTAATTGCAAAATTAAAGTTGCAAAAAAATTAAGAATACATTTTGAATTTAAGAAAACAATTGTTTTCAGTGCACCAATGTTAAAAAGAAGACCAAGTTTATTTCTTGATTGATTTATAGAAATTGTAGAATTTCGAAAATCCGTGTTGTTACAGAATACTCCAACTCTATCTACTATATTTCTTTAGACAAACATTGCATCGTGAATTCTGTATCCTGAGACCGATCTATATTACTAGATCAAATATTATCACGGGAAAAATTGTTCTCGGTATATTGACTATCCATACGTCACTCATGAAATATTCTTAGCTGCGCGCGCTTCGAAATAGATTGCTCCAATCTCGTGAGAATGTCGCGAGATCAGAATGTTGCATGTTTGTACGACGTGGATTTATGTAGGTAATAAATAGAGCTCCCTTTTTAATTACATCTCTATTTCGGCTGCGAGAAAGGTTTCGAATCATTTCTTATTTTTATCACGCATTAACGGAGGAACGAGATATTTCTTTCGTGGCATTTTCTTTTGAGACGAGTATTAAAATCATAAAACAAAAAGAAGAAGAAATGCTCGCGTAGGTATCCGATTCGTTCTGCGCCGATTCATTCGAATCGATACCTTTCTCGGCCGTAAACAACATCGCGCAGGTAGCGGAAAGTTCAAAAGCTGGACATGGTTACCTTTGAAATATAAAATGCAGGCCAGGTTTTCTAACCGTGAGTTTCACCAGGTGAAACGCGCGTATACGGTTCTCCCTCTCGTGAGGGACAACGATTTCTGATTATTGTCCTCGAAAAACGTGAATTCGTTCGTCGAGGGGAGAGACTGAATCGAAGGAGCAATTTTTCCTAAAGGATTTATTCGACTCCCCTAAGAATTTCTGCTCCGTAAACCTTGTATCCCGTCTTTGAACAGATTAAGATCAGAATACAGAGTTACGCTCGAGGTATTTCTTGAAAATATCTTTCAAAATTCCCATCTCGCACATTCTTCCCTGAAAGTATTTTCAATTTTGATCCGCGCAAGTCTCACCGCGGAATTTCACCCCGTATATTATTTCTTAATGAAAAAGAGCGAATATAAACGTTTGACAAAAATATCTATCTGGTTTCTATCGAATAAAATTTACGAGTCATTTTTTTCATATTAAAATTTCTCACTTTTTGCGGCATCGACAATATATACTCGATCAAAAAATTCGTTCCCCGGGAATCTCGGGAATATTAGCACACTGTCTTTAGAAACTGCGGAGTATATTGACGCTCGGGAATTCATTGAGACAACTTCCAATACAACACGGTCGGCGCACCGTATTCAATAGGGTGCTTTGACAATGGAAGTCGAACCCGGATGCCGTCAAACGGAGTAACGTAGCTACGTGGAAACGTTACAAAAGCAACGTCGTAAGCATTCCGCAACGCGTAGTAGCGATATAGAAACGGAAATATAATATGATGCTTTCTGAATTTCCACACACAACAATTGCGCGTTGAAAGGGATCGAAATTTTTATTTGTTCTCATATATCTTTGGAAGGAGAAATTAAATCGTCGCTTATTTGTACTGTGTGGCTGCATTTCAATCACTCCTTCTTTGTCTTTGCAAGATTTGTAGCGTTTTTAATTTATCTTGGTCTCCCTATCGTTTATTATCATTTCCCTTATAGCACAACAAGATTGCAGCAGCATTGTGGCAACATTTTATTGTAATATTACAACATTGCATCAACATTATGAAATGTTGCAGCAATGATAAAATGTCCGCTTTCAGAAACATTGTTCTACAACATTGCAGCAATAATGCAATAAAATATTTATGTAATATTACTATTGGATTATTGGAAATGTGCCAAATACATGATCGGACTGAATGGTCTGTACTTAAAATTTTTTGCGTGAATTTTATTTTCATAATATTTCTGAAATGTTGCTGCAACGTTGTTTAAACTATATTACAAACTCTATTCTATATTGCTATGCAATGTACAATATTGCAATGTTGCAATGTTGTTGCAATATTGCTATGCAATGTACAATATTGCAATATTGCAATGTTGTTGCAATATTGCTGCAAACTTGTGTGCTGTATGGGTTACTTATATCTCGTAGGGTTATTTTTGACGTCGAAAACATACCGTTGCGTCCTTTGTAGAATCATCGATCCTATTCAGGAGAAATCCGGGCACGCCGGTAAGCCGTGCTGGATCCTCGGTTAGCGGGATAATGATTGTTCGCGTGAGAACCTAACAGCCGTAGTTCTGATCTGGTCACAATGAGAAACGTGCCTCGAGCGAGATTCCTCGAATATATTCGCAGCGACTGCGATTACCCACAAACTCACGTTGATATATTCAGTCTCGATAATGCATCGTCAAGACTGAAATTAATAGCATTCCTCGACACTGTCGGATTCGCGTCTCATTAGCTGTCAAAAATAATCCCCGTGCATATCGTATTTAATTTACATTCAAAATTCGAGTCTTTAAAAAGAAAGTATCAGAGAAAATTAGATGGGTTTATTTCGATTGCTTTTAAAAACAAATTGGAACGTTAAATTAAACGGAAAAACAATGCGCATGATTTAGAGAGTCGGTGCAATCTTTTTGCGTTTGCTGTATCAAGGTATTAGTATTCCGTGCGCCACGTGAATTTTTTCTCGAAGCAATTAGAATTTCAAGAGTCCGTTTTGCAGGTCACAGCGGCGAAGGTGGCTGTTGCAAGAAGTACGTTGTCCTCTGCTGCCTCTGCGGTGGGTTGAGCGCGGCGGTCGGCAGCCTCTTTTTGGCGGTGCACGCGGTCCTGTCAGCCCACACGGCCAGCTTAGCTCTCTTCGAGACCGTGCCGTCTTACATTCCTGGCATTATGGTGAGAGACAAGAATTGATCGATTATATTAGAGCCCGAACGCGTCTTAACGTGCGCAATATTCATAACTCATCGTCAATATGTCAAATTAATTTTTATACAGAATTATGAAGCTGTCGCGTGCATAAAAATCAGTTTTTGAATTTTTTACGAGATTTATCCGGATGATAACATGTATTTAATTGAATATGGAGATTTAATATAATGGCAAGAAAAATGAATCTGTTGTTTTAGTTGATCCTTATAATATATTCAATAATATAGAATATTCATAACTCATCATCAATATGTCATCGTAACTCATCATCAAATTAATTTTTATACAGAATTATTGAAGCTGTCACAAGCATGAAAATCAATTTTTAAATTTTTTTACGAGATTTATCCGGATGATAATATGTATTTAATTGAAAATGGAGATTTAATATAATGGCAAGAAAAATGAATTTGTTGTTTTAGTTGATCCTTATGGGTCTTTTCACAATGCTGTTGGCTAGGCGAAAGCACAGATACGGGCTTCTGGTAAGTCTGTAAACTTATCGGTCCCTCTCGGGAAACCGTCGTTGGTGCTGACAGTTCTGCTATTAAACTGGGTTTATAACTTTTCCAGATGAAAGTCTGCGGTTCCGTGGGAGTGGTGTGCGCTTTAGTGTGCGTCCTCGTCACCGTCACGACCACGGTAATTCACATGTCGCGATTGCAGAATCTTCGCGAATGCGTTTACACCGCGCGAGCGAGGTACATATTCCTTTCTTTAATAATCTTAGGTGAAATTATCATCAAAGAATTAAAATTACCTGATTATAAAAGATGTAATAATAGTAATAATTTTTCTTATTATTATAAAAGTTTGAGCTCTATTAAAATCACTTTTACAGACAGATTTTAATTTATTTTACTCGGACTAACATTTTTTTATTGTTTTTATTTATATTTATTTTTAATTTTTATATACAATTTTTAATTTAATATTAATTTTTAACAAATATTTTGTTTTCAATTGGTGCAATTGTCTTTCAATGTCATATTTTTACAGATTAAAATAACAGTAAAATAAATACATTAAAATATAAATAAGTAACATATATAAATTAAAATAAATTTAAAAAATAAAAAGTAAAAAAAAAAATTTTTTATATTTTTATAAAATTTTTACAAAATATCTAAAAGAGTTTGTTAACTGACGCGTGTACTTCGCGCCTTTACATTCTTAATTTTTAAAATTAATTTTATCCGGGATTCGAATTATACGAGCTTAAGGTATTGTTCCCGGAGCGCAAACAAACTTCTGGGATATTAATCTGAAAATTGTGCATTCGCAGATCGTGCACGTGTTACGGCGCGCCGCAAACTAAGGGAGATCCCGGAGTACTGTTCGAGGGAACTCCTCACTGCGATGCGGTGCACGGCGCGCTCTCGGACTGCCTGAGGGCTCTCTTCGGCGTCTCGGTCGCCGGTATTCTGGCCTGCATATTCTCCTGCATGCTGGTATACCAGTTGTTGAGTCACGAAAAGAAAAAGATGTACTGGGAACAGTTGGAGCTGCGATGCAGATCGCTGTACGGGCAAGGCGGCGCCGTGGGACCACCAGCCGGATCCTGCGGATGCTGCAACGATTGCGGAGGCGCGAGTCCGTGGTGGGCGCAGACACCGGGAAATCTGTATACGCCGAACCCCGACATGGCACCTTCCAGGTAGAAAAATAATAATGTAAAAAAAAAATTTTTTGACCGATATTTATTGTGACTAAGAAACTATTACATTACATTTTTCATTTTTCAATTTTTAGAAATGGCAATTCGCGCAGAATTCTTCTCTTTCAAAAAGAAGATTTTTTAAATAATTTTAATAGCTTTTAATTATGGTTCGACCTGTTTTTTTAATAAAAATATCTGACAAGGTTTTCTGAGGATTTATTAATAATGAACTTGGATTGTAATTACATTGCATAATAATTACGAGTATTTGATTAAAATAACAGAGCTCATGTATGAATGTTGTCAGAGTACGGAAGAATCCGGAATGCAATAAACCAATAGTAAAGCAATATATCCGCGCTCCTACATATGTGCATTGTATTCCGATAATTTGTTAATACATACCATTCATTAAAACAGCTATTGCAATCGGCTTTGGACATTTGCAGAAAAATTTTCCGAGTCTCTGGAATAAATTGCGATGGACCCTTTGAAATTTATTTTGCCCACCACGGCACGAACTGGCAATAAAATACACGGGCGTGAATGTCGATTGTGAAATACATGGTAGACTTTGTAATATTTCTCTCTGTAACATTGCATTCAATGAGATACTGTATCTAGTATCAATTCCGAGAACGCAAAAGAAAAGAGATAAAAGGAATTATGTTTGTATTGCGCACACGATTCAAGTCAGTTCACAAACGGTCAAAGCTTATGTTAAAGAATGCTGTTCTATCATAGTAGACACGATCGATAAAACGATTACCTCAATATACAATATGTTTGATAACATAGAAAAAGCGCACAGAGAAGCTTCTCAAAGAAATCTTTAAAAAAAATATTGGAAAATATATTGTATAAAGGAAAATATACTTCATTTTTATTTTGACGATTAATAAGTTGGGAAGAAATATAAAAAGAGATATTAGATGATATTATATTTTATAAAATAATTATTTACTGTAAATTTATCCAATTGACGATAATGAAAAGTTGTAATGGAACTATTACATATATAATTATAAACGTATTAATAAAAAACTTAAAAAAAAATATAATAATTAATTAAGACAAGAAATACTTTTAAAAATCTATATTTTTGGCACTAATATAAATATAAATAAATTTTTAGAAGATGGCGATTACCCTGGTCTAGATCGAGAGGTCCAGCACCGAGTCCAGATTCGAACTATGGCTTTCACACACAAGCACGATCAGCGGAAACTAACGTGGAAGGCGGAACTGGCCCGTACAGTGTTCTTAATTCGCAATCGAGTGGTCCTTATTCCGTTTTAAACACTCAAACTGTTCCTTACACCCCGAGTACTGCCTCTTACAGCGTTCTGGAAACGCCAGTTCCATTGTGGGGACCACCGCCTCCTTACAGCGATCCCAACAGTCCTGCTAGAAGGCCACAAATGACCGAATCGAGAGCCAGAATTGCCAAGAGGATGGATAACTTTGAAAATAACGAAGGTAAAATTGTGCTGCAACATTTTATTGCAATATTACAACATTGCATAAACATTGTGAAATGTTGCAGCAGCAAGGTTGCAGCAACGGTAAAATGTCCGCTTTCAGAAATATTGTTCTATAACATTGCAGCAATAATGCAATAAAATATATATGTAATATTACTATTAGATTATGGAAATTGCCAAATACATGATCGGGCTGAATGTTCTGTACCTAATATTTTTAGGTGAATTTTATTTTCATAATATTTCTGAAATGTTGCTGCAACGTTGTTTAAACCATATTGCAAATTCATGCCTGTATAATATTTCTGTAATATTGCTATGCAATGTTGTTGCAATATGCTAAATTATTTTTTGCAATAAAAATATTCTAATAAAATCTTTTCAAATATTAATTCTCTATTTCTTCGGGAAATTTTCAGATCATAGACCGAGATCCGCGAAGCGACCCACCGACAATTACGAGAATGCAGAAGAGATTTCCAACAGCACGGACCCCGAAGGCGGAAATGAGGGAACCGTCAAAGGTAGGAGAATTAGAAAGCCATTGAAAGGAGTGGAAAACGGGGCATTTCAACAAGAAACGAATCCCGGCTCGAAACAGTCCGAGAGCGAACTGTATTTCGGAGACGTATCTTCATGCTGCGGACCTGAGAGTAGTTTTTATGATCTGGCTGTAGAGAAAGAAGGTATTGTTTTATTTATCTAGAATCAAGTGCAAAATTCTATCTTTTTATTTTTAGATATATAAATCTTTCGTTAATTATTATATTTAAAATAAATTTTCAAACGCATTCGTAAAAGTATACATAGGGTATTTCATTTAATTTGTTACACATCATTTTTTACGAAAATAATATAAAGAAACTATTAAAAAAAAAAAATATATATAAATATATTTTAAATATTATCGAATTTTGTTTCAAGTAAAATGTAGATGTATTATTATTAAAAATGCTTCTAATAAAAGATATCCTGATTAATAAGATTTTTAAGAATGTATGTATATCAATTTTTGATCACTGTTTCATTTAAATTTTACAATACATTTAAAATTTTGTTGTCTGCATAGTATAAAAAGTTTTTCATTCAATAAAATTAAAAAAATATATATTCATATTCAATAATACTTCTAAAAAAGAAAATAAAACAAAGTTTAGTGAAACATCTGAACAAGTAATGCAAATTCCATAAAAATTCTTATTTACAAGAGAGAGAAAAAGAGAGAGAGAGAGAGAGAGAGAGAGAGAGAGAGCCACCGAAATCTTAAATATATTATTTCTAAATTATTCACTTCCAAAGGTTAAAGAGAAGACTCTTTTAAGGTGTTTTTTTGTCTTGATTTATAGGCGCGGAACGTTCGGAAGGTGCGGACTATCTGGCGAGCAGACTGGGCAAACGTCAGCTGTCAAAGAGATCCCGGCTGCCTCTTCCGCTGCCTGCGGACAACGGTGACATTCCTGTCGATAATTACGCAAACAGCGACGAGCCGAGGAACGCCAGAGGTCCATTTCTCGCCCCGACGCGCAATACGAGGTGATTCAGCAGGGTCGTTACTCTTATTACGCGTCGAAGGACGACGAGGAGTTGCAGGAGGGCCCGACGAATTCCGGTTACTTCCGGGAGGACGAGAACGAGAGAGCGCGTGAAAGAGATTACAGGGATTACAGAAACAGCCAGGAGGAGGAGGCACCCCAGTGCTGTTTGAGTGATTCAACAACCCTCGATTCGGGTTGGCAGAGTGGAGAACAGCCTCAATCAGACGACAACGTGCGGCCGGTTAACGTGTGATCTTAGATAGACTCGTAAGATTTTAGTGACAAAGGACCATGAATTTTTTTCGAAAAAGTGAAAATAATTATAGATCGTAACGAAGAAAAAATGCGACAATAGATTCTGATCTGTGAATGCGTAACTTAGATCGATCGTAAGTCTTGTGTTGATAGAGAAGTTAGGGACAATAGAGTATGAGTCGGATGACAGTTCGCTTTAAAAAAAAAAATGAAATGTAGCTAAGTTGTTAAGTTAACGCTGAAGTAATCAATGAAGTGTGAAATTAAATAATCTGGAAATGCAAGTCGCGCCGATTTTTCTTTCGAAACAGACTGTGTTGCTAATGAAACTAGTTTAAAGAAAACAACGTTTCATACCTCTTAAATACTTTAAGTAGTTGTGACATTTATGCGACATAATGAGTTCTTTTAAGACTCTTATGCATAAATAATAGTTATATTTAATAGTTATTCATTTCGTCTCTTTGACAGACATTGCATTCTATATCTACATCATTTACATGAACTGATTTACGACTCGTCATTATGTCATAGAAAATATATAATAAAAAAAGAGAGAAAGAGAGAAAGAGAGACTTTGAAATAAGATACAGAGTGATATAAACTACGATAACATCAAATAAGTAAATCTTGATTTTGATGAGATTACTGCCATTATGAATCGCCATTAATTCTCTTCGTAATAAGCATGTCGGTTAATTGTAAGCTATATACACGTACATATTTAATTAAAGAGTACACGTAAATATGAATAATAAAATGCAAAGTGATGAGAACAAACAATTTAGGCGCATAAAAACTCCTCGTGTTCAACATAGAGTAGTATGCATAAACAATTGTAATTAATAAAGCAGCTTGAACGATCGTATTGAAATACGAACAACTGCCGGGTAAAAATGTTAATCGCATAAGAAGAAAATATTCGTGCCAAAATCTGTGTATTTTTGCATATTAAGCGATGTCGCTCGTGTTAAACATAGTAATGAATACTAATGAGTGTTAAATATACTCAAGAAATTATCTATAATATGAGGAAGAACATATATATAAAGAGATTAAATGAAAGAAAATGAAGAAAAGATAATACTAGTTTCTTAGCCGAATTATTTCTTGAAAATGTATCCATAAATGCGAGCAGATGTTTTATTTTATTAGAAAAATATCCACTTCTTTCATCGGATATATTCATTCATTTTGTGTTATTTATTGCATTTGACTTGTAGTAGCGATAAATATATTTTTATTTGAATTATATATATATATATATATATATATATATATATATTTGTTGCGTATTATACAGAGAAGTTAAAATTGCCGATTAAATCGGCAATGGTTCTATGTTAAATACGCGATATAAACCATGTACAAAAACGTGCTTTACTCTTGCCAATTGGATGTTATAGCTATACATAACTTGCCAGACTATTCTCTAATCAATGATCAAACACTATGTTTATAATTATAAGAAAATATGTATATTTAATAAGAGTTTAATTTTTTTATTTTATCGTCATTCGTAATTTTAATTTATTTCTTCGCGGACACTCGCTTTCGGAAATTACAATTCAGATGGACCAAGGACAATATAGAGAGATCAATCGAATTAATTAAGACACTCGTCGGTTGTCTATTTTCGTTATAGATCGCTCGAGAGACGTAAACGTGTATAAATAAAAAATACGTATTTTATCATCCGGTAAAAGTTACATTGTAGCGCGCGGTAGCTTAAAGCCGTTTAATAAGTGAATGAAAAGTGTACCTTAAGAGCAAGCAGCAGAGTCATAGCAAGCCTGACGTGTTAAACGTCGAATAATGTACTTGACAATGATTAAGAATAAAGGATGATTTTGCGAAGAGGACTACATACGAAATATTACGAACCTATAAGTTTACCTATCCTTAATCAAGATTTATTCTTTATATATGTGATAATTGTAATCAATACGAAAATGCATCTCCTATTGCATAATAATAAAATGCGTTAAATATAATAGAAAATAATAATGTTTACCTTATACACTTTTTTGTTTACTTTTTTACATACTACGCTAGAACTATTTCATAAAAGGCAGACCAATCGTAATATTAATGCTCGATTGTGATTGATCGATTTGTTTTTTACGTTCGCATTTTTTACCCGCTTTAGTTACACAAATCTTACGTAGAAAAGAAATACTTGATTCACATTAAAAATAAATTATAAAAAGAAAAATTCTTCAAGATTTCCTGAAATTATCATTGCGGTAATTTAAAAATCAGCTTAGAATAAGGATTATATTTTTTCAAACTTTCAAAAATTATTCCACAATATTTTGTAAATTATTCAATGGCGATTGAACATTTTTTTCCAAATTGTTCGCAATTATATGAGATTATTTAACAATTAAAAAAAACTTGAAAAAAATTACGTCGTTTGTCCCCAACTGTTTATTTAACTGCAATTTCCGGACAACCGAGACTCTCCAATTCCCAATTGTGGATAAGAAAACTTGAGTTTCAAGTTTGCCAACAAAAATAACAAGACACGTGAGAAGGCACTTCTCGAAAATTCTCTTATTGGAATTATGGGTCAGTCTATCGCATGAGTCGATAATATATAGTTTGTAAGAACCCAGTTATCATTCTTCAGGACATTAGTTTTTTTTTAAATAGAGAATATGAAAATGTATTTATATAGATATACATGGAGATAATAGAGATACATGGAAAGAAAAAAAGACATTTTATTTTTAAAACAATATATTTTTCATAGGTCTGGGGTTTTATAAATCTGTGACCAAGAATTGTAAAATATTCTTTGGAATTACTTTAAAAGTATTAAAAGTAAAAAATATTTAGAAAAATAATATGTATATACAATATACGTATTATTTGCCTTAATATTGCATACAATAAACATATATGTATATTATATTCAGTATATATATGTACATATTTATATTTAATAAATAGATAATGCGTTTTAAAAAAAAGGTGGATTCCAAATTATAAAGACAGTTTAGTTTCGATCACCATTGATACATCACATTATTTTCCACTGTCAGTCTTTTGTTGCATCAAAAAATTTTGTTTCAAAGCTAGGTATTTAATTTTAGTTAGATTTCTTCATTTTTTATTTCATACTATAGCTCTGTGTGACGTTTCGTAACGTTTTTGAATAATTTAATTTTGTTTTCCCAATCCCATCGTTGTTTTCCTTTTTTAAATGACTCCATTAGAAATATATAATTAATATTTAAATAATCATACTTATTAGAAAATCTCACTGGAGTCCATTTAAAAAGAGTAGTAAACGTTGGATTTCTGCAATAAATTAGTGATTGATTATTATTACGTGATTGTACGATGTCGCAATTAAGATTCGTAAAAATGTCAAGTCTATACCCCATTTTAGCAAAAGATGTCCACATCTCCGTTATGTATTCCATCATTTTATAATCCAGCGCATGATATATAAATGGTACAAAATCGAAATATTTTCCTATATAAGGATAAAATAAATAACCCAGTTCCTCGAAGTGAGTTGTACCTACAAAATATTGTTATGTAAATTAATCTCAAAAGCTGATAATTTTTCCAATACATTACAAGTGCGATTTAAAATATATATTTAAATAATCTCTAAATTTTTCTTAATCAAATTTCTCTAGAACTACGTGTGTCTTCTTACAATCATATCTAGAAATTTTCACGTTTACTTCTTTTCTAACTCTAATATTATTTTGATTCTTACATAGTTCTACTTTAATTAACAACGCAATACCTGGAAACGGATTTTTGAAAAATATTTTCTTCATAGGAGAGTTTTCACTTTCGTACGAAAATTTGTACATGTAGGTCAAGTTAACAAATGGAGAATTCATTTGAAAATCAATTGCTTGTATAACGCCTCTATGGATATGCTGATCGCCGATAAAATTAGAAAGATCCATTAAAGTATTTTCTGACACTGCTCTATTACCAAAATACAATTCTCGTAATTTTGGTACCGTGATCCCTAATTGTGTTAATTGATGCAAAACTCTAGGATATATGGCTTTTTTGAAATCAGAATTAATTTGGTTTAAAGTGTTGTTGTTTACCTCTGAAACAATTTTAATAACAATTTTAATTTTAATTTTATTTAATTATATTTATTTTAATTTTAATTTTATTTTTTAATCTTTATAACAATTTTTCATTAATAAACAATTAATAATTTATTGTACATTTAAAAGTTACATATTGATGAAATCCTGAAACTTATTAATATTGATTAAATTTATTGTAACATTATGTAAACACATCAAAATATTTTCAAAATATTGCCGATTTTCTATGAAAATTTTACATGAAACAGTTATTCATGATATACTAATAATAATGTGTAATAATGAAAAGCAAAAGCAAATATATATACTTACGGCCGAAAAAATTGGCATTCATGAAAAAATTGCCTTCCTGGTTATTAAATCCGAATATTATTGGTATTTTAACTCCATTGCGTAATAATTGCAATGGATCTTCTGATAAAAATGGATCTGATGACTCGGAATCTATGGTCGGCGTAAATCCAAGCAAATTATCTAAGCCATTCTGCAAGAACATAATATTATCAATGTAAACAAAATAATGTATTGTAATTCATCGAACATTATTATGACAATAATCGTAATAAAGCGTTGCGATATTTACGTATGCTGCAAGGATCTCCAATATTATTTCTATCAATCTACTTCCGTCTACGCATTTCAAAAAATTTAAGGCATCTTTCAGATTTGAAGTCGTTATACCAAGTTTCTGAGCTAAAAACAGACCGCTATTGATAGCATCCTTTCGTTCAGTGAAAGCCCAAGGAACAGTCGCGACGCCACTTTGACATATTGCTTTATGAAATAAACCTGTTAAGTACACATTCGCACAATATAATTAGCACTCAAAGAAGTTTTATATGATTTTATCTTGAAATCTTTGCTTTTTACTTCTTCGACTTAATATAACACATAAAATTAATCAGTGTTCTTTTAATTTTCAATTATCAATTTAGAATCGATTTTTCTTTACTGAAAGATGTTATCAGTTATCTTCCAAGTAATTTTCTACAACGTTTTAAAACGTCGATATTAAGTAGTTCGCAAACGAGATTTAAGTTAAAATAAAAAAAATCTTGTAATTAAAAGTTTTAATATAGCAAAGCTATAAAATATTTTTTATTTTTTTATATAAAATGTGTTCTTAAATATTCTTAATATGTATATTAATATTAACTGCCTTTTTGATTCGTACCTTCAGCTAACGGTGAAATAGTCAGATAGTGAACCATCACTGCACCCGCACTTTCACCAAAAATTGTGATTTTATTGGGATCTCCACCGAATTGCGATATATGTTTTCGAACCCATCTTAACGCCATAACTACATCTTTTAAGCCCTGATTTCCCGGCGCCTTGTTCGTATATAAATTGAGAAAACCTAAAAAGATAATAAAAGAAACATGTTGTAAATACGTTTATAGTAAAGTTTATTTATATAATCAAGTCTTAAATATTCGCATTCGCTAGTAATTAAAATAAGAAATATTAAATAGTCGACCAAACTAGCACGAATTATAATTTATTAAGTTTCACGACGTTTCCACCATGTGGTTGAATTATTTTTAACGTTTTTTACTTGATAAGAATCACAACCACATGGTCGAAACGTAGTAAAACTTAATAAATTTTAATTTGTGTTAGTTTGGCCGACGATTTAATATTCCTCATTTATTTATGTAAGTTATATAAATATATGAAAATTTTGACAATTCAATAAATTGATTCCACGAGATTTTTTAATTACTTATAATTTGACAACTGTTTAAAAAAAAACAAAATTTATGAAAATTTATGAAACGTTAAAATTTATGGAAACGTTATAAGTTATAAGAATTGGTTATTGTTTTGAAATTGGTTTTAAAAAAAATTATATACAAGTATACACGTAAATTATTCGAATTGTGGAAAGTAGAACGCGTGTGTATGTGTTTACTTAAAAAGAAATAGATCATCGAACGAAAGTAACATAAAATGATGTCGAGCTAATTAATACTTTACCTAGAGCACCTAATCTGTAATTCAGGGTAACGAGTACCACATCCTTTCGCATGAAATAATCGGGACCGTAAAAAGTCCAGGTACCGTCTCCCGCAAAAAAGCCTCCACCATGTATCCACACCATTACAGCTCGTCTCTCTGAAGGGTGTAAGTTGTTGGTATACACATTCAAATAGAGACAGTCTTCGTTGCCTATGATTTGGTAAGTGAAAAGATCCACCTGAAGACAGATATTTCCGTAAAACGCAGCGTCTCTTTCGCCAGACCATTTTTCTGGTAGTGCTTGCGGATCCTGCAATTAGTGTTTGTTATCCAAATAAAATTTTATAGATGATCAGTCAGATAAAATTTTGGCGCCATCTTATTTTGATATAAATCATAAAAAATATGTATTATCTATATCTGCATCTTAGATATAAAAAAAGGTTATCGTTACTAAATTATTCAGATTATTTGATTTAGGGTCATAGTATAAAATAATTAGTTACTGGAACTTGAGCAATAAGTGATAAACATTTAGAAATAAAAGTATGAATATATTGTTATGCCTCATTTATAATTTACATTTCTTTTATAACTATGTCTACTTTAGCGATTTTAAAAATAATATTATCCAAAAGTTGTCTATATGAATCTCCATGTAATTTTATCTTTTATCTAGATATAAAAAATTTTTAAAAAATTTTTAAATTAAATTTTAAGTTACAATTTTTTTCGATAATCGGCAGTTCTGTTGGCAATTCTGACAGCCTCCTGAAAAGTTCTATAGATTACCCTTATTGTTTAATGTCAGAATAATTATTTGTCTAATATTTATTACACTTTGTTTAATTCAATTATCAAAGTACAAGGGTACATTTTTACTAATGCAATCGAGCACAATAATTTGTCATGCGAACTCGGGTGAAGCCTTCCGTAATTTCAAGTGCTATTTTCGATGCTTTAAACTGCAGAACTATTTCTAAATTCAATCGAGTCTCCTGTATAACTAGATTTTATTTCTAATTTTTTGTAAATTATTGTATTTTTCATTTTTTATAAAATTATCCAACAAACAGTTTGTATCACTTGTTAGAGTGAATATTTTAACAAAGATAGTAATATTTATAATCATTCTTTGTACTTACTTGAAATCTGAGATCACCCACTGGAGGTTTAGCATATGGTATTCCACGAAAAGCATTATAATATGAGCCATAAATGGTTTTCTCAATAATGCCGACTAATACCCCTTCAGACACATGTACTTTTACTTTGTTCGTCGATGCAACGGAAGCGGATGGCGCTGAAAGATGTATGCTCTGTGGTTAATTTATTACAAAACATAAGTATTTATATATAAACATATATCGAAATCCTCTTATCGTGATCCGAAAAATATACGCGATGTCAAAATAGAGATCGCATCTTGATAAATATAAAAATAAATAAATAATTTTTTTGTGTGCTACAAGGAAAGGACCTCTTTTATTAAATATATATACATTGTAACAGCAAAAAGACTACTTTAGTTTTAACAAATTGTTCGATATTGCAAACAAAATCTGTCTTGTCGCAGATATAAAATTTTTTTATTTAACAAAATTAATTTTTGTTATAAATTTTTTTTCTATTTGTATAATTATTAATAAATTTTATTACACCTTCTAACTTTATTGAAATTTTGTTATTTTATCTTTAGATAGATAATAAAAATATATATTATCTGTATTTTATATGAAAAATTTAAGATGAATTTACATATTTTCATCTCAGCTTTATTTAGCTTAATTTAAAATCATTTAAAATTACAACACTGATCATCTGGTAAATAAAAGTCTCACCTTGATGGGCCAAAACAAGTTGATAGGGTATTTGGAAAGTTAGAATGCATTTCAAAATAGAGATCAAACATAGCCTCTCGTTTAACATTTTTATCTCTATTCACGGATGGCAATTGTTACACAATATTTCGACTAGTAAAGGCTAGTGAAATCAACGATCTGTAATCATTTAAAATTGCAGAAGATACTTTTACCATAAAAAAAAAATAAAAAAAATGTTATAATATTGATATCTGCGAAGTGACGCAGAACGACGATACACAATATTTTAACTACATGATGTTGACCACTATCACTGGTTCATACACTGTTCACTCAATATCAGTTATTATTATTTTAATTGTGATATGAATACATATTTAATAAGTATATTTTTTAATGAAAAAAGCTTTTATAAAATTCTCATAATGTTATTTTGTCTTATGATTATGAGTTATCAATTTTACGATAATTTATAAAAAAAATTATCGGTGTATATATCTATATAGCAAAATAATAAAAATTTAAGACAATGAACAGATTTAAATATATTACATTTTTTAATATAAATAATTCAAACTGAATTTACTGTATATGTTGTTGATATCTTGTGGTTTTAATTGCATTACGAATAAGACAATGCGGATAGTGATGCGCAGTGACGTTTCAAAGAATTGAAAAGTAATGTTCACTATATAAATTTGCTGTTCGGCAACGACTGTCTGTTCGTTCCAGTAATTTAGATGGTACTGAAGGTGTGCGAGAGTCTCGAAACGGTTGCTAGTTCAATTGTATCATCATATTTACGTTTTTTTTCATGTACGTCTGTGTATTAGTGTGTGATTTTTTCGTCTTCGTGTTTATTATATTCTGTTTGCCTGAATGTGTTTATATGTGTATCTGCCCATATTACGGCTCGTGATCGTTTTAACCGATTAATTTAAAATCGATTAACTGATTTTAATTAAAAGAAACGATTAACACTCGATTAAACAATTAATTGATTAATCGCAGAAACTGGTTAATCATTAATCGAATAAACATATTTTCAATTACTTGTTATTTTTATTAGAATTTTATAATATGTAACTGTGTAGTCTACAAATAAAAGAAAGAAGTGTTAAATTAAGCTTCTATATTCAAACAAGTGCATCTATTGCTTCGTATATATACATATACATAAAGAAGTGTAAAAACTTTAATTTAATTTGGTTAAATATATTAAAAATAATAATTAATCATTCTAGAAGAAAAAAATATTTAAAATTAAATATATCAATTAATCAGAGAAATTGGATACAGTGATTCACATACGCATATGCATAAATATTTTGTTAAGTAGAACTTTACCGGGCTTTTTTTTATTAACAAATAAATTTTTTCTGTTGTAAATAATCTAAAAGACTGCAGCTATACTCGTATTTTTTGACATCAAACACAACTGCGATAAATTGTTAAACGAGTATTTAGGCGTCCAAGCAGAAATATCATGATAAACAGATTTTTCCGGATCTTCTTGTTTGATAGAACTATGATTTCCAAACGCGATATTGTTATTGTGACAGTTTTTTTAGCCAACAGCCTCGTTAGTCATTTTTAAATTTTAAACTGCTATAAGTTATAATCATTTAAGCGTGAAATTTAATGATTTGGAAATGAATGTCGCATCAATTTTTTTTCTCTCGAAATAGACTGTGTTGCTAATGAAACTAGTTTAAAAAAAACAACGTTTTATACCTCTTAAATACTATAGGTAGAAGTGACATTTATGCGACATAATGAGTTCTTTTAAGAGTCTCTTGCATAAATAATAGTTATATTTAATAGTAATTCATTTCGTCTTTTTGACAGACATTGCATTCTATATCTACATTACTTACATGACCTGATTGACGACTCGTCATCATGGCATAAAAAATATATGATAAAAAAAGAGAGAAAGAAAGAAACAAAGAATTCGATATAAGATACAGAGTGATATGAACTACGATAACATCAAATAACTAAATCTTGATTTCGATGAGATTACTGCATTATAAATTGCCATTAATTCTCTTTGTAATAAGCATGTCGGTTAATTGTAAGCTATATACACGTACATATTTAATTAAAGAGTACACGTAAATATAAATCATAAAATGCAAAATGATGAGAACAAACAATTTAGGCGCATAAAACGTCCTTGTGTTCAACGTAGAGCAGTATGCATTAATAATTGTAATTAATAAAGCAGCTTGAACGATCGTATTGAAATACGAACAACTGCCGGAAAAAAATGTTAATCGCATAAGAAAAAAATATTCGTGCCAAAATCTGTGTATTTTTGCATATTAAGCGATGTTGCTCGTGTTAAACATAATAATGAATAATAATGAGTGTTAAGTATACTCAAGAAATTATCTATAATATGAGGGAGAACATATAGAAAAAGATTGAATGATAAAAAATGAAGAAAAATTAATACTAGTTTCTTAGCCGAATTATTTCTTGAAAATGTATGTACAAAAGCGAGCAGACGTTTTATTTTATTAGAAAAATATTCACTTCTTTCATCAGATATATTCATTCTTTTGTGTTATTTATTGCACTTGACTTGTAGTAGTAATAGGTATAATTTTACTTAAATTCTTTATATATATATATTTGATGCGTATTATACAGAGAAGTTAAAATTGCCAATTAAATTGTTCTTTGTTGAATACGTGATATATACCATATACAAAAACGTGCTTTACTTTTGCCAATTGGATGTTATAGCTACATAATTGTTAGACTATTCTCTAATCAATGATCAAACACTATGTTTATAATTATAAGAAAATATGTTTATTTAATGAGAGTTTAATTTTTTCATTTTATCACCATTCGTAATTTTAATTTATTTCTTCGCGGACACTCGCTTTTGGAAATTACAATTCAGATGGACCCAGGACAATATAGAGAGATCAATCGAATTAATTAAGACACTCGTCGGTTGTCTATTTTCGTTATAGATCGCTCGAGAGACGTAAACGTGTATAAATAAAAAATACGTATTTTATCATCCGGTAAAAGTTACATTGTAGCGCGCGGTAGCTTAATGCCGTTTAATAAGTGAATGAAAAGTGTACCTTAAGAGCAAGCAGCAGAGTTATAGCAAGCCTGACGTGTTAAACGTCGAATAATGTACTTGACAATGATTAAGAATAAAGGATGATTTTGCGAAGAGGACTACATACGAAATATTACGAATCTATAAGTTTATCTATTCTTAATCAAGATTTATTCTTTATATATGTGATAATTGTAATCAATACGAAAATGCATCTCCTATTGCATAATAAGAGGATGCGTTAAAATAAAAGAAAATAATAATGTTTACCTTATACACTTTTTTATATAATTTTTTACATATTACGCTAGAAGTATTTAATAAAAAGCAGAACTGTCGTAATACATTAAAAATAAATTATAGAAATATAAATTTTCCAAGATTACCTGAGATTGTCATTGTTGTAATTTAAAAATCAACTTACAGTAAAGATTATATTATATTTTTTCTAACTTTCAAAAACTCTTCCACGAATTTTTGCAAATTATTCAATGGTGATTGATCGTTTCTTTCCTAATTGTTCGCAATTATATGAAATTAGCTAACAATTAAAAAAAACTTGAAAAACATTACGTCGTTTGTCCCTAACTGTTTATTTAACTGCAATTTCCGTATAACCGAGACTCTCCAATTCCCAATTGTGGATAAGAAAATTTGAGTTTCAAGTTCGCCAACAAAAATAACAAGACACGTGAGAAGGCACTTCTCGAAAATTTTCTTATTGGAATTATGAGTCAGTCTATCGCATGAGTCGATAATATATAGTTTTGTAAGAACCCAGTTATCATTCTTCAGGACATTAGTTTTTTTTTAAATAGAGAATGTGAAAATGTATTTATATAGATATACATGTAGATAATAGAGATACATGGAAAGAAAAAAAGACATTTTATTTTTAAAACAATATATTTTTCATACGTCTGGGGTTTTATAAATCTGTGACCAAGAATTGTAAAATATTCTTTGGTATTACTTTACAAGTATTAAAATAAAAATATTTAGAAAAATAATATGTATACAATATACGTATTATTTGTGATAATATTGCATACAATAAACATATATGTATATTATATTCAGTATATATATGTACATATTTATATTTAATGAATGGATAATGCGTTTAAAAAAAAGGAGGATTCCGAATTAAGAAAAACAGTTTAGCTTTGGTCACTTTTGATACATCACATTATTTTCCACTGTCAGTCTTGTGTTGCATCAAAAAAGTTTTTTCACTGCTATTTAATTTTAGTTAGATTTCTTCATATTTTATCTCATACTATATATCTGTGTTACGTTTGGATACCATATGCTTTCAATGTGTATTTCCAATCCCATCGTTCTTTTCCTTTCCTAAGAATTCTCATTGCAGGTTTAACATCAATATTTAAATAATTATACATAGTTCCAGTTTTTACTGGAATCCATATAAAATTAGCTGAAGACGTTGGATTTCTGCAATAAATGTGTAATTGGTTATTATTATGCGATTGTACGATGTTACAATAAAGATTCGTAAGAAATGTCAAGGCTAGGATACCCCGTTTTAGCAAAATCTGTCCACATCTCCGTTAAGTAATTCATTATTTTAAATGCTGGCGTATTATATGTATATGGCGCCACATTAAAATCTTTTCCTATATAAGGATAAAATAAATAACCCAGTTCCTCGAAGTGAAATACACCTACAAAATATTATTATGTAAATTAATCTCAAAAGTTGATAATTTTTCCAATACACATTACAAGTGCAATCTAAAATTTATATTTAAATATTCTCTAAATTTTTTTTAATCAAATTTCTCCAAAACTACGTGTGTCTTCTTACAATCATATCTAGAAATTTAAAGACATTTAATTTCACGTTCACTTCTTGTCTAACTCTAATATTAATTTGATTTTTACATAGTTCTACTTTAATTATCAACGCAATACCTGAAGGCAAGTCTTTAAAAAATATTTTCAACATAGAAGAAGTTTCACTTTGGTACGCAAATCTGTACAAGTAGGTCGACTCGTTAACAAATGGAGAACTCATTTGAAAATCAATTGCTTGTATAACGCCTCTATGGATATGCTGATCGCCAACAAAATTAGCAAGATCAATTATAGTTTTGGATGACACTTCATTATCTTCTTTTAAATACAATGCTCGTAATTCTGATACCGTAATCCCTAGTTGTCGTAATTCACTCAAAACTCTAGGATATATGGCTTGCTTGAAATCACAATTAATTCCCACCAATTTTTCGTAGGTTAACTCTGAAAACAATTTTAATTTTATTTTATTTAATTTTGGTTAATTTAATTTTAATATAATTTTTATATTTTAATTTTTATAACGATTTTTTATTTAGATATTTTAAATAAATATGTAACTCTATTACTTTGAAACAAAACGGTTTCATTAATAAATAATTAATAATTCTTTGTACATTTAAAAGTTACATATTGATGTAAAATCCTAAAACTTATTAATATTGATTAAATTTATTATAACATTGTGTGTACATCAAAATATTGCAGATCGCTTTTGTATAAAGATTATACATGAAACAGTTATTCATGATATAATAAGATTAATGTGTAATAATGAAAGCAAAATCAAATATATATACTTACGACCGAAAAATTTGGCATATAAGAAAAAATTGCCTTCCTGGCTATTATATCCGAACATTATTGGTATTTTAACTCCATTGCGTAATAATTGCAATGGATCTTCTGATAAAAATGGATCTGATGACTCGGAATCTATGGTCGGCGTAAATGCAAGCAAATTATCTAAGCCATTCTGCAAGAACATAATATTATCAATATGAAAAAATAATTTATTGTAATTCATCGAACATTATTATTTCAATAATCGTAATAAAGCGTTGCAATATTTACGTATGATTCAAGCATCTCCAACACTCCTATCAATCTACTTCCGTTTATGTCTTTCAGAAATTGCAAGGCGACTTTTGGATCTGAAGTCTTAATACCAAGTCTCTGAGCTAACATCAGACCGTTATAGATAGCATTGTTTCGTTCAGTGAAAGCCCAAGGAACTGTAGCAGCGCCACTTTGACATATTGCTTTATGAAATAAACCTGTTAAATGCACATTCGCACAATATAATTGGCACTCGAAGAAGTTTTATATGATTTTATCTTGAAATCTTTGCTTTTTACTTTTTCGACTCAATATAACATATAAAATTAATCAGCGTTTTTTTAATTTTCAATTATAATTTAGAATCGATTTTTCTTTACTGAAAGATGTTATCAGTTATCTTCCAAGTAATTTTCTACGACGTTTTAAAACGTTGATATTAAATAGTTTGCAATCGAGATTTAAGTTACAAAATAAAAAAAATCTTTTAATTAAAAATTTTGATATAGCAAAGCTATAATATATTTTTATTTTTATATATAAAATGTGTTCTTAAATATTTTTAATATGTATATTAATATTAATTGTCTTTTTGATTTGTACCTTCAGCTGACGGTGAAATAGTCAGATAGTGAACCATCACTGCACCCGCATTTTCACCAAAAATTGTGATTTTATTGGGATCTCCACCGAATTGCGATATATATTTTCGAACCCATCTTAACGCCATAACTACATCTTTTAAGCCCTGATTTCCCGTTGCCTTGTTCGTATATAAATTGAGAAAACCTAAAAAAATTATAAAAAAAACATGTTGTAAATACGTTTATAGTAAAGTTTATTTATATCAAGTTTTAAATATTCGCACACGCTAGTTAATAAAATAAGGAATATTAAATAGTCGGCCAAACTAGCACAAATTGAAGTTTATTAAATTTCACGACGTTTCGACCATGTGGTCGAATTATTTTTAACGTTTTTCACTTGATAAGAGTCACAACCAGTACATGGTCGAAACGTCGTGAAACTTAATAAATTTTAATTTGTGTTAGTTTGGTCGACTATTTTATATTCCTTTTTTATTTATATAAGTTATTTAAATATAAAAAAAATTTCAACGATTAAATAAATTGATTTTACAAGCTTGTTTAAATATTTATAATTCGACAACTAATTAAAAAAAAAAAAAAATTTATGAAAATTTATAAAACGTTAAAATTTATGAAAAAGTTATGTTATGAGAATTGGTTATTGTTTTGAAATTGGTATTTAAAAAATTATACATACACGTAAATTATTTGGATTGTGGAAAGTAGAATGCGTATGTATGTGTTTACTTAAAAAAATAAATCATCGAACGAAAGTAACATAAAATGATTTCGAGGTAATTATTACTTTACCTAAAGCACCTAATCTGTAATTCAGGGTAACGAGTACCACATCTTTTTGAATGATATAATCGGGACCGTAAAAAGACCAGGTGCTGTCTCCGACAATAAAGTTTCCACCATGTATCCACACCATCACAGAACTATTTTTTGGGGGATTTATGTTTCTGGTATACACGTTCAAGTTGAGACAGTCTTCGTCGCCTATGGTTTGATATGTGAAAATATCCACTTGAAGACAGATATTTCCGTAAAACGCAGCGTTTCTTTCGCCGGACCATGGTTCTGGTGGTTGCGGATCCTAGAATCAGTGTTTGTTATCTAAATAAAATTTTATAGATGATTAACTAGATAAAATTTTGGCGCCATCTTATCTATATCTTATCTATATCTGCATATTATCTATATCAATATCTGTATCTTAAATAAAAAAAAATTATCGTTACTAAATTATTCATATTATTTGGTTTAGAGTCATAGCATAAAAATAATTAATTACTAGAACTTAAGCAATAAATGATAAAAATTTAAAAATAAAGTATAAATATATTTTTATATCCCATTTATAATTTACATTTCTTTTATAACTGTTTACATAAGCAACCTTAAAAATAATATTATCTGGAAGTTTTCTAGATGAATCGCCGTGTAATTTTATTTTTTATCTAGATATAAAAAATTTATAAAAAATTTTTTAAATAAAATTTAAGTTAAAAATTTTTTCGATTATCGACAGTTCTGTTGATAGTTCTGACAGCCCCTTGAAAAATTCTATTACCCTTATTGTTTAATGTCAGAATAATTATTTGTCTAATTTTTATTACACTTTGTTTAATTCAATTATCAAAGTACAAGAATACATTTTTATTAACGCAATCGAGCACATTAATTTGTCACGCGAACTCGAGTGAAACTTCCCGTAATTTCAAGTGCTATTTTCAATGCTTTAAAACTTTAAACTGTAGAATTATTTCTAAATTCAATAGAGTCTTCTGTATAACTAGATTTTATTTCTAATTTTTTCTAAATTACTGTATCTTATATTTTTTATAAAATTATTCAACAAACAGTTTATATCAATTGTAAAGTAAATATTTTAACAAAGATAGTAATATTTATAATCATTCTCTGTACTTACTTGAAATCTGAGTTCACCCACTGGAGGTTTAGCATATGGTATTCCACGAAAAGCATTATAATATGTGCCATAAACAGTATTCTCAATAATGCCGACTAATACCCCTTCAGACACATGTACTTTTACTTTGTTCGTCGATGCAACGGAGACGGATGGCACTGAAAGATGGTTTATTTATTACAGAAAATAAGTATTTATATATAAACATATATCGAAATCTTTTTATCGTGATCCGAAAAATATACGCGATGTCAAAATAGAGGTCGCATCTTCATAAATATAAAGATAAATAGATAATTTTTTTGTGTGTTACAAGGAAAGATCGCTCTTATTAAATATATATACATTGTAACAGCAATAAGACTACTTTAGTTTTAACAAATTGTTCAATATTGCAAACAAAATCTGTCTTGTCGCAGATATAGAATTTTTTTATTTAACAAAATTAATTTTTGTTATAAATTTTTTTGCTATTTGTATAACTATCAATAAACTTTATTACATCTTCTAACTTTATTGAAATTTTGTTATTTTATCTTTAGATAGATAATAAGAATATATATTATCTGCATCTTAGATGAAAAATTTAAGGTAAATTTACATATTTTTATCTCAGCTTTATCTAGCTAATTCTAAAATTATTTAAACACAACATCTGGTAAATAAAAGTCTTACCACTGTGGACCAAAACAGGTTGATTGAGTATTTGAAGAGTAAGAATGCATTTCAAAATAGAGATCAAACATAGTCTCACGTTTAACATTCTTATCTCTATTCACGGATGGCAATTGTTACACGATATCTCGACTAGTAAAGGCTATAGAGGTCAACGATCTGTAATCATTTAAAATTGCAGAAGATACTTTTATCATAAGAAAGTAGTAAAAAAATGTTATAATATTGATATCTGCGAAGTGACGCAGAACGACGATACACAATATTTTAACTACATAATGTTGATCACTATCATTGGTTCATACACTGTTCACCCAATATCCGTTATTAATATCTTAATTGTGATATGAATACATATTTAATAAATATATTTTTTAATGAAAAAAGCTTTTATAAAATTCTCATAATATTATTTTGTTTTATGATTATGAGTTATCAATTTTACGATAATTTATAAAAAAAATTATTGGTGTATATATCTATATAGCAAAATAATAAAGAAATTTAAGACAATGAACAGATTTAAATATATTACATTTTTTAATATAAATAATTCAAACTAAATTTATAATATCTTGTGGTTTTAAGTGCATTACGGATAAGACAATGCGGATAGTGATGCGCAGTGACGTTCCAAAGAAATTGAAAAGTAATGTTCACTATATAAATTTGCTGTTTGGCAACGATCGTCTGTTCGTTCCAGTAATTTAGATGGTACTGAAGGTGTGCGAGAGTCTCGAAACGGTTGCTAGTTCAATTGTATCATCATATTTACGTTTTTTTTATGTACGTCTGTGTATTAGTGTGTGACCTTTTTGTCTTCGTGTTTATTATATTTTGCTTGCCTGAATGTGTGTATATGTGTATCTACCCATATTACGGCTCGTGATCATTTTAACCGATTAATTTAAAATCGATTAACTGATTTTAATTAAAAGAAACGATTAACACTCGATTAAACAATTAGATGAATAATCGCAGAAACTGGTTAATCATTAATCGAATAAACATATTTTTAATTACTTTAAAAACATTAGTTTAATTTGGTTAAACATATTAGAAATGATAACTAATCATTCTAGATGAAAAGAAATCTTTAAAATCACATATATCAATTAATCAAAAAAATTGGATGCAGTGATTTACATGCGCATATGCATAAATATCTTGTTAAGTAGAACCTCTTCCGGGCCTTATTTTATTAACAAATAAATTTTTTTCTGTCGTAAAGAATCTAAAAGTATGCAACTATACTCGTATTTTTTGGCACCAAACACAGGGACGACTGCGATTAATTGTTAAACAAGTATTTAGGCGTTCTTGCAGAAATATCATAATAAACAGATTTTTCCGGATTTTGTTGTTTGAAAAGACTGTGGTTCCCAAATATTGCGATATTGTTATTGTGACAGTTTTTTTAGCCGACAGCTTCGTTGGTCAATATTAAATTTTAAATTGCTTTGTGTATTGCATGTGTTATTAAACTTTAAGAATGTACATACGTATGAAAAGTGTGGCTATCATTTTCAGATTGAATATACACAATATTTGTGAATTGAAATATTTATTTATTATTTATTTATATTAACTTACTAATTTATATTAACAGCATATCAGCACATACACATATTTGGCAATTTTTACGCTAAAATTATTATTATGCAAAAAAACAAATGCAATTTCTAATGCTAATTAACTATGTATATTAATTATTTATTTTAAAAATATATTAAAATTATAATTTTATTCATATGTTCCATATAATTATCTGTATAAAAAAGTCATAATATTTTGTAGCTTATTGACAGAGTTTCCAGAGTAATATTCTTATTAAACAGGGCAGTATTTTTGACTCACACGGCGCACATAAAATCCAGCGTGCGAAAGAGCTCTTAATTAATTAGATGGTGCAATCGTACATTCGCACGAAATTTAATATAAGGTACATTTACACATGGTTTATATTTTCTAGTTATTTTTGCTTTTACAAGCCTAATAAAAAGTCAATAAATCTTTAGTTTAAGTAAATAATTAGTTCTTATAAATAAATGACGGCATTCAATCATTTTAACCGCGCGCGCGAAACGCAATTGTTTACACAACATGTAATTTATTGTTCCCATTTACTCTTGTAATTATAATACAAATAGATCTAGCATTTCGCTTATAATCAAACAATGCTTTAAAGATTAACTAAAAAAGAGAAAATATAACAGAAAGTATTCTTTCTCTACATTTATATCTGTATAGTAACGTTATAATAATTTTATGACTTGTAGAATTGAAATTTGACATATACATATGTTCAAACATTGGAGTTTTTCTGATAGAAAAAGAAGAAAATATTTTCTCTTTTTCTATATATTTCTTAGGCTGCGTCATTTATATAATGCTCAGTTTGCCAATATTTTCTATATTTATTGTATAAATCGATATTAAACAATTTGTGAAAATATGTCTGAATAAATTTTTAATTAACATTTATTGTTGGAGACACTGCAATATTTGCGACCAGATTTACGCTTAAATGGAATACTAACATATTGAATATATGACGTTATACGCAAAAGTTTAAATAAAAATACATTATTTAAAATCATTGTAATAAATATATATCTTCATTAAACGTAAAATGTACATTTATGCCAAGAACAGAATCATACATAACAAAGTACACAATATATAAGAAGCTGAGATCGCTAGAGTACTATCTCTTTATCATAATAAATCAATATATAGGAATATCTAATAGGAATAAAAATGTCAGACAAAATATTCTAAAAAAATAGATTTATAGTTTATCTAACTTCACATTTTGCCGATAAAACAGGAAGGAAACTTAGATTAGCTTAGGATCCCTATAAGAAATGATGCGAGAAGAGTGAAGAATTTGTCGAACGTTTCACAATTTCTATAGACAGTCCATAATAAAATGATTAACTTCAGGCACCTTCAACGACTCTGTGCGTCGCCTGATTCGCCAAGAACCTCTCAACCCTTTCCCTAAATTCCCTGTTAGATTCCGGCAAGGGTAGTCGCGAACCCAGACCGGTGAGATCCTGCAAAGTGGCGAAGTTCTGCAGACTTTCCGACAATCGGCAATCGTGATTCAAGATGTCCGGCTTGGGTGCCGGTGATTTTCTCTTCTGCAGCGACAGTTTCGACGTCTTCGAACCAGCGACGACGTTACCGCTTTCCGGCAGAGTCATCATTCCGTGGAATGCAATTTGCGCGCTCAGCATGGACCAGAACATCTCCAGAGAGGACGCTATCAAAACGTTCAGGGTCAGTAGAATCCTGTTCGACAGATTCGCGTATTCCCGTCTACGCCAAATCGCCATCTTCTTCTTCTTCGGATTCACAGATTCCGTGATGTTCATCGCGTCGTCATCCTTGAAGCTCTCTTCCGCTACCAGGGTTCTTTCCTCCAAAGTCAAGGACTCCTCGAAATTATTGTCGTTTCTGACGCTATGGAAACCCGATACGTTGAAGTAGGGTTCCAAAGTAAGCGATTTACTGGATTGGTTGATCCCTGGAGAATCGGGATCCTCGATGAACTTTGAATCGCTCTTGGCCGATGTAATATTGTAATGATCATCGTTGAAACCCTCGAGGGAATGAAGCGGGATATCGAGGGTCGTCCTGAACTCTAGGGACTGTCTGGCGCTCAAAATCGCCGTGATGTCGAAGATCATGACGACGCCGCAGAGAATCGCGGCCACCATGGAGAAGAGGCTGCCGTAGAAGAAAATGCTGATGTTCCGGTCGATGTACCAGCGTCGCCAAGCGAGACAGCCGGTGACGGACGGTACCAGACACACGAGAGACAGCACGTGACCCGGAACGCAGATGGCGCTCATGGTGCTCAGAAGGAGGGACATAGCCCCGAGGATCAGATGGACCAGGGACATTCCGCCGACCGTCGACGCCGAGTAGCGACGCTCCGATGGATACAGAGACGACAGCGGTGGCTTCGTCTTGATTTTGATAATGTACACATTCTCCGTCATTGTTCTCCAGGCGATTTTAATCCCACTCGATCGTAGACAATTTTTTATTCGACGAATCGATCAAGAGAAAGGATTATAAGTAGGTATCATTTGACGCGCTATTCATTGTTCCGTACATTCGCATAAGAAATGGACACTTTTATAAGTTCCAGATGTAGATCAACACTTCCTGCTTTGCACCGTCGTAGATGAAACGTAGCAGCTGCTCGCTGTGTGTAATCAAATTTACCTGGAAATCACAAAATCGAGTTTTACGAATTTAAATGAATTCAAATGTTATGTGAAATTTATTAATATAACTATTGCTAAACGTAAAATAATGTACATTATGTATATCGGAGAAAAAGATATTCATACTTTCATCAATTTAATAAAAAACCAAGAAGATATATTTCTAATATTGAAATATCTTCATAGCTTCATCTTTATAATCTAACGAGACATAAGTATATGTACCAAGCGCAATGTGGAACTAGTAATTTGAGCGATTGCAAATTAAATTATGAGGTTGAAAAAAGGCGCGCGATCGAGCGTGGAAGTCAAACGAGTCACGATGCGCAATCGCGATGATTTTCACGCACAGCCACTCTCTCATTCCGTATTCAATTATACCGGATATGCAAACCCGTAATCGAGTTCGCGAGGCAGATATCCGAAGCCAAGGGAGGAACGTTTAACAACGCGATGAATTCGCCGACGTTTAATAGTAGCGGCGTAGCTGAAGAAGCAGCGACTACTTCCGCGCAGCCGGCCGAGCAATTATCGCAAACCGCTTCTCGTTCGACTTAATTGAAATCTCCGTAGGCCTCCTGCGCGCGCGCGAATTTCGCTCCGCGAGAGATAGATAGACACCTTGCGCAATCCCTCGCGGATAACAATCGCTCGCTCGTGACAGAATCCAGCCAGAGTCTCGGCGCAACACGGAACGGCGTTCACACGCGACCGCATTGTATTATAATCAACATTTCTGTCATAAGTAAGGTAAAAATGAAACTAGATTTTATGCCGAGGATTGCTTCCGGAATTGCGGATTCTTTTTTTTTCATTCTAAAATGGATGAGATTAAAAGAAAATTTTTAAAAATATATATAATAAAATATATAATAAATATATAATAAAAATATATATATAATAAGAAAATTTAATTATATAATAAAAAATATAATATATAATAATATATTAATATAATAAAAAAATGAAAAAATACAATTTATAAAATAATGAGATGTAACATAATGGAGAGTGAAAACTTTAATTTAGAGTCGCAATTAAATAAACGCGAAACGTAGACTTTTAGATCTCGCGAAATGTAATTTATATAGATAATGATGAACATGATATATGATTTATATGGATAATATATTATTATTTGTGGTTTTTTATCGCGTTTCAATAGGCTTACCGATTAGATACACGTCATGTTGCGCTGGATCTTTTATTTTTTCTCGTGCCGACACATTATGCAATTGATTACGAAATACCAAGATTATAGATATTACGAGCGCGTCTATATTTCCTCGAATTAATACGTTAAATCGTGTGAATCTTCGATAAAAATTTTAGTAAATTTATATTTTGAAATACACGATAATTTAAGTATTAAATATTTAAATATTTAATTTTCTTTTAAATATTAGATATTTAAATTATATATTAAATATTTAAATAAAAATATTAAATCTTTTATTCTATCAAATATTAATTAACGCAAATAATAGGCATTTTTACGAGTAAGGTTTTCTTTCGAAATCCAGTAGTTACAAAGTATGACGAACAATTAGACACAACAACATTGAAATTGACCCGAAAATTAAAGACACGCAATCCTTCTGAAATTTTTAATTTATATTTATTATTATTGATAATATTTATATTTTGAAATAGATGATAATTTAAGTATTAAATATTTAAATATTTAATTTTCTTTTAAATATTAAATATTTATAAATTATATATTAAATATTAAAATAAAATATTAAATTAAATTAATTAATGCAAATAATAGGCATTTTTACTTTCTCAGAAATCTTGAAAAAATTCCAACATAATAAAGAAGACAGTAAATCACTATACTTAAGTGTTATTCTAACTTTATGTATAAATATTATATTTATGAAGAAACACACACATGCACACGCATATATTAAAATTTTACAAACTTGTTCCAGGTGTTTTCACCGACAACGTCAATTACATTCGATATTTGTCGTCGCGCTGGAAGTTGCTTTCAACTTGGAAAGAACGAGATTTCGGGAACCGCATCTCGCAGCTTGATAAACGATCTCTCGTACGCGACACCTGAGTAACGACTGAACTACGAAGACTAGTCCTCGTTGAAATTACTACGAAATCCCAAACGAGCCTCCCACGCAGCCAACTCGCAGTGAAAGGGACAACGGAGAACAGCGTCGGATAAGCGCGTACCTTCGTATTAAGCCTTGTTCACATCATTGACGGCTTGCGCTCATGCGCGAAACGATCTTGACAATGAGAGAAGGCAGATATCATCTTAAATTTTCCTTTTGTTGTCTCTCTCGTTCGGCCATGTGTGTGAACCAAGGAGGAATAATAAAGAGGCGCATGAATGGAAAAAGAAAATAGGAAGAATGTCAGAATAGCTAAACAAATTTCCTTGATCGTATCCCTGCATGGTTTGACAGTTTGGCCGAACTGTCTAATAAGTGCGTTATTTTTGAAGTGGAATTTCGTACATGGTGCTTGAGTTTTTCCATTCGACTGATTTTCTTTTAGGGTAGGTAGTCAATTGACTTCACTTGCCTCTCGCGAAAACATGACCCTTCCTCCCATTATGAAAGTCCCGTTATAATCGAAGGTAACTCTCAGAGAGCAAACGTATCCCAGGGTCTTCGCTGAGAATTGCGCATGAGCTAATCTTTGTTGTTGGCTGCAGAAACACGACGTGTGGGTTCGGTACACGACCTTTTCGTTCGATTATTGCTGAGGAATCAGTTGCACGGATTACGTTTCTCCCACTTCGATGAGAGAAATACACGTGAAACAAAGAAAGAGCGCGCGCACTGTCTCGACTTTATTATCGCTTCGACTAGATTATAATAAGTGAAAAATTAATCAGCCTTATGCATTCACTTTCAAACGCCGTTGTCTAATTTAACGAGCTGAGAAATGAAGCAAGAAAAATGTTTTCATTAAAAAAGTCACTTCAAACATCGAGGTCATCTCTTATAATGTCTCTTACAGTCAGGTTGATCATTCAATGGTTGTTAATAATCTGATGAGCTTAAGTGAAAAGCGTATATTTGGCCAAGCACCTGCCGCTTTCAATTAGCGGAGAAATTTAAATTTAGTCAATTTAATCTTATAGGTAAGAGTCACTTCTTCACACTTATAGTGAAATTCATCAACGATCTGTTTCATTACACAAATGTCAAATTTTTTCCTACCTACATATCGCTATATTATAGAAAATTTCTCTGAAGCTATGTAGAAACTTGAATTGTCAAACAAATAATTTTTGAATTGTCAAAAAAATAATCAGCGGATAAATCTAAATTTAGTGAATTTAATCTTATAGGTATAAGTCACACTTTTTACATTTATAGTGAAATTCATCAACGACCTGTTTCATTACACAAATGTCAAACTTCTTACCTACTTACGTACCGCTATATTATAGAAAATTTCTCTGAAGCTATATAGAAACTTGAATTGTCAAACAAATAATTTTTGAATTGTCAAAAAAATAATCAGCGGAGAAATCTAAATTTAGTGAATTTAATCTTATAGGTAAGAGTCACTTCTTCACACTTATAGTGAAATTCATCAACGATCTGTTTCATTACACAAATGTCAAATTTTTTCCTACCTACATATCGCTATATTATAGAAAATTTCTCTGAAGCTATGTAGAAACTTGAATTGTCAAACAAATAATTTTTGAATTGTCAAAAAAATAATTAGCGGATAAATCTAAATTTAGTGAATTTAATCTTATAGGTAAGAGTCACTTCTTCACACTTATAGTGAAATTCATCGACGATCTGTTCTATTACACAAATGTCAAACTTCTTACCTACTTATGTATCGCTATATTATAGAAAATTTCTCTGAAGCTATGTAGAAACTTGAATTGTCAAACAAATAATTTTTGAATTGTCAAAAAAATAATCAGCAGATAAATCTAAATTTAGCGAATTTAATCTTATAGGTATAAGTCACTTTTTTACATTTATAGTGAAATTCATCAACGACCTGTTTCATTACACAAATGTCAAATTTCTTTCCTACTTACGTACCGCTATATTATAGAAAATTTCTCTGAAGCTATGTAGAAACTTGAATTGTCAAATAAATAATAATGCAATTGGTGCGAAATAATTGCTTCGTAGAAGAACAACTTGAATTTTGCGTCGAGAGCAACTGTTGCAACACTATATCGGTGGCAAAGTTTTAAAAATCGTGCAAAATATCGCAACTATTTCCTAACAGCATAATTTAAAGATTGAGGCGATAGACTGAAAAGCATCTCAAGATTAACGTTTAAGATTATTACTTTAATGGACTAAGCTATTTTCGCAAAAATAAGAGAGTAAAACCGCGCGAGAGCGATTACTATTTTTTTTTTCAAGTGATTTCTTCACGATCGCATAAGGACCACGATTGGCTAACAGTATTATTATTGGGGTAGTTTCGCAATTAGAAGGACCATCGAGAAAATATATAACTCGCAGTAGCCGCGACATAACGGTGCGAGAATCTTTCGACGCATCGCAAGAAACGCGAGGAAGGAAAGGATCGAAGAGAGGACTTTCACGAGGAGGAGGTTGCAACAAAATCGTCTCGATATTTCATGCGGAATCCGGATCGTTCATGCGGAAATTATGACACCGCTTTCCAGATCGTGCGTCCATGTCGTCGGAGACATCGGACTTCCGGCGAGATCGTTCGTTTTGGATTCGCATAAATTCGTTCGAGCGAATGATCGATCGCGTTCTCGAGAGACATTGAAGAGAAATCAATTGCTACATTAAGCCGTGACTCCGCGCAACGGGACAACCGCGATATAAGTATCTGTGAGATTGCGTGCAAGACAAGCCGGGAAAACGTGCGTGCATCCAGGGACAGGTTGCACGTGGGTGCACGCTCTTGCGTGTGCCCGATTATACTAATCAGAGTAATCACAGTGACATCTAACATCGCGTTTTGTTTCGGAGCATCGCAATTTCTAGATGAATGAGAAATAACATACAGAGATATCATAATACATAATATTACAGATATACTATATACAAGCATGGGTTCGCACAATTTTTTAAGGCGGGGGCATAATTAATTTTTTTGCTGATTTGTTAGTTTCATTTTTTCTTATATTAAATGTGCAAATTATTTTTTTTATTTTTCGTTTTTCCTTAATTTTTTTAATTATTTTGTTAGTTTCACTTTTTAAATTAAATGTGCAAATAAATTCCAGTGTTTATTCCAAAGGAGAGTAAATGCTTTATTATTTTTCTTAATTATTATTGCTTAAAATTTGTTAAAATTATATTATATATATTTATCTAAATATATAAAAATATATATTGACATAATTTGATATACATTTATATGAATAGATCTACTTATAAATATAAAATTTAAATGGAAAACAAACTGTCAGATTTTGCTCATCATGTATTATTGAAAAAAAGGTTTCGTAGGATTATTATAAAAAAATAAATCAGTAAAAGAACCTAGAATAGTTTTTCCAAGAATGACAAAATGCTCGTTAAAAAGAGTGAAAATTGTACAATTGGATCGTAAAGATATATTGATTAGAAGGATCTGATTTTTTATTATCTTACATATTTTTTTACACTTTCACGAGAGTGTCAACCCTGCAAAAGGTTCCTGAAAAACGCTCCCGTCTTGTGGGCCACGCGCACCGTTTCGGATCCTTTCATTTAAAGTGACTTTTCAGCCGTTAACTTGCCGATACCCGTAAGAGAAATACATTCAGTGCACAACGAGAAAGAGAGAAAGCAAGATAACGACCGAAATGCATTCGTGTTGGAGCAGCTGTTACTATCGGGGCACGCGTCTCTCAACCGTCGCGGCAGCTGCCCAGAAAATTGACTACGGTAGCCTCATTCTGAGTTCTTTGCTTCCGTCTGATTAAAGATTATTTTTATTTTCTTACACGTCAAAAAATTATATATAATTTGCAATTTATTAAAAGAAATAAAAAAATCAAACTCAAAAATAGAAATCGAAGCCAAGTAATTTGACACATTTAAATGTAAGATTAAGTCCCTACAAATAATATGTATATAAAATTCTGACAAGTGTATATATATTTTGATTGCGCATTGTTCATTCTCAATGTATCTTTAAAAAATTTTAACAAGACAATTATTTGTTATTTCTCTCTGTTTTTATACAATCTGAAAAAAAAAATATTAAAAAATATTCACCGAGAAAAGCAAAAAAAAATATTATAACAAGTATAGATTTCACATTGAAATAAAATATACAAAAATTGTTTATATTGAAGCACGAAAATTCCAGTTTACTGTGATGACAGGCGAATTCTTGGGCAGACATTTAAAGTTTAAATTACGATGACACGTTGAAGCAACGGTCAAAATTCTGGACGAAATGTACTGTAGTTCAAGGGCCCCCACCCTGTGCGAAGGGACACCGGGCCCGTATTACGTGAAATCCCGCGACAACCCCATACGAGCAACCGTGCATACACAGATACGCGAGGGAACGTATAGAGAAACGCCCTTTGCGCATCTGCTGTTAAGGGAACCCGCGCGAGGCAGTTTGTCGAAGGCAACCGACGTGAGCACATCGCATGGATAGCGCGCATTCTTAATGGACATTCTTGAAACGTCATATTTTATTATGTAATTTTTGGTCGATTTTATTACTTAAGAATTACAATTTTCAAGTTTAAAATTCAAAAGCTGCAAAAATTACATGAATTCTCAACAAGTGAACCGGCTATAAAAACACGTCATTTAAGAAACTTTGGATTATTTCATGACCGTGTCCTTTTTTCCCAAGAAATTGCGTGATCGGTGGAAAATCGCTCTGCGTAAGATAATGCAATTTTATTGTTGAAAAAGGCGGGTTTGCTACGAGTTAATAACGTCGATAAATTTTGGAACGTTGTGCCAAATTTGCGCAGAAAGATGTGTAAGAAACTTTGCAGATTGACACACGAAATTACCTCAACGCCGACACAAATAGTGAGCTTCGCATTGGAAACTTGGCGATCTCCTGTTTACGTTAGCAACACATTAGTGATCCTTATCAATCGACCTTAAATTCCGACGTTATCATGTATTTTTGGTGACTGATAAAGAAAAATATGCTTAACATTGATCAACTTTACTGAAATTCTCGCGAGAGGTTTAAGTGAACTTTCATTGCTAAACTTTCCAACAAAACATCGTTCATCATTTTTCATTTTTGCATAACACACAAATAGGAGAAGAATTTTATTCTGGACACACGGAAGTCACGTGAAGTGAAAGTTCGTGAAGAAGAAAGTCCTTGAAACTTCGTTACGCGTTCATTTGGTTAATAACGCTCAGCCTCAGACTTAATCATTCACGTCCCAATTTGTTTCTCCGCGAGTCAATGTCAGATTCATTCGAGAATCAGACTTCAACTAATCAACCGAATTCTTCCCTCGACCAATCTTGAACCAGGGAATTTTCAACACGAACATTAACATCGCAAAAAAAAAATTACCCTTCGTCAAAGTCGCTCGATGAGCTAAATCCAAATTTATTTCTCCGCGAGTCAATGTCAGATTCATTCAAGAATCAGACTTCAACTAATCAACCGAATTCTTCCCTCGACCAATCTTGAACCAGGGAATTTTCAACACGAACATTAACATCGCAAAAAAAAAAATTGCCCTTTGTCAAAGTCGCTCGATGAGCTAAATCCAAATTTATTTCTCCGCGAGTCAATGTCAGATTCATTCGAGAATCAGACTTCAACTAATCAACCGAATTCTTCCCTCGACCAATCTTGAACCAGGGAATTTTCAACACGAACATTAACATCGCAAAAAAAAAAAAAAATTGCCCTTCGTCAAAGTCGCTCGATGAGCTAAATCGCGAATCACGACAATCATGGCGCAAACGTCCGAACCAGCGCCGGTGCATTGCTACACCAATCCCTCGTTCTGCCGTCAATCGGAGTACATCCCGGACGATCATCATGTCAACGACCTGCCGCCGCCGCCGCAGCAGTTTCAAGGAGCCGACGATCTGCCGCCTCCGCCGCCGCCGTTGCAATTGCAATTGCACGCCTCCGGTCAGAGCAATCCGGCCTTCCAGGCGCCGGCGGAGACGACGCTGGACGACGCTCGCGGATCCCGGGATCGGTATTGTTACCTGGAGAACAGCAGTGCCCCTGCCAGTGCTCACAGGAGATACGCCAGTCTTCCGGTGGAGGAGCCTCGCGTGACTTACAGCCAGTCCTCGCAGTACGAGTATTCGCGGCAGCAACAGCAGGACGAGAGAGACCGGTTGCCGCGCGTGGTTGCCTCGTCCAGGTACGAATTCATTCCGCAGCAGCAGGTGCAACTACGTTCCGCACCGGCGGCCAACCAAGACGATCGAGGAGGGCCGCAGACGTGCCGAAGTAATAATGCCGGTAGATACGCGGTTATACCGGGTGATCAGGACTACCAGGATTACCAAGACGGTTTGCAATGGAGCAACGCCAAATCGGCGCCGCGGCACATCAACACTCCGCAGGGTACTTTTTTCTTGCATTATTCTTCATGGGCATCTTTTTTTAGCCCCTTCTTGGTTCTTTAATAAGGTTGCACAAGAGTGTTAAATAAGAATGATGTGTATAAGGAAATATTTTATATTCTTGAACAAAGATAAAAATAATTTTTTTCATTTAATTATTATTAACAATAATCTTTTTCACCCCTTTCTTGATTCTTCAATAAGATTGCATAAGAATGTTAAATAAGAATTATATGAATGAATATAAATTCTATTTACATTCTTGGTAAAGAAAAAATAGAGATATAAAAATATATTAAAGTTTTCAATGTTCTCATTTAATTATTATTAATAATAATTATTTTTACCCCTTCTTGGTTCTTTAATAAGATTGCACAAGAATGATGTGTATAAGGAAATATTTTATATTCTTGAACAAAGAAAAAATAGATGTATAAAAATAATTTTTTTATTTAATTATTATTAACAATAATCTTTTTCACCCCTTTCTTGATTCTTCAATAAGATTGCATAAGAATGTTAAATAAGAATTATATGAATGAATATAAATTCTATCTACGTTCTTAGTAAAGAAAAAATAGAGATATAAAAATATATTAAAGTTTTCAATGTTTTTATTTAATTATTATTAATAATAATTATTTTTACTCTCTTCTTGATTCTTTCATAAAATTGCACAAGGTTAAATAAGAATGATGTATATAAATAAATTCTATATTCTTGAATAAGGAAAAAAATAGATGTATAAAAATATATATTAAAGTTTTTAATTTTTTAAATTTAATTATTATTAATAATAATCTTTTTTTACCCTCTCTTTGATTCTTTAATAAGATTATAATATAAAAATGTTAAATAAGAATAATGTATATAAATAAATATAAATTCTATCTACATTCTTGAATAAAAAGAATAAAGATTTAAAAATATATATTAAAGCGTTAAATTGTAATTTACGATTACACAGGTCGTTACATCAGAGTGCCTATGCAAGAAGAGATTCCGCCGGCACTTCCCGAGAGAAACGCGCAAGAAATCTCGATGTCGCCGAAAAACAACCTAGCCACGCAGAAGCTCCATGAGATATTATCGACGCCTAAGAAGCCGAGATCAAGATCCGAAGAGAGAACCCTATCGCCGAAGAGACAACAATCCTTTAATCAAATCAGCACGCCGCAGAGAAGAGCCCTCACTCCTGGCAGCTCACCCAATGGTACGAAACTCATTGTTGTTCCCTCTAATCACACCTGCAATAGAAAATGACGATACATAAATTAAACATTAATTAATATTTTTTTTTCGTCAGCATCACCTTTTTCGCTGATCAATATTAAGCCATAAAATTGGGGAAATTTCTTGCTTATTAATAAAGTCGTTTGTCCCACCGCTTGGTTAATATGACATCGCATATCTTCTTTAACGTCTCTTGACATTTTGCTCCAATGCTCGCAATTTTTTTTAAGCCTCTCTCTTTCATTGTATAATAGATGTTTAAAATACTCGACGCTGTGTTCCTGATTTTTTTCCGTTGGCATCTCAATATTGTTTTTCATAGCTTCTTTTCTCGGAAATTCGTTTGTTTGAGGCACCTGACAAAGATCATAATTGTTCAGTTTATTTTTTTTTAATCATCTTGTATCATCTTCCGTCATTATTTAAATATTCTAAATTAAATGAAGATACAAAATTTTATTGTTATAACATTGATTTTTTATCGAATTTATTTACTATTACGGAGAAAAATCGGGAGTTTTTTAGTTTATTGGAATTTTTAATTCTGTTGCTTTTGAATCAACAGAATCTCATAATGAATTAATTATAATTCCATCAAAGCAAATCAAACTGATCTTTATTTATATACAATAATAAAGAAAAAAATTGTGCAATATATATATATATATATATATATATATATATATACTCTTCATCATACGTGATTTACTTTTCGCTTCGTTCAGGTCGTACCTTCAGTCCGACGCGCACAACTCCTCAAGGTACGCCTCAGAGTCGAGTCTTCTCGCTCACGGGACCCCAAACGTCGACGCCCAACAAGGAATCATCAGCTCGCAGGTGCCTTCCTCTGCTGGAGAACTCTTCCAGGCAGCAGGACGTTTGTCCAGCCAACAATTGCGGCCGGCTTCGCTACGTGGGTACCGCACCGGTCGATCTGATGAACCTGAGTCACAACGAACCACCACCTCGCTACGCCTACATGGAAAGCAACTTGGAGTCTATGCCGATGATGTCCGGATCGCCCAGGTACCACGTGGTGCCTGCCGATCAGAAGAACTATCAAAGCGTCGAGAGCGCGTTCATGGCACGTACCGCCGTCGTAAGTGATGATGACGTAGAAGGCAAGAAATGAAAATAATTACTCGTCTAACAGAAATGCGATTTGTTCAGGTACCACCGTTATCTCCGCCGAATAGCGAGGCGAATACAACCTTGGCGAGCGGTATAGATAAGGGCGAAAGAAGAAATGCACCAATTCTGCTGATACTGGTCGGTCTTTTGACGTGCGGCCTCGCTCTCTACTTATCCTGGTCTCAAGGAAGAAGGTAAGATGTTATTAATCCTTTAATTTTTTTCAAAGCGTTTTGAAGAAAGAAATTTTCCAAATAACAAATTATAAGATTCAACATGAAATTGAATAGCAAACGCTTGAAAGAAAGGACACATTATTTATAAAAAAACATATTTTAAATAATTTTATGAATTATAATATACACATATATTTAATAATGAAAATCTCGGATTTTAGATATTACTTTGATAGTGCGGTTGGTTGCGGTGCCTGTTGCGCTTTAGCGGGCGCATGCAGAAGCTTACGAAGAACTTGGACGGGACTTGGTCTGGCTGGACTTGCGGCACTTAGCTGCGCCGGTCTTCTGCTACTAGCTACTAAATCTCCGAAAGACGGCACTCCTCTCCACGATATCACAGCCGGCGCTTTATGTGGCGTGTCGGTTTTAGGCGCTGGTCTCGCCCTGTTGGCTCTTCTGAAGCCGAGATGCAGTTTCGGACGTCACAGACGAGTGCACTCTTGGATACCACGATTCTCCCCTTAGGCTATCTCGATCTAACACGACAATAGCTATACGTGTATCTTAGAATTGTCCTTCTGAGAGAAAGATGTGTATAAATATGATTGCGTAAGATAGTTGAAGAATTTATTTTATCCAAGAAATTTATAAAAAATATAAAATAAAATATAAAAAATATTTTGAAAAAAATATTTTACCTCATCTGTAAACAAAATTATGATTAAAATCGCAATAATTGATTGGCTAGAGTGTAGTCAAACAAATAATAATTAATAAATCAATTTAGACCGCGTAATTTATTAGATGTCGATAAATTAATTTTATAAGAAATTCTAATTAGATCTCATTACAGTTTAATTTGATGAGTATATCAAATTTACAAAAACGTTTCGACTTTACTTAATCCTCATCAGTTTGAGTATCAAAAGTTGAAAAATAATATTATACAAATAACATATTATGAAAACACTTATATAACTCTATAATATCGAATTAAATACTAGTTTTGTTACTGACTCACAAAAAATGATCATGTCTTATAACAGTTTTATATACAAGAACATTATATTTAATAAGAATTGTTAAAATTTTACGACTCAACACACATGTAAGTAATTACAATTTCTTATAATTTAAAAATAGATATATCATTTTAAACAAATTATAAAATATTACATAATGTCTTCAACACATTAATCAACAAACCTTTGAATGGCTTTTAATCAAAAATTATTTAACATCCTAAACAATCTAGCTCGTTAAGTTGGCCTATTATTGATTAATTGAGTTTAAAATCATGATTTATGCAAAGAGTGCCTACTATATATAAGAGAACATTGCAAAAATTATATTCCAAATGAAATTGTAAATGATATTTTTTAAAGATTTTAAAGCTGTCAAAAATAATTTATATTAGTTCGTTTTAATTTCTTTCCCCTTGAACTCTTAAATACTCACTCTATAATTGATCAAACATACACAATGAGATTTAAGCTGATTCGAAATGTATAAAAAGTAAATCTTTATTTATATAAGCACTATCGCTGTTAGATAGTCTCTGTTTAAATTAAGAAATTTAATTAAAAATTTTACAAATTTTTACTTTATATATTTTTATATGTATGTTTTTCGAACACATATATCTTAATGTCTAATTTTACAATTAGTTATCTAACGCGCATGTGTACAATGACTGATGACGCACAAATATACTCCTATTAAATAAGAATAGTTTAAGAGCTGGCATATTTTAAATTAGATGTACTTATTAACATCATTATATCGCTATGCAAGGCAATTTTTGAGCTATAAATAATTGTCTTAAAATAGTACAAAAATTCTGAGTCGAAAACATAATGACATATTTTTCATATAATAAAAATTGTTCTACAAAATGTAAAAATTGTGTGAAATTATATACTACAATATGCAGAGTTTGCTATTGTATGTGCGTGTATATCCTTCTCCATTTCTATCAAGTATTTTTTTATATTTTATTATATACTTTATTATAATTTATTCAATACTTTAGTGTATAGAAAATAATATAAGAATATTCCATTAAATCCCATAATATAAAAATAGTCCCTTAAATCGTCACTTCCTAATGCGTCAGTCGTATTTATCAGATACGAAATCTGTTATCGTGTATTCACTCGAAAAAAGTTGAGTTTTTTTTTCCAAAACCAGTTGACGTCTAAATTATTACTGTTCAGTAGTTCGAACGGTGGACGACACAAATAGTTTGGAAACAAAATTTATTTATGTTATTATTTTCTCATTGTGTTGTTATTTCAATCAGATTGCTAAAGTGAAACCTGCATTTTGTTCGAGTGTACTCATTTAGAATTACTTTCTCGTGCAATAATTCATTGAAAAACTTAATAAAGTGACGATGTGAAGTAAATTGACTGTAGTATTATATATATGATTTATTCTCACACACAGTGTGAAATACAACTCGTCTAATTTACTTAATGATTGTTAGACAACACGTACTTTGTTGGCAATAAAAGAAGTGATAATGAACGCGTTAATGTTCCTTCTCTTCGTGAGTCAGGTTTTACATATTTCTGAAGGAGTGACCGTATTACGCGGAAATCAATATAATGTACGCACAGGATATGAAAGAAAATTAATATGTGTTTCGAAGGACGATGGCGGCGCTCTAGTGTGGAACGGTCATTTATACTTGCAATCTGCTTCATACAAATACAACGCAATACGTAAGTTATTAAGATAAAAATATTTTTTACAGTCTTGTGTATATTGTCTAAAAAATTTTGTTCTTTGTTTCAAGTAGAATTTTTATTATATTTTATCTGTTAAAAATTTATGTTTATCAATTACCCACGATAATATACAAATTATTGGTGTACTATTTCAGCATTTGATTATTTAAGTGGAGGAGTTCCAGATTGCACAATAAATTGTAAAATGAATGCAGACGAAAACTGTTTAACAGCGTGGAGTCAACAGGATTGGAAGCTCACGAGTTCTCTTAAAACACCTATGGGTCCGGTACATGATCAGCGATGGGAAGGTAAAAGTGCAAAGAAGTGTCACAAAAAATTGCGATATCTATAGAATACATTACGACGTTAAATAGTCGTAAAAACATTTTAAGAAATGTGTACTTAAAATTTTCAGAATTTAAAGAATATACAAGTAGAGATATTAAATATGAACATATATATATCGAAAATACTACCGCAGCAACGCTCTCCGTTTCGATTCGTGCGTCTAGCGACGCGCATATATTAATTTGCAACGGTAAAAATTATCACAGGCATCTATGCTATTGGATCATAATAGGTTGGAGCAATAGTATGTCCATCATACGAAAATGCAAGACGGGAGTCCCTTTAATCGGCGATTTCCCCCCCGTAATTCAATCTGTAACAAAGCACAAGTTTCTTTCAACGTAAGACATACCATAATTTCCTCCCTAAACTTTCTTTTATTTATATATTATTAAAATATTATAATTAAGCTTATACAGTTGAAACTTTATTTCTATAATTAAAAATCGTAAAAATACTAAACTTTAGAACTATTTTTTAATCATTTATGATAAGCCGTTTTAAGAAAAACCTAAATTATAACTTTATTTTTATTATTTATAAAACTGTTTAAAGAAAAATCTGAATTTAAATGAATTTGTAATAAATCAATTTAAACGATTGATAATCAATTAACAGCATATGCCATTATCTAAATTTGAGTGGCGATCGTTTATCATTATGTGGAACTCTGTGACTCGGAATATATCCGTTTATGATACTCATAACTTGATTATGACGTACCAGGATACAGAAAGTTCAAAATTATTGAGCACTGGAAAATCTTATCAAATGTTTATCAGAAGCAGCCCAACAATACTGTTTCGACTTCATATATGTGAGTACAATCAACGAAGATATTTTAATCAATCAGTAAAAAATAATTTCAAATACTTAAAGATATCGACCACAGAAACTTATTTCTAAATGTATGTTTCAGACAATTTTTTGCACACAATTTACGAAAATACAATTTTGACGAGTCCCATCGCTCAATTCGATGATAGAATATGTATACAAATGTTTATTGGTCTCTGCGCAGAATGCGAGGTGGATATAAAGTTACGTAATTCTACAAATTACAATATCTTACATGCGGTAAATGTAAAAAGTTCATCACGCACGACAAATCATGGCTTGCCCATGTGGCAATCCGTTCTAATTAAGAGAAAATTTTCAACCCGTTTTAATAGAGTGGTAATCGAAGTGATTCCTAAACTCAACGCTCATAGTTCCAGTCCATTATGGGCTATAGCAAATGTTCGTCAATGTCCTAAAAATGGTTTGCTTTCTTGTAAGTTTTGACACAACTTATTTAACACTAAATATTTGATTTACATGTTTGTCGAATAATTTGAAAGATCTTTCAGGAAATTAGTTATTTTTTATATACAATTCGCCTAATAGTCATTGTTTAAAAGCTTTAAGATGGAGTGTTATGCGCCATAATCATTTTGAAAACATCAATAGTTATTTTTGGCCTGTGATATGTCAAAAATTATTTTACACCAATAGTGCCATCGTAAATTCTATATTAGACGCCAAGCCAAACATGACACTGGGTAATTAATAAAAATGTTATTTATTTTCTATAATTGGAATTTATTTCTATAATTGGATTCTATAATTAATAATATCACATTTTTTTGTTAAATCTTTAGAATGGTGTATTTAGAAACATTATTTTGTAGTTGAAAAAATGATTTCTTTTTAGATTTTGCAAATTGTCCTAAAGGAAAAATTGGACCGCAATGTTTGATTCCTTGCAAATATCTGAATAATATCACTAATTGCAGAGAAATTAGAATTTGTTATAAAGATGGTTGCACGTGTCCTCCAGGATACTTGGGAAGCATTTGTTCAAACCGTAAGTCTAACTAACGGTTGATTTAGCGATATTATCTGAGCTATTTATATTTTCACTTTACATACGCAATGCTCTTATGTACATTTAACTAAATTGAATTTTTCAGCTTGTGAGGGGAACACATACGGCTATGGCTGCCAAAAAATATGCGGTGCGTGTCGCAACAAAACTTCATTCTCTGAACAAATATGTGACACAATAACTGGAGTGTGTAACGATGGATGCGAGGATCTTTACATAACACCTTTATGCCAATCAAGTAATTATCTTTTATGTGTAACGTATAACTATCGTGCTATTGCTTCGCTAGATTATTCAAATTGTATAAAACAAGTACAATTTAATGAATTTTTTCAGAAATAGACAAATTAAACTCAATTGAAGTTACTTTTATAAACAGTACAAGTATTCAGGCCATTATTCCTTTTACATGGAGGAAAGAGTACAAAAAAATAACAATTTTTTATCGTTGGATTCTCAAAGTAAATATTATTCAATATTATTCTATATTTATTGAAATATTAAGTTTTTTTGATATGCGTTTATAAATTAAATCAAACTTATAATTGACAAAAATATCTCAAAATAATATCTCTTAATGTGAGGAAAAATAAGAGAAGAAAAATAATTTTAAAATCTATTTTTTACAGCGAATTAATTATCATCGGAAACCGGTATTTTCGAATACGACGCAGTTGATAGGTTATTTTGAAAACTTAACACCCGGTGTTGTTTATTCAATTCAATGTGAATTACATATTGAGGGGACTGAAATGTTTATACATAGTAATTGGAAAAATGTTGAAACGAAGTGTAATCGTAAGTGTGCCTTGATATTTATTTAGATGACATTAGTATAAAATTCAATGTGTTTATTATTTACAATATTCTATTTATTGTATATAAAATACTTTATAATATATTATTATTATAAAGTTATTATTTTTGTATTATTATGCCGCAATTAAGATGTATAAATTTTAAAACTGATACAAAATGATTTATAAAAAAACTTAAATATTTGCAAATGTAAAATGTGATACTACACATATATACATACGCAGACTGAATAAATATTTTCTTTACTTTATTATTATTAACAAAAATAATTTTTTTAATAAGCTTTTACCTATATTGTTATGTATTTATTATGATATCTTTTTAACACATTAGCGGTTACAAGTTTTGATGTAAAGCCCGGAGAAACAAACATAACAATTAACTGGCAAATTGGTCAGCGTGTACGTAAATATTTTAGTATTTAAAGAATTTTTGCATGTGTTTATTGTATAATATTTAAAAAAAATGTAATTTCTTAATTTTTCTCTTTCAGTCACAATTTTCATGTCCGGCGAATTGGTATCACTTAATAATCCAAAATATAAACAGTGATTATCAAATTTGGAATACATCAGCTACGTCATTTCCTTTTAACTTGACACAGTTGACACCATATACTTCTTTCAATATAACTGTATATCATAATACTAATAAGCTATTCTCCCAGCAAATTCGCACACTCGAGAGCGGTGAGTTTGAATTGATTTTATAGATGTGTACAGTAAAAATGTGTATATTTGTAAACGAATATTCGTACACATGTATTCAAGTGCTGTAAATATCCATTCTATAAATATCTACAGTTCCATCTGAAGTATTACATCTGCAAGTAATGACTTTGTCGACTACATTTAATGTAATTTGGAAACCTCCAAATAAACCTAATGGACAAATATTAAGATATGAAATAATTGTAAAGGTAAATAAATATTAAGTTTATGTCCACGCATAGTTATAAGAGTTTATATGTATATAAGATATTTATATAAGAAAAGAGATTATTAACAAAAATTATTTAATTTTACACAAAGCTTTGTATACTCTTTAAAATATCAGTAAATTATAAACAGTAAAATTAAATTAAATTTGCCAAGTTAATATAATATATATATTTAATTTTTATTTTAACTGTAGTATTTTCTTAATGTGAATTTTTAAATTAGTTTTAACCTTTTATTATTTTAATTTTGTATTCTAAAAATTCTTTTCTATTTCTCAACAGATTAAACAATATTACGGTTGTAGAGACCTAAATTTAACTATGTCAAAAAATCACTTAATTACTACATCGCCAAACATCACAAATATTAATATCACGAATATACACCCGTACGCGTTTTATGGCGTACAGGTCATAGCTTATAATTCACGATATAGCAGCACGCCTACAGAGAAAACGTTTCAACTTCAAGCCATGGTATATACGAATATTATAATTATTTATCATAACTATATTTGAAACTAAAGATAAAATATTATGATTTAATGTAATTAATTAATTTTTTTCAATAATTTCGTAATATGACTAGCAGACTTCCAACTTAAATTTTTTTACACTTATGAGTTAATTATATTTAATAGTAACTATCAACAACTTTACAGAGATACCAACCGAAGTATTCACCCAACCGAAGGTGCAAGGCTGGATATTATCGTGGAGTCCGCCTGAAGATTGCACGACGATTTTGGGACCGATTAAAGCTAGGATAAAAATACGCGGAATTAGCAACGCTGTAAAAGACTTTCGTCAAACCAGACAAACCACGTTAAATTATTTAAATCTAGATAATATAACACCAAAATTATACGGTGTTGAACGATACGCGGCAAGAATTTACGTGATAAGAGATTTTAAGAGCACAGAAAATGTCAACGCTTATCAAGAATATGAATTTGATACTCCGCCAAGAGGTAACACATTTTACATTACAATTTATTTATATTAGATAAATTATCTCAACACAATTACGACATGATTAAAATAACAGCTCCGCCTAGTGTAATGAATTTGGAAGTCGTCGAGACTGATACTCGCCAAAAAGTTGAAATGATACATTTAAGATGGCAGAGTCCACGTCCACCTCTCAATGGAAAACTGCATCATTATAGCATTCAATTATGCGATAATTTTTGTCACACTATTCAAGTAGTTCAAGTAAATGAGTTTTGTGATTTGTGGGACAATTACATATGCAACATTATTGAAAAACCATCAAAAAATTCAAAAATTCAAGTAGGAAAATTTTTGAATAACATTTTTAGAAAATTAGAATTTTTAATAAAACAATTTGTTATTATATATATTTTTATTATTTGATTTAAAATAATTTAGTAATTTAAATAAAAAAAATCGGGTGTAAGTAATTCATATAATGTAAGACGTGTATTTTTATAGGTTCTTGCGTACAACATGAATGTTTCTGAATCGAGTCTTCCGGTTAATGTGACTGATCAAATGCTTAATAATACAAGTAAGATACTCCATAATTTTGGATTTGTATTATAGATTTTCTTGCGTTTAGAAACCAATTAATTTATATAATTTTTGTACATATTATCATATACATATATTCTCTTTTATATATTTTTGTGTATTCTTCAATTTGTCGTTAATTATAACAGGTAATAGTTTGGAATTTCTTCACAGGTCTTGTAAAATATACTATAGATTAAGTTTTCTTTTAACAAGATTTACTATTTGAATTATTTTTCAGTACCAGACGCACCTAAAAATTTAACATTTACAATCAACAACAATAGTGTAATTGACTTAAAATGGAATCATCCTTGGAATACGGGCGGTCATCTGCAAACTTTTCTCGTTTGTGTAAATGAAGTTTGTTCTAACTTGAGAAGACAGGGGCTTGACAGAAGATCGCCGCATGATGTAGACGATGTAACATATAATTATAAATTTCCGGTGATACATTACAAGCGTAATTACAGTGAGCGGTTATATTTGTTCCCGTCAACGTCATACTTCATTTTCATTCAAGCTGAAACAACTGCAAATGTAACTAGCGATAGTAATTACGTAAAAATCGAAACGCCTTTAACTATAGCTTTTGATGGCGATTTGAAGGTCGCGGTCGACAAGTTTCATTCTATGATCATATTAAACATACCTTCAATTTTGAACGACACGCAAGATAGCAAAATGCACATAATAGTAAAAGGTCCCCATCCATGCGAACAGTATTCCGAAGTACCTAAGAGTTTGCATGCTAAAGCGAATATAAAAAATCACGATATCGCTTGGCAAGCTGCCGAAGTTTCGGTATGTATGTCACAATTATTATCATAAACTTTGTGAAAAAGTTTAAATAAAAAAAAGAAAAATACGCTCAAAAACAATTAAATAATAATATCAAATAATTATGTTTAAAGACACATTTTTATTTTAAGAATGAAAATGTTTCATATTTAATTATCAATTTTATTAAATTATAATATACACATTTAATCATAATTGTTATATTAATATAATAGTTAATATAATAGTTAATATAATATTAATTATTTTTTATAAATCGAATATTTTGATGATATTTGCTTTTAATTGTGACAGACTAGTGACTTTGCTGGTAAGCTATTCATGGTGGGCGACAATCAGAGTTATGGCGATGCTAAAAACTGCCCGTTAAAACCTCACAAGCAATACGAAATAGTGGTTATCGTAATTGCACATGATTTATGGAACAAACCAATCATGCTCGCGAAATCGATCCATATCGGTGAAGTTCCATCAAAGCATCACGAAGCATGGATCATACCAATTTTATTATTCCTCGTTCTGTCAGGCTTGGGTTTTTATTTGTATCGCAGGTATTATATTTTATTTTACATTATAATATTAGTGTTGCTAGCTGCTATATTTAATCACATCTGTCAAAATATATAAGTTTCAAATATATAACTTGTGACTCAATTTTTTCGATTTCTAAATACAGATTCTCTGTACGTTTTGAAATTCTGATTATGATTTTCACAGAAAGAAACAGAAATCGGCTAAACAGCTAATGCAAGACAAAATGAATTATTTGGTTTTGTTGCAAATAATTGAAAAACAAAATGAGTCCGCAATATCAAATTCGAAGAAAGAGTTTTCAGAAACATATGAAAATGCAACTTAAAAAATGCAGTCCTAACGTTTATGAAATATAAAAGATTATTTTATTTAAAATATTTATATCCTAAAATAAAAATAATTTGTTATCAATTACTAATCAGACCACTTCTAACATATATTTTTATTTATTCTAAAATATGATTGCGTAAGATAGTTGAAGAATTTATACATTTATTATTTTATATATTTTATCATTTTTATATGTATACATTTATTATATTATATATATTTTATTATTTTTATATATGTATTTCATACATAATTTATTATTATATAAGAAATTTATAAAAAAAATAAAATAAAATATAGAAAATATTTCAAAAATATTATTTCACCTTATGAATACTGATACGAAGATCATTTTAATCTGTAAACAAAATGATTAAAATTGCAATAATTGATTGGCTCGAGTGTAGTCAAACAAACAATAATTAATGGACTTATTTAAACCGAGTAATTTATTAGGTGTCGATAAATTAATTTTATAAGAAATTCTAATTAGATCTCATTACAGTTTAATTTGATTTTATAAAACGTTTTGACTTTACTTAATCCTCTTCAGTTTGAGTATAAAAAGTATTTAAAAATAAGATTACACAAATAAAATATTATAAAAACACATATTTAACCTTAAAATATCGGATTAAAAAGAACATAAAAATAGTATCAATTTAAAAACAGACATCGAGCTTCTTGAAAGTGTTTATTTTGATAGTTTAGAAAAATTGTCTGAGTTATTTTAACATAGAGAGATATATATAATCTTGTAATATCGGAATGTATACCACTTTTATTACCGATTCACAAGCAAAATTGTCGTGTTTTATAACAGTTTTATACACACGAAGATTCTATTTAATAAACATGTGTTAAAATTTTATCGACTCGACACACATGTAAGTGATTACAATCTTATTATTTAAAAATAAGTTTATAATTTTAAACAAATTACTATTATATTACCTATAATGTCTTCAGCACCTTAATCAACACACCTTTAAAAGGTGTTTAATAAAAAAATATTTAACATTTTAAACAATATAGTTCGTTAAGTTGGCCAATTATTAATTAGTTAAATTTAAAATTATGATTTATGCAAAGAGTATCTATTATATATAAGAAAACATCGCGGAAATTATATTGCAAATAGAATAATAGAAGATATTTTTCTAAAGATTTTACAGCTGTCAAAAATAATTTACTAGGTACAGAATCTGTTATCGCGGATTCACTCGAAGAAAGTCGAGTTCCTTTCTATCAATTGACGTTTAAAATTATCACTGTCCAGTAGTCTAAACGGTGTAAGACACAAATAGCTTGGAAACAAAATTTATTTTTGTTATTATTTTCTTATTGTTTTGTTAGTTCAAATTAAAATGCTAAAATGCAATCTGCATTTTGTTGAAATGTACTCATTTAGAATTACTTATTTCGTCCAATAATTGATTGAAAGACCTAATAAAGTGACGATGTAAAATAAAATAACTGTAATATCAAATATGATTTATTCTCGCACACAGTGTCTTGTCTACTTAATCTAATTAAAGAACGGTAAACAACTCGTTTGTTGGCAATAAAAGAAGTGATAATGAACGCGTTAATGTTCCTTCTCTTTGCGAGTCAGCTATTACACATTTCTGGAACAGTGACCGTATTACGCGGGCAATATAATGTATCTACAGGATATGAAAAAAAATTAATGTGTATTTCGGAGGACGATGGCGGTGCTCTAGTGTGGAACAATAACTTAAGCGGGCAATCTGCATCGTACAAACACAACGCGACACGTAAGTTATTAAAATAAAAATATTTTTTACAGTTTTGCGTATAATTTATAAAAGATTTTGCTCTGTGTTTCAACTCAAATTTTTATTATATTTTATTGGTTAAACATTTATGTTAATCAATTACTCACGATAATAAGTCATAGGTGTACTATTTCAGCATTTGATTATTTAAGTAGAGGAGTTACAGATTGCACAATAAATTGCAAAATGAATGCAAACGAAAATTGTTTACAAACGTGGAATCAACTAGATTGGAAGCTCACGAGCTCTCTTAAAACACCTATGGGTCCGGTACATGATCAGCGATGGGAAGGTAAAAGTGCAAAGAAGTGTCACAAAAAATTGCGATATCTATAGAATACATTACGACGTTAAATAGTCGTAAAACATTTTAAGAAATGTGTACTTAAAATTTTCAGAATTTAAAGAATATACAAGTAGAGATATTAAATATGAACATATATATATCGAAAATACTACTGCAACAACGCTCTCTGTTTCGATCCGTACGTTTAGCGACGCGCATATATTATTCTGCAACAGTAACAATTATCTCAGCGATCTCTGCTATTGGATCATAATAGGTGGTTGGAACAATAGTGCGGCCATCATACAAAAATGCGAGACGGAAATCCCTCCAATCGGCAACTTTTCCCCCAGTAATTCAATCTGCAACAAAGCACAAGTTTCTTTTAACGTAAGACATATCATAATTTCTTCGCTAAATTTTCCCTTATTTATATATGTTTAGTTAAAATGATATAATTAAATTTATACAATTAAAACTATATTTATATAATTAAAAATTGTAGAAATACTAAAATTTATAACTATTATCTTTATTATTTATGAAAACATTTAACGAAAAATCTGAATTAGAATGAATTTCATAAATTGATAATCAATTAACAGCATATGTCGTTATCTGAACTTGAGTGGCGATCGTTTATTATTATGTGGAACTCTGTGACTCGGAATATATCCGTTTATGATACTCATAACTTGATTATGACGTACCAGGATACAGAAAGTTCAGAATTATTGAGCACTGGAAAATCTTATCAAATGTTTATCAGAAGCAGCTCAACAATACTGTTTCGATTTCATATATGTGAGTACAATCTACGAAGATATTTTAATCAATCAGTCAAAAGTCATTTCAAATATTAAAAGATATCGACAAAGAAATTTATTTCTAAATGTATGTTTCAGACAATTTCTTGCACACAATTTACGAAAATGCAATTTTGACGAGTCCTATCGCTCAATTCGATGATAGAATATGTATACAAATGTTTATTGGTCTCTGCGCAGAATGCGAGGTGGATATAAAGTTACGTAATTCTACAAATTACAATATCTTACATGCGGTAAATGTAAAAAGTTCATCACGCACGATAAATCATGGCTTGCCCATGTGGCAATCCGTTCTAATTGAAAGAAATTTTTCAATCCGTTTTAATAGAGTGGTAATCGAAGTGATTCCTAAACTACACGCTCGTAGTTCCAATCCATTATGGGCTATAGCAAATGTTCGTCAATGTCCTAAAAATGGTTTGCTTTCTTGTAAGTTTGGACAAAACTTATTTAACGTTAAATATTTGATTTACATGTTTGTCGAACAATTTGGAAGATTTTTAAGGAAATTAGTTATTTTCTATATACAATTCGTCTAATAGTCATTGTTTAACAGCTTTAAGATGGAGTATTATGACCCAAAATTATTTTGAAGACATCAATAGTTATTTTTGGCCTGCCATATGTCAAAAATTATTTTACGCCGATAGTGCCATCGTAAATTTTACATTAGACGCCAAGCCAAACATGACACTGGGTAATTTTTGAAAATGTTACTTATTCTCTATACTTGGAATTTATAATATATTTGGGTTTTATAACTAATAATATAATACATTTGTTATGTTGTTAGAGAAAAGCGTATTCAGAAATATTATTTTTTAGTTAAAAAATGATTTCTTTTTAGATTATGCAAACTGTCCTAGAAGAAAAATTGGACCACAATGTTCGATATTTTGCAATGATCTGAATAATAATGTTAATTGCAAAGGAACTAAAATTTGTTATGAAGATGGTTGCACGTGTCCTCCAGAATTCCAGGGAAGCACTTGTTTAAATCGTAAGTGTAATTTATCATCTTAGCGATATTATGGGAGCTATTTATATTTTTACTTTACATACGCAATACTCTTATGTACATTTAACCAAATTGAATTTTTCAGCTTGTAAGGGGAACACATACGGCTATGGCTGCAGAAAAATTTGCGGCGCGTGTCGCAACAAAACTTCATTCTCTGAACAAGTATGTGACACAATAACTGGAGTGTGTAACAATGGATGCGAGGATCTTTACATAACACCTTTATGCCAATCAAGTAAATATTTTTTATGTGTAACGTATAACTATCGTGCTATTGCTTCGCTATATTATTAAAATTGCATAAAACAAGCACAATTTACCTTTTTTCAGAAATAGACAAATTAAACTCAATTAAAGTTACTTTCTTAAACAAAATAATTGAACAAGTAATGGAACAAAATTCATCCAACGCACAGATCATGCTTGCGAAATCGATCCATATCGGTGAGGTTCCATTGAAGCATCACGAATCATGGGTCATACCAATTTTATTATTCCTCGTTCTGTCAGGCTTGGGTTTTTATTTGTATAGCAGGTATTATATTTTATTTTACATTATAATATTAATGTTGCAAACTGCTATATTTAATCACATCTGTCAAAATATATAAGTTTCAAATATATAACTGATGAAACAATTTTTTTGATTTCTAAATACAGATTCTCTGTACGTTTTGAAATTCTGATTATGATTTTCACAGAAAGAAGCAGAAATCGGCTAAACAGCTAATGCAAGACGAAATGAATTATTTGGTCTTGTTGTAAAATATTGGGAAACAATATGAGTCCGCAATATCAAATTTGAAGAAAGAGCTTACAGAAACATATAAAAATGCAACTTAAAAAATGCGGTCCTAACGTTTATGAAACATAAAAGATTATTTTATTTAAAATATTTATATTTTAAAATTAAAATAATTTGTTATCAATTATTAATCAGACCACTTCTAACATATATTTTTATTTATTCTAAAATATGATTGCGTAAGATAGTTGAAAAATTTATACATTTATTATTTTATATATTTTATCATTTTTATATGTATACATTTATTATATTATATATATTTTATTATTTTTATATGTATACATTTATTATATTATATATTTTATTATTTTTATATATATATTTCATACATAATTTATTATTATATAAGAAATTTATAAAAAAATATAAAATAAATTATAGAAAATATTTCGAAAATAATATTATACCTCATGAATACTGATACGAAGATCAATTTATTCTGTAAACAAAATGATTAAAATTGCAATAATTGATTGACTCGAGTGTAGTCGAACAAATAATAATTAATGGACTTATTTAAACCGAGTAATTTATTAGGTGTCGATAAATTAATTTCATAAGAAATTCTAATTAGATCTCATTACAGATTAATTTGATTTTATAAAACGTTTTGACTTTACTTAATCCTCTTCAGTTTGAGTATAAAAAGTATTTAAAAATAAGATTACACAAATAAAATATTATAAAAACACATATGTAACCTTAGAATATCGGATTAAGAAGAACATAACAATATCATTTTAAAAACAGACATCGACCTTCTTGAGAGTGTTTATTTTGATATTTTAGAAAAATTGTCAGAGTCATTTTAACATAGAGAGATACGAGTATATATAACCTTGTAATATCGGAATATGTACCAGTTTTATTACCGATTTACAAGCAAAATTGTCGTGTCTTATAACAGTTTTATACACAAGAAGATTATATTTAATAAGAATGTGTTAAAATTTTATCGACTCGACACACATGTAAGTGATTACAATCTTATTATTTCAAAATAGGTTTATAATCTTAAACAAATTACTATCATATTACTTATAATGTCTTCAGCACCTTAATCAACACACCTTTGAAAGGTGTTTAATAAAAAAATATTTAACATTGTAAACAATATAGTTCGTTAAGTTGGTCAATTATTGATTAGTTAAATTTAAAATTATAATTTATGCAAAGAGTATCTATTATATATAAAAAAACATCGCGAAAATTATATTGCAAATGGAATAATAGATGATATTTTTCTAAAGATTTTAAAGCTGTCAAAAATAATTTACTAGATACAGAATCTGTTATCGCGGATTTACTCGAAGGAAGTCGAGTTCCTTTCTATCAGTTGACGTTTAAAATTATTACTGTCCAGTAGTCTGAACGGTGTAAGACACAAATAGCTTGGAAACACAATTTATTTTTGTTATTATTTTCTTATTGTTTTGTTAGTTCAAATTAAAATGCTAAAATGCAACCTGCATTTTGTTGAAATGTACTCATTTAGAATTACTTATTTCGTCCGTTAATTGATTGAAAGACCTAATAAAGTAATAATGTAAAATAAAATGACTGTAGTATCATATATGATTTATACTCTCACACAGTGTCTTGTCTACATAATCTAATTAAAGAACGTTAAACAACTCGTTTGTTGGCAATAAAGGAAGTGATAATGGACGCGTTAATGTTTCTTCTCTTCGCGAGTCAGCTATTACACATTTCTGGAACAGTGACCGTATTACGCGAGCAATAGAATGTATCCACAGGATATGAAAAAAAATTAATATGTATCTCGGAGGACGATGGCGGTGCTCTAGTGTGGAACAATAACATAAACGGGCAATCTGCATCGTACAAACACAACGCGACACGTAAGTTATTAAAATAAAAATATTTTTTACAGTTTTGCGTATAATTTATAAAAGATTTTGCTTTTTGTTTCAACTCAAACTTTTATGATATTTTATCGGTTAAGCATATATGTTAATCAATTACTCATAATAATAAATCATTGGTGTACTATTTCAGCATTTGATTATTTAAATGGAGAAGTTACAGATTGCACAATAAATTGCAAAATGAATGCAGACGAAAATTGTTTAACAGCGTGGAGTTAACTGTATTGGAAACTCACGAGCTCTCTTAAAACACCTATGGGTCCGGTACATAAACAGCGATGGGAAGGTAAAGTGCAAAAAAGTGTCACAAAAATTGCGATATCTATAGAATACATTACGACGTTAAATAGTCGTAAAAACATTTTAAGAAATGTGTACTTAAAATTTTCAGAATTTAAAGAATATACAAGTAGAAATATTAAATATGAACATATATATATCGAAAATACTACTGCAGCAACGCTTTCTGGTTATATTTGTTTCCGTCAACATCATACCGCATTTTCATTCAAGCTGAAACAACTGCATATGTAACTAGCAAAGATGTTTACGTGGAAATCGAAACGCCTTCAACTATAGCTTCCGGTGGCGATTTAAAGGTCGCGGTCGACGACTTTAATTCCATAATCATATTAAACATACCTTTAATTTTGAATGACACGCAAGATAGCAGAATGCACATAATAGTAAAAGGTCCCACTTCTTGCGAGCAGTATTCCGAAGTACCTAAGAGTTTACATGCTAAAGCGAATATAAAAAATTACGATATCGCTTGGCAAGCTGCCGAAATTCCGGTATGTATGTCACAATTATTATCGTAAACCTTATATTTGTGAAAATGTTTAAATTAAAAGAAGAAATATATACGCTCAAAAATAATTAAATAGTGTAGTATGGGATAAATCTGTTTTAAAACATATTTTTATTTTTAAGAATAAGAATGTTTTAAATTTAATTATCAATTTTATATTAGATAATAATATACACATTTATTTATAGTTGTAATATTAGTGTAATATTAATGTAATATTAAAATAAATATTGAATATTTGTTTAAATCAAATATTTTGATGATATTTGCTTTCAATTGTGACAGACTAGTGACTATGCTAGCAGGCAGTTCACGGTGGGCGACAATCAGAGTTATGGCGGTGCTAAAAATTGCCCGTTAAAACCTCAATAGCAGTACGAAATAGTGGTTATCGTATTGGAACAAAATTCATCCGACGCACAGATTATGCTTGCGAAATCGATCCATATCGGTGAGGTTCCATCGAAGCATTACGAAGCATGGATCATATCAATTTTATTATTTTTTGTTTTGTTAGTCATGGGTTTTTATTTGTATCGCAGGTATTATATTTTTTTTTACATTATAATATTAATGTTGCTAGTTGTTATATTTAATCACATTTGTCACAATATATAAGTTTCAAATATATAACTGATGAAACAATTTTTTTGATCTATAAGTACCGATTCATCGCTGTACGTTTTTAAATTCTGATTATGATTTTTACAGATCAAAAAAGAAACCGGCTAAACAGATAATGCAAAACGAGAGAAATTATTTTTTTTTGACGCAGAATATTGAGAATTATCAACATGAGTTCTCAATATCAAATTCGATGCAAGAGTTTTTAACATTTTCCGACAGACAATCTTTATCGCGATCAATCACTTCGGAAGTGTTCCCACACAGTACAAAAATTAACAGAAATGCAGAAACGTTTCAAAGTTTCAAAACAGTTTCAAGTGACTAATGTAATAAAATTGTAAAAAATATTTTTTCGTTAATAACTTACGTGTCGCGTTGTGTTTGTACGATGCAGATTGCCCGTTTAAGTTATTGTTCCACACTAGAGCACCGCCATCGTCCTCCGAGATACATATTAATTTTTTTTTCATATCCTGTGGATACATTATATTGCTCGCGTAATACGGTCACTGTTCCAGAAATGTGTAATAGCTGACTCGCGAAGAGAAGAAACATTAACGCGTCCATTATCACTTCCTTTATTGCCAACAAACGAGTTGTTTAACGTTCTTTAATTAGATTAAGTAGACGAGACACTGTGTGAGAGAATAAATCATATATGATACTACAATCATTTTATTTCACATAGTCACTTTATTAGGTCTTAAATCAATTATCGGACGAAATAAGTAATTCTAAATGAGTACATTTGAACAAAATGCAGGTTGCATTTTAGCATTTTAATTTAAACTAACCTTTTACTATTATGTGCATTCTGCTATCTTGCGTGTCATTCAAAATTGGAGGTATGTTTAATATGATCATGGAATTAAAGTCGTCGACCGCGATCTTCAAATCGCCACCAAAAGCTATAGTTGAAGGCGTTTCGATTTCCACGTAAACATCTTTGCTAGTTACATCTGCAGTTGTTTCAACTTGAATGAAAATGCGGTATAATGTTGACGGAAACAAATTTAACCAGAAAGCGTTGCTGCAGTAGTATTTTCGATATATATATGTTCATATTTAATATTTCTACTTGTATATTCTTTAAATTCTGAAAATTTTAAGTACACATTTCTTAAAATGTTTTTACGACTATTTAACGTCGTAATGTATTCTATAGATATCGCAATAAATTCTGAAATGTTTCTGAAATGTTTTGTACTGTGTGGGTCATCACTTGCCGTCGAAAAAAAGTCCGATGGGAGATAGAGAAGGAAATAACATCGTTGACGAAAGTTAAAGATTTTGAAGATTACTTTAGACAGGCGATACAATCGAGATTATTGGACAAGTAATATGATTGAAATTTTTTGTAAAAATTTGATACTTGCATAGTCATTTATATTATAAGACGCAAGACTCGTAATTCAAAAATCTTACAGAGAAGTTAACACTTCGCACTATGTAAACTTATTTATTTACATATTATTATTTTATTATTAATTAATTTATTTATTTATACAGCAATATAATAATGTATTGATTTAATATTTTCTTTTACAAGACTTTTCTACAATGTCAAACTCGGTCGTGAGATTACGGAAAATGCTGCAAAATATGTCTAAGAATCGATAAGTGGAAAATAATGTCTAGGTGCATGCTTAATAGACAGAAAAAGCATTCAATACCATATAGTTAGATGCATTAATATACAAAGTAATTAAAAAAGAATTTCCAAAGCATTTAATTTAACTCATCCGAAATATGATTTCGGATAGATTTTTTATAACATCGTTCGGAGAAATATATTCACTGAAAAAAAATAATGTTAATATGAGTAAACGCGTTTAAGTCATAGAATTTTTTAAATTGAAATATTCAAATGTTTCTGGTTTAACATTATTTTTTTCTCAGTGTTCAAATAGCATATACAAAATCAATATCGGACTTCACAAGGCACAGTAAATTCTCCTATATTATATTATTTAGCATATATACATCTAAAAAACATAAAATTCACAGACTAAACCAACCAAAAAATCCACAAATTATCGCATTTACCGTCGATCTCATGATATATTTGACTGACAACCGGTCTTTTACAATACAACAAAAATTTCAGAACGTATTTCATAAGCTTGAATCCTATTATGAAACATGAAAACTCAAAATTAACATAGACAAATAATGTTAAAGAATTTTATTTAGACCCAGTTTAACGCAAGCGAATCGAAATCTTTAAAAAAATTATAAAACATTCGAAATAAAAAGTTTAATAGTAATGTTTAATACCATAAAAACATCGTCAAATACATAGAAGCAAATCTCGACGAGAGACTACATTATAAGAATCATATAGAAATACAGCTTAAAAGAAGCCGTCCTAACGTTTATGAAACATAAGAGATTATTTTATTCAAAATATTAACATCCTAAAATGAAAATATGTTGTTATTAATTATTAATCAGACCACTTCTAACAAACGGCTGTTCTATATGGTACAATATAAATGTAACTCTGAGAAATTGAGAATTTTAGAAAGAAAATGCTTACGCGTCTCTTTAAACATAAATATTGTAGATTAGAACATTCAAATTACATAAAATATGTAAATAATCAAATTTTATACAATAAAGTAAAAATACCTAGAATTGATAATACTTTATAATTAACTTAACACGTGATCACTTTCTCAACGTAAGCAGAATAATAGATAACAGTCTCATATTCAGTTCTATTTACCCTAATCCTATATACTTTAAAAAAACATTAACAAATGGATTTATAACTTCAAAAGCATTTATATGTTTCGATGAAAAAGTATATACACAAGATGAAAAAAAATGTGTTAATAATTTATTACCTTCCTAGACATGATAATATTAAAAAACTAAATTATTCAGAACATACATCTAGCAATAAAATTTGTATTAAATGGCGTTACGACATGACTATCCTGCAAGTAGATAAAGATATGAAGAAAAATAATAAAGGATACTGGTGGATTTCATCATATTAAAATATATAGTAAAAAAGAAATATATAAGATATATATAGACAACATAATAGTATATTGTGTATCAAGTGCGGAAAGTTGACAATTGGTCACGAGTGCGGGGATAGACGCACGAGCCGAAGGCGAGTGCGACCACCTCACACGAGTGAACAATTGTCAATTCGCACGTGATACACACACTATTTTGTATTACAAGTGCAGGCAAAGTGGCTTTGTGCGCGTTTTCTGTGCGCGAGGTGGCCGATTGCACGCCGCCATCTTGCGACGGCACGGTGCGGGAATAGCCGCGTTGAAACCGTGGACAATGACTTTGAACGCGGCTCAGCCGTAGGCAATGGTTTTGAATGCGACTTATTCACTCATCGCGTCGCCGCTTGATAGCGGCGTGGGAAATCGGCCGCTTTTCGCACAGAAAACACGCACACAAAGTGCCACTTTGCCTGCACGTGTAACACAAAATTATAATATAATATATAATGTTACTGTTTTATTTCCTATAACTTTATATATTAAAAGATAGACAATAAGAGATATAAATAATAAATAACAAACACAACAATATATACATGATACATCAAATAAAGCGCATTATGTGGCGTGTCGGTTTAGGCGGTTTTGGACATCACAGACGAGTGCATTCTTGGATACCACGATTCTCTTTTTAAGCTATCTCGATCTAACAATAGTCATACGTGTATCTTAGAATTGTACTTCTGAGTGAAGGATGTGTAAAAATATGATTGCGTAAGTTAGTTGAAGAATTTTATGAAACATAAAAGATTATGTTATTCAAAATATTTACATCCTAAAATAAAAAAAATTTGTTATTAATTACTAATCAGACTACTTGTAACAAAATATGATTGCGTAAGATAGTTGAAGTATTTATTATCCAAAAATTTATAAAAAAATATAAAATAAAATATAAAAAATATTTCAAAAAAATTATTATACCTTATGAATACTAATAATAAGACCGATTTAATCAGTAAACAAAATTATTATTAAAATCACAATAATTGATTGACTCGAGTGTAGTCAAAAAAATAATATTTAATGGACCAATTTAAACCGAGTAATTTATTAGGTGTTGATAAATTAATTTCATAAGAAAGTCTAATTAGATCTCATTATAGTTTAATTTGGTGTGTATATCAAATTTTTAAAAATGTTTCGACTTTACTTACTTCTCTTCAGTTTGAGTATAAAAAGTATTTAAAAATAATATTACACAAATAACATATTATAAAAACATGTGTATAATCTCATAATATTGGATTAATTATCACAAAAGATTAATATCTGAAATGTTATATATCAAAGAACATAAAAATAGTATTAATTTAAAAGCAGATATTAAGCTTCTTGGCATATATATATATATATATGTATATAACCTTGTAATATCGGAATAAACACTAGTTTTATTACTGACTCACAAGCAACTTGTCGTGTCTTATAACAGTTTTATACACATAAAAATTTTATTTAATAAGAATGTGTTAAAATTTTATTGACTCGACACACATGTAAGTGATTACAATCTTATTATTTAAAAATAGATTTATAAATTCACACAAATTATTACATATTACCTAATGTCTTTAGCTTATTAATCAGCACACCTGTCAATGGTTTTTAATAAAAAATATTTAACATTTTAAACAATCTAGCTCGTTAAGTTAGCTTATTATTGATTAGTTAAATTTAAAATTACGATTTATGTAAAAAGTTTCTATTATATTATATATACGAAGATATTGCGAGAACTATATTGCAAATGGAATAATAGATGATATTTTTTTAAAGGTTTTAAAGCTGGCAAAAATAACTTATATTTCTTCGTTTTAATTTCCCTTTCCCTTGAACTATTAAATACTCGTTCTATAATTGAAAAAATACACAACTATACACAATGAGATTTAAATTGATTCGAAATGTATAAAAAGTAAATCTTTATTTATATAAGCATTAACGCAGTTAGATAGTCTCTGTTTAAATAAAGAGATTTAATTAAAAATTTTACAAATTTTTACTTCATATATTTTTATATGTATATACCTTTTTTACACTCATATATCCTAATATCTAATTTTACAATTAGTTATCTAACGCACATATGTACAATAACTGATAACGCACAAATATATTCCTATTAAATAAAAATAGTTTAAGAGCTGTCATATTTTAGAATAAATGTGCTTATTAACATCATGATATCACTATGCAATGTAATTTTTAAGCTATAAATAATTGTCTTAAAATAGTACAAAGATTCTGAATTGAGAATATAGTGACAAATTTTTTATAAAATATATAAAAATTGTTCTACAAAAAGTAAAAATTGTGTGAAATTATATATTACACCATCATGCAGTTTTCGCTATTGTATGCGTGTATATCCTTATCCAATTTTATTAAATATATTTCTTTATATTTTATCATATACTTTGTTATAATGTATTTAGTAATCTAGCGTAATAAAATAATATATAGAAAATATTCCGTTAAATCGTCACTTCCTGATGCGTCAGTCGTATGTATTAGATACAGAATCTGTTATCGCGGATTCACTCGAAGGAAGTCGAGTTCCTTTCTACCAGTTGACGTCTAAAATTATTACTGTCCAGTAGTCTGAACGGTGTAAGACACAAAATAGCTTGGAAACAAAATTTATTTTTGTTATTATTTTCTCATTGTGTTGTTATTTCAATCAGATTGCTAAAGTGAAACCTGCATTTTGTGTTCGAGTGTACTCATTTAGAATTACTTATTTCGTCCGATAATTGATTGAAAGACCTAATAAAGTGATGATGTGAAATAAAATGACTGTAGTATCATATATGATTTATTCTCTCACACAGTGTCTCGTCTACTTGATAATGATCGTTAGACAACACGTTTGTTAGCAATGAAGGACGTGATAATGAACGCGTTAATGTTCCTTCTCATCGCGAGTCAGATGTTACATATTTCTGGAAGAGTGACCCTATTATGCGGAGACAAACATAATGCACGCAGAGAATATGAAAGAAGATTTATATGTATCTCGGAGGACGATGGCGGCGCTCTAGTGTGGAACAATATTTTAAACGGGCAATTTGCTTCGTTCAAACACAGCGCAATACGTAAGTTATTAAAATAAGAATACTTTTTACAGTTTTGTAAATAATTTATAAAAGATTTTGCTCTTCGCTTTAACTAGCATTTTTATTATATTTTATCTGTTACACAATTATGTTTATCAATTATTCACGATAATATACAAATCATTGGTGTACTATTTCAGCATTTGATTATTTAAGTGGAGGAGTTCCAGATTGCACAATAAATTGTAAAATGAATGCAGATGAAAACTGTTTAACAGCGTGGAGTCAACAGAATTGGAAGCTCACGAGTTCTCTTAAAACACCTATGGGTCCGGTACATGATCAGCGATGGGAAGGTAAAAGTGCAAAGAAGTGTCAAAAATTTGCGATATTTATAATATGCATTACGACGTTAAATAGTTTAAAAAGTGCTTTAAGAAACGTGTACTTAAAATTTTCAGAATTTAAAGAATATACAAATACAAATATTAATTATGAACATGTACATTCTGGAAATACTACCGCAGCAACGTTCTCCGTTTCGATTCGTGCGTCTAGCGACACGCATATATTAATTTGCAACGGTACAGATTATCACAGGGATCTATGCTATTGGATCATAATAGGTGGTTGGAGTAATAGTAGGTCCATCATACGAAAATGCAAGACGGGAGTTCCTTCAATCGGCGATTTTCCCGCCCGTAATTCAATCTGTAACAAAGCACAAGTTTCTTTCAACGTAAGACATACCATAATTTCTTCTCTAAACTTTCTTTTATTTATATATTATTAAAATATTATAATTAAGCTTATACAATTGAAACTTTATTTCTATAATTAAAAATCGTAAAAATACTAAACTTTAGAACTATTTTTAATCATTTATGATAAGCCGTTTTAAAAAAAATCTAAATTAAAATTTTTTTTTTTATTTTTATTATTTATGAAACTGTTTAAGGAAAAATCTGAATTTGAATGAATTTGTAATAAATCAATTTAAACGATTGATAATCAATTAACAGCATATGCCATTATCTGAATTTGAGTGGCGATCGTTTATTATTATGTGGAACTCTGTGACTCGGAATATATCCGTTTATGATACTCATAACTTGATTATGACGTACCAGGATACAGAAAGTTCAGAATTATGGAGCACTAAAAAATCTTATCAAATGTTTATCAGAAGCAGCCCAACAATACTGTTTCGATTTCATATATGTGAGTACAATCTACGAAGATATTTTAATCAATCAGTCAAAAATAATTTCAAATACTCAAAGATATCGACCAATAAAATTTATTTCTAAATGTATGTTTCAGACAATTTTTGCACACAATTTACGAAAATACAATTTTGACGAGTCCCATCGCTCAATTCGATGATAGAATATGTATACAAATGTTTATTGGTCTCTGCGCAGAATGCGAGGTGGATATAAAGTTACGTAATTCTAAAAATTACAATATCTTACATGCGGTAAATGTAAAAAGTTCATCACGCACGACAAATCATGGCTTGCCCATGTGGCAATCCGTTCTAATTAAGAGAAATTTTTCAACCCGTTTTAATAGAGTGGTAATCGAAGTGACTCCTAAACTCAACGCTCGTAGTTCCAATCCATTATGGGCTATAGCAAATGTTCGTCAATGTCCTAAAAATGGTTTGCTTGCTTGTAAGTTTGGTCAAAACTTATTTAACGATAAATATTTGATTTACATGTTTGTCGAACAATTTGGAAGATCTTTAAGGAAATTAGTTATTTTCTATATACAATTCGTCTAATAGTCATTGTTTAACAGCTTTAAGATGGAGTATTATGACCCAAAATCATTTTGAAGACATCAATAGTTATTTTTGGCCTGCGATATGTCAAAAATTATTTTACGCCGATAGTGCCATCGTAAACTCTACATTAGACGCCAAGCCAAACATGACACTGGGTAATTTCTGAAAATGTTACTTATTCTCTATACTTGAAATTTATTTCTATAATTGCATTTTATAATTAATAATATCACATTTTTGTTAAATCTTTAGAATGGCGTATTTAGAAATATGATTTTGTAGTTGAAAAAATGATTTTTTTTCAGATTTTGCAAATTGTCCCGAAGGAAAAATTGGATCACAATGTTCGATATCTTGCAATGATCTAAATAATAATGTTAATTGCAATGGAACTAGAATTTGTTATGAAGATGGTTGCACGTGTCCTCCAGGATTCCAGGGAAGCACTTGTTCAAACCGTAAGTGTAACTTATCGTCTTAGCGATATTATCGGAGCTATTTATATTTTGTTTTGCATACGTGTATATTTAATTAAATTGAATTTTTCAGCTTGTAAGGGCAACACATACGGCTATGGCTGCAAAAAAAAATGCGGCGCGTGTCGCAACAGAACTTCATTCTTTAAACAAGTATGCGACACAATAACTGGAGTGTGTAACGATGGATGCGAGGATCTTTACATAACATCTTTATGCCAATCAAGTAATTATTTTTCATGTGTAACATATAACTATCGTGCTATTGCTTCACTATATTATGCAAATTGTATAAAACAAGTACAATTTAATGAATTTTTTCAGAAATAGACAAATTAAACTCAATTGAAGTTACTTCTATAAACAATACAAGTATTCAGGCCATTATTCCTTTTACATGGAAGAAAGAGTACGAAGAAATAACAATTTCTTATCGCTGGATTTTCAATGTAAATATTATTCAATATTATTCTATATTTATATAAATATATTATAATATATATTATTAATATATAAATATATATTATTATATATTTATTAAAGTCTTTTTGATATGCGTTTATAAATTAAATCAAACTTATAATTGACAAAAATATCTCAAAATAATATCTCTTAATGTGAGGAAAAATAAGAGAAGAAAAATAATTTTAAAATCTATTTTTTACAGGAAAAATTATCATCGGAAACCGGTATTTTCGAATACGACGCAGTTGATAGGTTATTTTGAAAACTTAACACCCGGTGTTGTTTATTCAATTCAATGTGAATTACATATTGAGGGGACTGAAATGTTTATACGTAGTGATTGGAAAAATGTTGAAACAAAGTGTAATCGTAAGTGTGCCTTGATATTTCTTTAGATGACATTAGTATAAAATTCAATGTGTTTTATTATTTACAATATTCTATTTTATTGTATAAAATACTATAAAATAATTATTAATATTAAAGTTATTATTTTTGTATTATTATGCCGCAATTAAGCAGGATAAATTTTAAAATTGATACAAAATGATTTATAAAAAAACTTAAATATTTGCAAACGTAACATGTGATACTTTACATATATACATACACAGACTGAATTATTTTCTTTACTATTATTATTATTTAACAAAAATATAATTTTTTTAATAAGCTTTTATCTATATTGTTATGTATTTATTATGATATTTTTTTTAACAAATTAGCGGTTAAAAGTTTTGATGTAAAGCCCGGAGAAACAAACATAACAATTAACTGGCAAATTGGTCAGCGTGTACGTAAATATTTTAGTATTTGAAGAATTTTTGCATGTGTTTATTGTATAATATTTAAAAAAAATGTAATTTCTTAATTTTTCTCTTTCAGTCACAATTTTCATGTCCGGCGAATTGGTATCACTTAATAATCCAAAATATAAACAGTGATTATCAAATTTGGAGTACATCAGCTACGTCATTTCCTTTTAACTTGACACAGTTGACACCATATACTTCTTTCAATATAACTGTATATCATAATACTAACAAGCTGTTCTCCCAGCAAATTCGCACACTCGAGAGCGGTGAGTTTGATTTGATTTTATAGATGTGTACAGTAAAAATGTGTATATTTGTAAACGAATATTCGTACACATGTATTTAAGTGCTGTAAATATCCATTCTATAAATATCTACAGTTCCATCTGAAGTATTACATCTGCAAGTAATGACTTTGTCGACTACATTTAATGTAATTTGGAAACCTCCAAATAAACCTAATGGACAAATATTAAGATATGAAATAATTGTAAAGGTAAATAAATATTAAGTTTATGTCCACGCATACTTATAAGAGTTTATATGTATATAATATATTTATATAAGAGAAGAGATTATTAACAAAAATTATTTAATTTTACACAAAGCTTTGTATACTCTTTAAAATATCAGTAAATTATAAACAGTAAAATTAAATTAAATTTGCCAAATCAATATAATATATATATATTTAATTTTTATTTTAACTGTAGTATTTTCTTAATGTGAATTTTTAAATTAGTTTTAACCTTTTATTATTTTAATTTTGTATTCTGTAAATTCTTTTCTATTTTTCAACAGAATAAGCAATATTACGGTTGTAGAGACCTAAATTTACCTACGTCAAAAAATCACTTAATTACTACATCGACAAACATCACAAATAGTAATATCACGAATATACACCCGTACGCGTTTTATAGCGTACAGGTCATAGCTTATAATTCACGATATAGCAGCACGCCTACAGAGAAAAACGTTTCAACTTTAAGCCATGGTATATACAAATATTATAATTATTTATCATAACTATATTTGAAACTAAAGATAGAATATTATGATTTAATGTAATTAATTAATTTTTTCAATAATTTCGTAATATGACTAGCAGACTTCCAACTTAAATTCTTTTACACTTATGAGTTAATTATATTTAATAGTAACTATCAACAACTTTACAGAGATACCAACCGAAGTATTCACCCAACCGAAGGTGCAAGGCTGGATATTATCGTGGAGTCCGCCTGAAGATTGCACGACGATTTTGGGACCGATTAAAGCTAGGATAAAAATACGCGGAATTAGCAACGCTGTAAAAGACTTTCGTCAAACCAGACAAACAAGGTTAAATTGTTTAAATCTAGATAATATAACACCAAAATTATACGGTGTTGAACGATACGCGGCAAGAATTTACGTGATAAGAGATTTTGAGAGCACAGAAAATGTCAACGCTTATCAAGAATATGAATTTGATACTCCGCCAAGAGGTAACACATTTTACATTACAATTTATTTATATTAGATAAATTATCTCGACACAATTACGACATGATTAAAATAACAGCTCCGCCTAGTGTAATGAATTTGGAAGTCGTCGAGACTGATACTCGCCAAAAAGTTGAAATGATACATTTAAGATGGCAGAGTCCACGTCCACCTCTCCATGGAAAACTGCATTATTATAGCATTCAATTATGCGATAATATTTGTCATACTATTCAAGTAGTTCAAGTAAATGAGTTTTGTGATTTGTGGGATAATAACATATGCAACATTATTGAAAAACCATCAAAAAATTCAATAATTCAAGTAGGAAAATTTTTGCATAACATTTTTAGAAATTTAGAATTTATAATAAAAAAATTTGTTATTATATATATTATATATATTTGCTTTAAAATAGTTTAATGAAAAGAAATTAAAAACGGACGTGTAAATGATTTTTATAATGTAATATGTGTATTTTTACAGGTTCTTGCGTACAATATGAATTTTTCTGAATCGAGTCCTCCGTTAAAGTGACTGATCAAATGCTTCGTAATACAAGTAAGATACTCCACAATTTTGGATTTGTATTATGGATTCTCTTGCGTTTAAAAACTATTTAATTTATATAATTTATATTCATATTATCATATACATATATTCTCCCTTATAAATTTCTGTGTATTCTTTAATTTGTAGTTAATAATAACGAGTAATTCTTTGGAATTTCTCTTCAATTTTTTTAAATTATACTATTTATTAAGTTTGCATTTAAAAAGAATTACTACTTCAATTATTTTTCAGTACCAGACGCACCTAAATTTTTAACATTTACAATCAACAATAATAGTGTAATTGACTTAAAATGGAATCATCCTTGGAAGACGGGCGGTCATCTGCAAACTTTTCTCGTTCGTGTACATGAAGTTTCTTCTAACTTGAGAAGACAGAGGCTTGACAGAAGATCGCCGCATGATGTAAAAGATGTAACATATAAATTTCCGGTGATACATTACAAGCGTAATTACAGTGAGCGGTTATATTTGTTTCCGTCAACGTCATATCACATTTACATTCAAGCTGAAACAACTGCATATGTAACTAGCAAAGATGTTTACGTGGAAATCGAAACGCCTTCAACTATAGCTTTCGGTGGCGATTTGAAGGTCGCGGTCGACGACTTTAATTCCATGATTATATTAAACATACCTCCAATTTTGAACGACACGCAAGATAGCAGAATGCACATAATAGTAAAAGGTCCCCATCCTTGCGAGCAGTATTCCGAAGTACCTAAGAGTTTACATGCTAAAGCGAATATAAAAAATTACGATATCGCTTGGCAAGCTGCCGAAATTCCGGTATGTATGTCACAATTATTATCGTAAACTTTATATTTGTGAAAATATTTAAATTAAAAGAAGAAATATATACGCTCAGAAATAATTAAATAGTAGTATGGAATAAATCTGTTTTAAAACATATTTTTATTTTAAGAATAAGAATGTTTTAAATTTAATTATCAATTTTATATTAGATAATAATATACACATTTATTTATAGTTGTAATATTAGTGTAATATTAATGTAATATTAAAATATAATATTGAATATTTGTTTAAATCAAATATTTTGATGATATTTGCTTTCAATTGTGACAGACTAGTAACTATGCTAGCAAGCAGTTTACGGTGGGCGACAATCAGAGTTATGGCGATGCTAAAAACTGCCCGTTGAAACCTCAAGAGCAATACGATATAGTGGTTATTGTAATTGTACATAATTTATCCAATAAATCGATCATGCTTGCGAAGTCGATTCATATCGGTGAGGTTCCATCGAAGCATCACGAAGCATGGATCATACCAATTTTATTATTCCTCGTTCTGTCAGGCATGGGTTTTTATTTGTATTGCAGGTATTATATTTTATTTTACATTCTAATGATAGTGTTGCTAGCTGCTATATTTAATCACATCTGTCAAAATATATAAGTTTTAAATATATAACTAATGAGACACAATTTTTTCGATGTATAAAAACAGATTCTCTTCTTTTTAAATTCTGATTATGATTTTCACAGAAAGAAGCAGAAATCGGCTAAACAGCTAATGCAAGACGCGATGAATTCTTTTGTCTTGTCACAGAATGTGGAGAATTATCAACATGAGTCCGTAATATCAAATTCTAAGGAAGAGCTTTCCACATCTTCCGACAGACAATCTTTACCGCGATCAATCATTCCGGAAGTACCATCACTCGTCGTCGAAAAAAAGTCCGATGATGTGGTGGAGAAGGAAAAAACATCTTTGACGAAAGTTGAAGATTTTGAAGATTACGTTAGACAGGCGGTACAATCGGGATTACTGGATAAGCAATATGATGTGAGTTTTTGATCCTATGTTTAATTCCTAAACTATCAAATTGTTTGAAACTTTTTCGTGAAGTTGACATTTGCTTTATTATTTATATTATACGACGCAAGATTCGTATTTCGAAAAATCTTACAGAGAAGTTGACACTTCACACTATGTAAATTTATTTATTTATTTATTATTAATTTATTAGTAATTAATTAATTTATTTTAATAGCGATATGATAATATCTAAATTTATATTTTTTCTTTGAGACGTTTCCAAGAGGTGAAACTCGGACGTGGGATTATGGGAAATTGCCGCAAAATAAATCTAAGAATCGATATGGAAATCTTATAGCATGTAAGTAAACAATTGATCGCAGTTATTGAAATTGTTCTTTATTAACGAGTCAATATCATGATTAACAGATGATGAAACTCGCGTGATACTGAAGAAACTTCCGGATGATGTTTATTCTGATTACATCAATGCTAATTATATCACTGTAAGTCATAATAAATATTTTAAATTGAAAAATTATATTTTTGCATTTATAAATTTTAATATTTTATTTTATTTTTAATACACTCTCTAAAAAACGGTAGACTAAAAATTTAGAAAAAAATTAAATTTTAAATGACGATAACTTCGTAAATAATAAAGATAGAAAAGATTTAAAAAAAATAAAAATTTTGTCATTTTTCCAAATTTTAGGTATACCGCTTTTTTTAGAGTAAATGTATTAATAGAATAATTAAAAATTTTATTAATTACAATTATTTTTTTATCTGCTCCAAAAAGGGCTATAAGAAGGAGAAACGATATATAGCAACGCAAGGACCCAAACCCAACACAGTTGTTGATTTTTGGCGCATGATTTGGCAAGAAAATGTTCTAATTATTTGCATGTTAGCAAATATAATCGAAAGTGGAAAAGTAAACACTATTTACTTATACTACTGTATATTTCCATAGATATATATACAACTCGAAAAACGCGAAAATCTTAAAAATAAAATTGATAAAATTAGCAAATGTACCATAAACACAATTGATAAAAATTAGAAACAAGCATACTTAATATTTTTATTTGTCTAGCATTTTCAATAAATCAATTCATCTTTCATGAATTTTGCAGACAAAGTGCGAGCAATATTGGCCGGATATTGGCAAGAAAAAAAAATATGGAGATGTTATTGTGTTCAACACAAAGCACAACGTCTTTGCTGATTACTGCTTCAGAATTTTTCAAGTCACCTGTGGAAAAGAGACTCGAAAGGTACTCTCTTATTTTTAATCAATATCACAATACGTTTATTTAATTGTTCTAACATTATACACACAATCTATGGTTTAATAAAAAATTATTTAACATTCTAAACAATTTAGTTAAGTTGACCTAGTATTAATTAGTTGATTTTAAATCCACACGAGCCTAATTTTTTAATTTTTTAATTAAATATCACAATAATTGCGTATTTCGATGAACAGATAGAGCATCTGCATTACACGGCCTGGCCAGATCACGGTGTGCCGTTGTACACGCACTCTGTAGTTACATACTTGAAGAAATTATTGGCAACAAAACCTGGAAACGGACCCGTGGTGGTTCATTGTAGCGCCGGAGTTGGAAGAACCGGGACCATCATTCTGTGCGACATTTGTCTCCATCGAGCAGCAGCCGAAGGGGTAAAGACCCATACAGTTTACAGCAATATTGCAACAACATTGCAATATTGCACATTGCATAGCAATATTGCAGAAATATTATATAGGCATAAATTTGCAATATAGTTTAAACAACGTTGCAGCAACATTTCAGAAATATTATGAAACTAAAATTCACGCAAAAAATATTAGGTACAGAACATTCAGTCCGATCATGTATTTAACACATTTCCAATAATCCAATAGTAATATTACATATTTCTTTTATCGCATTATTGCTGCAATGTTATAGAATAATATTACTGAAAGCGGACATTTTACCGTTGCTGCAACCTTGCAGCAAGATTGCTGCAACATTTCAGAAATATTATGAAACTAAAATTCACGCAAAAAATATTAGGTACAGAACATTCAGTCCGATCATGTATTTAACACATTTCCAATAATCCAATAGTAATGTTACATATTTATTTTATCGCATTATTGCTGCAATGTTATAGAATAATATTACTGAAAGTGGACATTTTACCGTTGCTGCAACCTTGCAGCAAGATTGCTGCAACATTTCACAATGTTTATGCAATGTTGTAATATTGCAATAACATGTTGCCACAATGCTGTTGCAATCTTGTTGCGCTGTATGGGGATAGTATAAAAATAAAATTCTTGTAAAAAATTAAAATCCGGTAAGTGTTTGCATCGACAAATCAAATTCTTTTTAACACGCGAAACGATACTCAATAAAAGCAAAAAAATGGTTTAGCTGATCGACGTTTTCGCTGAAACGGCATCCATCAGGAACGAGAGAGCTAATATGGTGGATAATAAGCAGCAGTATCTGTTGGCGCATTTGGCATTGGTGGAATGTTTGCTCTCCATTCCGACCGCGTTACTGTGTAACGAAGTGTTACCCATGAAAATCAAGGAGATGAAAGAACAATTATTGGTTCAACAACAAAGGTACGTGGTATAAGAATTTAATCTCGATATAGAACTTTCGTATCGATTAAAAATATGTTACGGAAACTTGAGATTCGATGATTCTCAGATTACAGAACATTGCCTGGCAGGACGAAGCTCTGCGACAGTTTATATCTTTATCCTCTTTATCAGAACGTAATCGTGCTAAAAACAGATTTCCGGAACTAATTTTAGGTTTGTTCGCATAAATTCAGCAAATATATGAAATTTTTTTTACAAATGTTTCTCAAAATTTAAGTAAAAATAATTTTGCATTTTACAGATAAAGTCAGCAGAATATATTTGAAAAGATATCCGACAACGGACGAGGACAGTGATTACCTGTCTGCCGTTTACGTGGATGGAATAAGACTTCAGAATCAGTATCTAGCCACACAGCTTCCTATGCCGTCGACGATTAATGATTTTTGGCGAATGATCGCGGAATTAAAAGTGGAACTCATTCTCATGCTACAGCCGCCTGATCTGCAGGATACTGTACGAACAATTTTTTACATCTCTTTATGTATTTATCAAGTAAACATATATTTGCAGAATATAAACTGTATATTTACAAAAATATCCTTTGTTTATATTTTTTTAGTTTTAATCTCGTGGTAATATTTAGTGAAGTAGTATGATTCAATTAATAGAAATAATCTACCTGAAATATAATTATATCAAAATCAATATAATAGTAATTAGACAAATGTAAATTTAAGATACAGGCTAATCAAAGTTGAGCGCAGAAATTAGGCGTAATAATTTTGTTATAAAATATTTTTCACTATTTAAATTCAACGTGTCAGTCTTTTCTTTGAGTTATCTTCAGCAGATTGATTAAGAAAAATCGTGCAACTTGTCCTGACCTGCGGTGACATAAAAAAACAGTATTGTATATTATTATGTATTTTATAATAAATTATGCAATTAATACAATTATCTGTTTTTCCATTCTCAGACTTGCTGTGCGATCTCTCCTAACAGCGGCGAGTTTAAGCCAACGCCATACTTGAACATTACAGTAAAAGATATCGTGGAATTGGAGTATTATACATCACAGAAATTTCTACTTGTTGACAATTCGGAGGTAGGTCTCAATTCGGTGAATTCATTTAATAAATTTTTATTAATTAACTTACTACTTATTTATTGTGACCGGTGACAATTTGTCATAGAAACCCCCGAGAGAGCAATTTGTGACTATCTTACATTTAACGGAATGGAAACCTGGGAGGAATCAACCACCTCCACCGGTAATGACGATGGTGACACTTTGGCAAGCTGCGGAGAGAATCCCGAGAGGCGATGGACCGACTGTTACGATTTGCCAGTAAAAATTAAAATATATTATTTATAATTTGAGATAAAAAACAAAAAAAGAGAGTTTTATATTTCTTTAAAAAAGAAAAATAATAAAATTGTAAATTTCTCTCCTCAAATAATTGATTAAACTTATCTTTTCTGAGCAATCTTCTAATTTTTGCGCCGCGGAATACCTATTAAATGAATAATTCTTTTTTAGTGATGGAGTAACTGGATGCGGTCTTTACTTAGCGTTGAGCTTTCTCCTGGAACGAATGGCTGTTGAAAGAGAATGCGACGTTTGTTTGGCAGTACGAGCAATTAGACGATCGAGACCGGACTTTGTTCGATCTTTGGTAATATATTAATTTCTTAACAATAATAGTAAGAAATATTGATGAGAGATGGAAAATCATCAGTCGCATGTAAACTTGTATAAATAAATTTTATCAAAATTTAAAATCTCTAATTTTTAGGAACAACTAGAATATCTGTACGATGCAGCAATTACATATCTGGAGTATTTTGAAACTTATGCAAATTTTTCATAAATTATTATTATCGCAAATAAAATATATTATCATAAATAAAATACAGTATTACATTTTCTATATAACACAGTATGTATACATATATAATAATAACAATTAAATAACGATACACACAACATATGTATATATGCACATATATATACATATGCGTGCATTAAATATTATATAATGCATAACTCTAACTTAATATACATAAAGTATGTTATTGTAATAATTAAAAAATGTGTTTTACTATGAAAATCTATGCAGTTTGTTATGAATATAAAGTATTCTATTTTTTATATTTTTAAAGTTATCAATTGTCACACTTTTTACGATAGTATTTTACAAATATTGCTAATTACTAAAATAAGATATTTATTTTACATTTGTAAATAACAAATTAATATATTAATATATTAAGGATTATGAAGAAATGATAAGAAAAGTGAAAAGTGCGAAAAGCAAAAGGAAGAAGAACACTGTCAATGAATTGTTTTGTGTTGAGTGTTGATGAAGTATTAATCGGTAAAATAAGCATCTTCAAAGAACATGATAAAGAATACAGAAGGGGATTTTTTGTCGTTTAATAAATATTTTAATATTATAATTACATATTTGTACAAATGCTCTTACTATATGCTTATCACTTATTATATGTGCTTTTAATACAACACGTTCCTGAAAAAAATCGGTTTATTATTTTTTTTAATTAATATTGTTAAAATAATTAAAAAATAAAAAATATTTTAAACAAAAGTTTTGTAATTTAAAATGTACTTTTTGTAAGTGTAACAGTATAATTAAAGGAAAAATGAGCATTAATTTTTTTATAAAAAAGCCGATCTTGATAAAAGAGTCAATAAAATAATATAAGACTTATATTAGCCTAATTTGCGTGTGTATATTAAATATTAATGTGTGCGTTTTGAAATTTATAAAATAAATATTTCATGTATTTGTAATCAACAATATGAATGTTATATATACATATTATATATATACAATATATGTATACACATAAATGTGGTATTTTATAATAAACCTTAATTAAGAAATTTTTTCTACTTTCCTATTTTCTTATTTTTTCTCTTTTGCTTCAGAAATTATATTATTGATAAATTACTGTCAAACTATATGTAAGTGTTCTTAAAACTCATTCTCTTAAACCATTTATTAAAAAATTACGCAATACTAACATATTTGAATTGTTCTGTGCACAAATATCGCTATCTTAAAATTATTATTTATTATTTATTAGTATAAAAAATTCGAACATAGTTTTGCAAAATAGCTTTGTAAAAGTTCATTATAACATATATTGCAGAATAGATTAGTTGGTATATTTTAATATATATTTAAAATCTAGATTTAAAAATAATTTATTATTAATATCTATTAATACAATTTTCCATGTGAAAATGTCGCAATAAAAAAATTGAAAAGGATACTATCTCCTTGCGCAGAAATATCACATTAGAATTCGTATATTTATACCGAATAAGGCTTTCCTTGGGAATTTCATTTAATAGCTGTCCATGATCGAATAATCAATTCAGATTTCTGTGTTCGCGCGCCAACCGCTTACAGGCGAAAATTCGGTGACCCGACGCGACGACGAGGCCGGCTGTTCCTGTCTCTCTCGCAAAAGTCTTTCATCTCGCCGACAGAAAGCGCTGCCGTCGTGGACCTCTTTGATAAACAGCTCCGGCTACATACCACAGACGCGAGCCGCCGCGACGACGCACGGTACTCCAAAGTGCGCATTTTTCACGTGCATTTCCGCGCGTTACGTTATCGAGAGCTGTCAAAACGAGACCTCGACGCGCTCGAGAAATTCGATTTTCGGCGAATCTCGTGAAATAATATTTGACAGGACGGAGACGGAAGGAGAAACATATAGGAAGGTATTCGAACGCATTTGGTGTCGCAACCCGTCCGAGCAGGAGTAATAGTAACAGCGGCAACAGCAGGTAAGAATTTCATTAATAAAGTGCGTTGCGCGCGCATGGCGAACACGTGGCGTCGCGACGGCCTGTCACGGACGCCGACCGTTTCACGATGACAGACGTTCCTATCATCGATCCGTGCGGCATCGCCGACCTGGCTTGGACAAGCAAGTTGCGAGAGCGACACGTCGCGACTCAAGGCCGCGGAGGACATGTTGTCGAGTACGCTCGATCCCTCGAAGTCGAGGCGCGCGATCTCTCGATCTATCGCGTTTAAACCGCCGATCACGATTTTACGCGGGAAAAGGATGAGGGAATCTTCCGCGAAACGACGATGCGTCGATGACGCGATTCAGACGTCACGAGTGCATCTTCCTCGTTTCTCTTGCTTGTGTTGATCGTTTTTTTTCTGTTATATAAGGTGCACGCTCCGTGAATGCGCAATCAGCCGCCATTTTCTCGCGCGGTGCGAGAAATTTGAACGTGCCATATCTGCAAACATTTTTCGAATCGGCGCAACATTTTTCTACTTTGAATTTAATGCGAATAGAGGGGAGACAAAATAATCTGACGTGTGTTATTTTAAACAAAAAACCTGTATATTCATTAATTTTGCTTGATTTTATTTATTATAATTATGCGGATGAATGAATTTTTGTCTGATTACCGTGTTTTATTTTTTAATTTAATTGTTTCGAGGAAACAATAATCACTTCCTTATAATTCTTGCATCAGCATTTCATTTTTTTAAATGAATATCTTGATAAATTAATTTAACATACATTATAACGATAAGACGAGAAAACACGTAATCGAGAAGCATAGACAGTGAATAGATTAGATTATAAATTAGCGACGATTGCGTTGAACGCACAATGTCATGCATTTTTATTAAAATCAGGAGATTGTAAAAAAAAAAAAAAAAACAGATTTCAATATGCTTTGCATATATATATAAATAAGGAATATGCATTTTAAAAAAACGCATTACTAAATGCCACATTTTTCTCTTGCATAATATTGCGATTGATGAATATAAATGTTGCATGCAGCATTCCTTTGTCTCCCTACATAATATATCGATTAATCAAAAGGCAATTAAATTAATTAACAACGCTAAAATGCGTAGCAATTTTCCCGTGCAATTTTCTCCCGGATTTTAGCGGTGGAAAATTTTACAATTTTCTAAGTTGAATACACATACAGAACACACGATGTGTTATTACGATTGTGATATCTTTTATCAGATGACTGATATATCGTGCAAAGTAGGTCTTCTAGCAATGTCGCACATATCATTCATTCGCGTAGGTATACGTTCTTCTCGGAAAATCGAGATTTTGCGTAAGGATTTGTCGGCCATTATTTACGATCGATTGCGTGACGCGATGCATACCGACTTTCAACTGCAATCTGTGAACTGCATACAGGAATAGCGAATTATTATACGATCGAAAGACGTTTACATACTATATAGTAAATTCTTTATACTATGTTACAACATGCTTATTAATTTAAATGATTTATTCTTTTTGATAGTAATTTCGAGAATTTTTCTTCGCGCCAAGGAGATTCTTGATATTTAATCAGAAATACTTATATCTCTTTTAATTATATATTTATTATATTTTATGCATTTTTATTGAATATTTATTTGCTGGAATTAATCAAAATATAAATGCATCATAAAAAAGTGCGTAAAATTAGATAAATAATAAGTGCAAAATTATACTGCATCATGTTATTATTTTTCGTGTAATTTCGAATTTTATTATTAATGTAATTTCACACACTTTTTTACATATTTTATTATTTTTTTACTTATTATTTTTATATATTATTGTTTAATATGCGTATGTCAGGCTCAAATAAGAATTTCGTCGAGAAACGTTTATATCACGCGTAATAAATAATAATGTTATCCTCGCCGCGATTAACGTTATTCAACATTAACGTCGAGGAACGCTTGTTTTTTTTCCTCTGCGCATATAATCGAAATTAAAGGAAAACTTTGGCTCGAACTTCGAACTTCTCAACGCGACGTATTCCTTGCGTACAAATGACGATGTCATACAATTGCGTCTAACTCCGACAATCGATCCGACCGTGGCCCAAGTTGACAGCAATTTAAAATCGCTTTTACTTATCGCAGAAGACGCGTCTCGAAGATGGCTTCGATTACGATTCAAATTTTTCCAAAGGAAAGGGAAGATCATCTCTCAACACTTTTTCTTTCCCCAAAAGCTCACCAATATATTTCAGCGACCGTGACATAGTGAGAAAGTGTCCTTAAGATGCTCTCGCAATCTTTCAAAGTATTTCAATGCCGATCATCGACCTTGTCCTTCTCATGATTAGAAACGAAATCTGCACGCTTCTATCTTAGAGATACTGTTAGAGGATTTTGTTTTATATACCGACTCTGACTGTGAAATTTAGATGCCCAGAAAATGCTCGTATCGTTATCCTTGTTACATAGAAAATCCATTATATTGATATAAATATATAAAATATGACTTAAATTTTTTTTAATAATTGTATATTGCTAATTTTATGTGTAAAAATTATACATGAGTGAAATAACATTTATTTTGTGATATAAACAATTTTATTTTATGAAAATGAAAACAATTAAGACGAATCTATCTATTTAATTATAAAAAAATTCAGAAAATGCTTGTATCTTTCTCACATAGAAAATCCATTATATTGATATAAATATATAAAATATGACTTAAAAATTGTTTAAATAATTGTATATTGCCAATTTTACATGTAAACATGATATATGAGTGAACATTTATTTTATGACATAAACAATTATATTCTATCAAAATGAAAATAAGATTAATCTACTCTACCTTCATTTAATAAAAGAATCTAGTGACATTTTGTCAAGCTTAATTAATGATAAATTAATTAATTAATCAGAAATACTTATATCTCTTTTAATTATATATTTATTATATTTTATGCATTTTTATTGAATATTTATTTGCTGGAATTAATCAAAATATAAATGCATCATAAAAAAGTACGTAAAATTAGATAAATAATAAGTGTAAAATCTTTCTTAATTAATAAACTTGTAAACGATTATACAAAAAAAATAACGAAAGAAAACAATTTCTGCAAAACAAAAATAAATGTAATAAATGATAAACTCGATGTGATAAAGACGACGGGTCGCAAATATCATCGTCGAGGAATTCTCTTCCAATGATAAGTGAAGGCAGCGTCTTTTCAGGAAGAATGGCATCGTTGAAGAGTGTCAAGGCGAGCAAGACAGACACCACCACGACTAGAAGCTGGACAGCGAAACCGATCCTAGACCCGGATTTCACGGAAGTGCTTCCTCTGCAGCGGGTCTACATCGGCATCCTGAAGCAACGAAAGGACACGTCCGTCGCGATCCAGAGCATATCCGCCATTTTGCCAGGATTCGCCCACCTGAAGCGCTGTTCCAACGGCAAGCTGCTTCTGGCTCCGCTTCGCTCGGAAAAAAAATCGCGAGGCCAAAATGGCGAAGAGGACGTCAGCGAGGACGATCTCAAGGATCAGCTCAGAGAGCGAGGATTCGATCTTTCCCTGTTCCAGGACGAGTTCCAGGTGACAGAAGTACCAGCCAAAGCACCGAGAACCAAATCGCAGGCGAGAGAAGCCTCGACGATCTGGCCGGTGAACTTCCATCCCGATCAGACGATCGAGAACCTGCTCGACGGCTCCGTCTTCGACGAGGATCGGTGGATCACGATCGGCCGGATCATGTCGATGGTGATCGAGGCCGCCAGGTTGGAGGCGATCGGCGATAAACGTTGCACCGGCGCCGCGGCGGTCGTCGATCCCGAGGACGGCAGGATCCTGGCGGTCTCCGCCGCCAGGATCGATCGGCATCCCATGTGGCACGCCGCCATGTTGGCTGTGGACCTCGTCGCGGGACTTCACGGCGGCGGTGCCTGGCGTCTGAGTGACAAGGATGGGTTCACCATCGAGGATCGGCAGGTCAGGACCGAGGATGAGAGATCGGTTGAGAAGGATCGGTTAAGAAGGATCAAGAGGAAGTACGAGGAGGAAACTCCGCGCTGTTATCCGACGTCTTTGCTGTCCTCCCTTGAGCTTCCGGCGCAGACGCCGCTCGAGACCACTCAAGGACGGAGGAAGGACGCCGCCAAGGTCAAAGAGGACGCGGAAAAGTCCGGACCGTATCTCTGCACCGGTTATTGGGCGTTTCTGCTGATGGAGCCCTGTCCCATGTGCGCCATGGCGCTGCTGCATTCCAGGGTCTCGCGGATTTTCTACGGCGAGGCGAATCGAAGCGTCGGGGTCCTGGGGACCAGAGCAATTTTGCACACGGTGCCGGGTCTGAATCATCGATACCAAGTCTGGAGCGGAATCCTGGAGCGGGAGTGTCGGCAAACGGTGGAAGAAATCAGTGGTCGCAGCAAAGTCTTGTGTGAATGATTCGACGTGGGTCTTTTGTGGAAGATAATGGCGCGTTAGGTGTGGTTGATTGGTCACACCAGGAAATAACCGAAGCTACCGATGTTGAGAAGCTTGGACAAATGAGAAAAACAGGAGCGCATTCCTCGTTCTCGCTGGTGATCTCTTTCTCTCTCGCACTCGCGAATCGCGTTATCTATATTATAATGAAATTTTTATTGTACGTTATCTCTTGCGTTTGCGTATTTGTTCGTTGTCATAAGAGAAAAAATAAATTCATTTCAACCGGAGAAAGCGCAATCGTGATACTTATCAAAATACATCGTCATTGATTCATCGATATGTACTCTTTGAATGTATTATTCCGAAAAGATAATTGTGTTTACCCACTCAGTCATTCTCTCTTCGACGGTTTCCGATTTATTGAAATATTCCCTAGACAAGCGGATTATCTCTTCATCGATTCATCGGTCGTGCGGCTACAGTTTAGATAGCCGGCGTTGCAACCGGTTTTATAATTTCAATCGAAGCAGGACGACGCAAAAGACTTAACACGTGGTACGGACGTGCATTCGGCCATAACGATACGACGTTATACGTGACCTTGACGTTATGCGCGTGTGCGTTCCGGATGCGTGCATGTGCGTCCTCATCTGCTTCTTGGTGTGCATGGCGAATTAACACTTGTGTTTGCTGGCACACAGTTTGACATACCGTCACTCTTCGAAGACTGTTCAAATTATTTCTGTAATATTTCTTTGTTTCACTCGCCTTCGGTGACGCTCGCGAAGACGACACTCTGTCTCCGAAATTCTTAAACCAGTAGCCAAGGCTTTATTATGTTACTTTTACCGGCGAAGCTCTTCATTTTTAACTCTAAAGAAAATATATATATATTTTTTTAAAATATATAAATATAAAAAAATAATGTCTATTTTTTTAAATATGTATATATTAAAAAAATAGAAAAAGTAAATAAAAAAATTTTTTTTAAATAAAAAAAATAAAAGAAGAATAAACTTGTCAATTAATTAAACATTAAAATTACATAAAGCATTATTTCTTTAAAAATGTAATTTTCCGCAAATATTCACATATTTATAGCGCAGATTATAAATTTCATTATTCGAGAAAGCACAATTCATACCGAAAATATCGTAAATCATCGACATGATTTACACGAGTTTAATTAACAGTTTGCGTGGTGATCGCGTTGTTTAATTCAGTGGCAAATAATCATGTTCTTTCGCGCGACAATAATATACAATATATAATCCCTGATTATATATTTTTTCTTCTCCTCTCTGGATTTTTCACGCTCGCTGTAATTAATTCTCACTTAGATGCTGATATCAAGTGTAAGATCGACAATGATTGTCAAAACGCTCGTGTAACGCACAGATAACATCTATTATGTCGCAAGAGACTTGGTAACGCTTTAATTAATATAAAAGATACTCATTGTGCCGAGATAAAAAAATTCGCCGAATGTTTCTTAAGAAATACACCGTCGCGCGATTTAATACGTACAATTCGATCGATAATACGATTTAATGACATCTCAGATGTATGTACATATACATCCACGACGCAGTCTCTGGAAAGTGAGAATAAATTAATTAAGAGAGCATTTGTGTGTTTGACATTGTTACGTCAACGTCACGATGAAGCACGTTCTTGCAAATAGATGTTACGTGTTTTTGAATATGTATCGAGAATTCTGCGTTTGCAGAAATAGTTCGTATAGATTATGTCAATAATATATATTTGCTCTTTGCATAAGTCAATATGAGTTAAACATAAACTGGTTTGAATTCCTGACAGTTTAAAGTTTTATATCAATTAAGCTGGCATCTATAAACAGAGACATGTGGTTGCTTTTATATAAAAATCGGAAATGCATTTTTAAAAATATTTAATAAATATAATAAATAATAATAAATAATTTTTTATACCGTGATAATGTATAAAAGCGTTTAAAATAAATTATGTTAAATATTTCACCGGGGAATAACAGCTGTTTTTTACTGACAATGAATATTATTTTACGCCGATTTATTAATTTCCTGTAATTTCAAACGTCATAATACAAATCGATCAACGTTAATGGATTGTCTTTGGGAATTTTTGCATGTTAAATAAAATATTGAGCTTTTTACGCAACTTTTTTTATTAAATTGTGGTTTTCGCCGTGACGAGTTCAGAGAAGAGAACGATCATTGATTTCAAAGAAATCCGTCAGATGCAAATGCAAGACACACAGAGAGACATATGTTTTAGTGAGTCAATCTATAACATATGATGCTCAAATATTACCATTTTGAAAATTAAAATATCATTTTATTTTTATATTATTATTTATTATTTTAGTTTAGAAAAATTATTTATTAAAAAAATATTGATCGATGCCTCTATATTTTGTGAGAAATTTACGCGAGCGATATAATTCTCCCGATGAAGGAATTCAGCATTTCCCAATAAAAACGTTCGTGGGATCGAGGTTTTCCTTTGACGATATAGAAGCAGATTCTAGGAATCGCTCGATTCGCTACGAAGCGAATAGCGAGTACGCGACGATGACCCCGCGGATTGACATCGATCAGCGAAACTACAGCTGATCCATCCAGCAGAAGAGCTGCTTGATTGTTCATGAAAGGAGACGAGGATGGACTGAGATAGGTGGAGACGGAAGAAATCGCGAAGAGTGAATTACGAAACAAGGAAGACGATAATATGTTGATCCAATAGCCGATGAAGAGGATTCGCTCTCGCGAGGAACGATGAACCATAATCCTACAACGAAAACTATGCAACAAAGTTATGCCTGCACATAATAAAATAAATAAATACTTTTACTCGATCTCTTCCCATCCAAGTTATTTTTCATTATTTTTTCACGAACATCGCTATCGTTTTTTTTTACTGTTTCAGACTTTCTTCGTCAGAGTCGGCGCAAAAGAAAATCGGGAAAAAACACGTGCAACGCAACCAACGCTTGATTTCCTCGATAAACAGAGCGCGGTTCGAGAAGAGGAGCTCTAATCGAGAAATAACATCCTCGAGAGGCATTCTTTGAGAGACCGGCACGTGGCGCTGACGACGACAGACACATCGGCACCGCATCACCGCCGTTGTTTATTAGCAGAATAACGCGCGCGCGGTGCAAAAGAGACAAAATCTTCCTTCTTTGATACACGAAGCGCGTGGAAGGAGGAGCTCTCGAGGTCGCGGCAAGCAAAAAAGCCGTGCGATATCAGAGATAACGTTTCGAAACTAATTAATCCGCGCGACAAACAGACCCGTCGTTCGTGGTGTCTGTTGACGACGAGACCTCGCAGTCATCGTCGTCGCTTGGCAGTCGCAAGCTACGTCAATTTAACAAATTATATCCCGACTGACATCGCACCGCGTCGAGAATCAGTTCCTAAAGTAGGCTCTCCTAATTCCCGCGGATGATCGGAAGAACATAGATATCACTTTCCAGAACCGTGCATCTTTGACGCGATCAACGTTGTGACGTCATAACTGATAAGTAGCACAAATAAGATACTTGAGAGGTTGCTACTCTCGAATTTGCAACGTCCGCGACCAGATGATAAGTCTGAAGGCATCTTTGTGATGAGATAAATTGGAAGGATATCGCCGACTGACTCGAAGAGCTAATCGGACATTTAATTGATCCGCGATACATTGAGAGATTCTCAGGTACGGATCTTTTGCAAAACAACCAGACGACTCGCTTGGAGATAAAGGAATCGCGTCTCGTTGATCAGCACTGAGTGGTTCCAATTGAGAGTCGACCCTCAAGAGCGGAGCCCATTGGTCAAGCTGTTAATTTCTTGAGGCACGATTGGATTGGATCACCCGCGGACATTCCAACATTCACGTCTGAACCGTCAAGTAATCCGCCGACTACGGTCTTGCCAGGCAGACTCTTTGGCTTTCTTTAGTTCCGAAGAAGCTCCTGAATCCTGCGTCTCCTTTAAACAATTCGACGACAGCTTCAGGAAGAATTCATCACTCTGTGGATTTTTGTTTAAGTGAACACTCATCGCAGAACTGGATCTAGTGGAATTATCTTCGGTGTTAAACGAAATTACACTCATTGACATTAGAAGATTGCGGTGCTTTCTCACTTTGGATAACTACGCAGGAAATTTGTAGACTACGGTCTTGCCAAGCAGACTCTTTGGCTTTCTTTAGTTCCGAAGAAGTTCCTGGATCCTGCGTCTCCGTTAAACAATTCGACAAAAGCTTCAGGAAGTATTCATCATTCTGTGGATTTTTGTTTAAGTGAACACTCATCGCAGAACTGGATCTAGTGGAATTATCTTTGGTGTTAAATGAATTACACTTATTGACATTAGAAGATTGTGGTGCTTTCTCACTTTGGGTATAACTACGCAGGAAATTTCTCGATAACATCCGACACTTTCGACGACTGCATGGCTCACTTTTATTGGCTGCTGCTCTTCGAAAGACTCTAGTAACGTCTTTTGTCTCTGTAGAAACGGCAGGGGCGCGATTCGAAAGAGGAGGAAGGGAAGAACTAGAGTATCGCGAGAAGGGTTAAATTAACCCTTTGGTCCCCCAGAAGCGGCAGAAGGAACCGAGGCTTCTTTTCGCCGCCGAAGATTTTGGGAACCGCGGCGGACGAAACCCGAGACTCCACTGACGTCATCCACGAGAGGCCTCGTTCACCCCTTCCTGGCTCGGATTCTTTTTTTACACGGCACCATGGAGCGAAGGATTCTGAAAATGTGGTGATAACGGTCGGGCGAGGGCCTCCGATACCCAAGACACTATCCAGTGTGTGAGCCATAGTCGTTAGAAAGAGATATACATACATATACGTGACGGCGAGTCTAGCCAGGCATTTCGGAGCATTCCAGTCGAACTGGAATTGGAATCTTTTTCGAGCCAGCATTCCGGAAGGATTTATTCTCTCGTCCTCGCGAGTCGCCGACGAGTGAAATTTCAGAATCAGTCGCAGCAACCCGATTCGGTTTCAAGTTTCGCCGAGGAAAAGTTTTGAAACATCGGAGCCAATTGCGAGAGTCACAATTGCGAGATCTTGAAATAATCGAGATAGCTTGAAGAATGCTTTCGGACCTGGAATTGTGGAATTAAAATTCTCTTTTTTTCGCCGCTCTTAAAGCAAGGAAAAACGACCACTTTCTTCGAGCGGTTTTTATGTAGAGAGATCGAGACATCCCAGGGAGAAAGCATCGATCGTCAAAACGTGGAAAAAGGTTAGCGTAATATAATTTTATATAAAAAAATATATGCATATGCATATATAATGTTCTTGAAATTCGCAATTACGAAACGGCACAAATCATGGATTATTAATATAGCGACAGATTGATAAATTGTAGTTGCTTTATTATATAAGCATTCAACTATAAGCATTCACATTTACTTACGTTTAAAAACATGGAACAAATAATAAAGCTTGACTGTGTAAAAAAAATTCAATTACGAAACCGAGACTTGCGCTTTCGTTTCAGTAATAATGATCATTCAATTAATTTCGTGACGTAAAGTACTATTCAAAAGTAAAATATTGTTTCTGGAAATATTTAATTTATTCAATTTATTGTGCAATGAATTAAGCATAAAGCATTTTTTATATCTTATTAAAGCGGTAATTTCGAGAAATAAATTTTGTATGTTTATTTGAATGTCATACATTTGTAATATTTTATATGAAATTTTTTTAATAATCGATGATAATGTATTTTAATGCTTAATATCTTAATGTATTTAATTTGTGTTAAATGATATTAAAAACGCATTTAATAATTGGATATATTTGTTGCAATATATATTTTAATATATAACACAATTTTTATAATTAAAGACTTGTATCTAATAATCTATAAAATATTTATTTATGTGATATTAAGGCGATAATTTTAAGAAATAAATTTCGCATATCTGAATGTCATGCATTTGTAATAGTTTACATAAAATTTTTGTAATGATTGTTAATAATATATTTTGATACTTATTTTAATATATTTAATTTATTTTGTTAGATAAAATTTTAAAATTTTAATATTTTAAAAATGCATATATTTATTGAAATAAATATACACGTTTTAATTTAGACAATTTTCATATAATTAAATTTCAGGGTTGGGTAATAACTTGTTAATTAGTTAAAAGTGAATAAAATAGTTAAAAAGTTAATAACTTTTAACTTTTAGTTTAATTAACTTAAAATGTATTAATTTTTAATTTCAACTAGTTTTATTTTTTTCCTAAGTTAAATTTTTTTATCTCTGAATACCATTATTACTTTTTTATAAGCTATATAAACGTATTGTTTTATGTTCATTTGTCATCAATTGTAATTACCAAAAAATATATTTCCATATAAAAATCAAAATTTCTTTGTTATTTGTTACTTTAAAAATTAACAAACAAAATGCTTATTTAATATAAACAATTTTTAAAAATTAACCATCAATTTATAACTTCAGTTAATTTAAGCTTAACTTTAACTGAGTTAATGTTATTCACGCAACTTTTCTAAAAAAAATTATTAACTTACCCAACCCTGTTAAATTTACGGTTCACGTTGCACATAAAATAATCGCCGTTAAAGTTTCAATAAACAGGATAGACAAAACAAGAGTCACTATCTGGGCGTATCGTCTCAGATGTTAAATACAAAGTAATCAGGCGCGCCAGCTGTGACTTCAACTTTTATCTGAGAAATTGAGCGTTTGTTATCCGCAGGAGGAGATTCTCCGCCGAAACGGCAGCAGGACTCCGAGACAACTAGGAACAAGATGCGTTGCAGCCAGGGCGTGGCGATGATATTCGAGGACGCGTTCGTCGTCTTTTCGCGTTTTTTGGCACTGAGATCGCGAGGCTGCGCACTCTTGGAAACGCACCGGCAGCGGGAGACCACCGGCATCAAAAAACTGTACAACAGCTTCTTCGTGATGTTCTAAGGAAGGGCAATTCCGACAGCCCTGAGAACCACCGGCGCAGTTGGCGGATGCACCGTGTACATTTCCGGGCATATCGAAGATCTATACGCCGAAAGGAGACGATCTGGAACGAAGGGCAAATGAGTGGTGGAATGAGAGAGAACGACCTTTGATCCCGGGACGAAGGTCGTCGATCTGAGATCTAAGCGTGGACTCGTTTCGCCTCTTACAGACTCGTCGCCGAGGAACACATATATATATATATATATATATATAGTCACGAAATTGTTTTTGGCATTTTTTTGCTTTTTATAAATAGTGTATGTACAAAGTAGTAAGTTCTCGTGTAAGATAAGAACATGTGGAGTTCCTTCGTTTATCGATAGAGAAAAATATTTTGGAGCTAGAGCAAAATCGATTCTCGCCGACGAAGTCTCTTTAAGGGCGTTCGAAGACACCCTTCGTAGGTCTGAGATTTATGATTAACGGGCCCTTTATTAGTGTCGCAGTACTAATTAATAGATGTAATATTCTGGTTCGCCGAATTCGGTGAATCTTATTGTAATCGTGCGATCCGAGAACGAGAGCTGTTGAATGGAGCTGCAACTCATGATGGACGGCGCGGAAACTCTGAACGGAGCGATGTGGTTCGCCAACACGTCGTCTTTCGACCAAATGTCGCCGATTCGTCCAAACAGGTGTGACGTTGTAGCCGCTTCTCAACAGGTGCGTGAAATCATCGTCATTGTTAGTTAAATATATGTATAATCAATTATAATAAATTATCATTTTTATATACATATATAATATGTGTATATATATACAACCCGGGAAAAAATTTTTTATATATAATTATATGTAAAAGTATATGTGAAATATGTCTATTTTTACATAATTATATAAATTATATATAAATTATAAGGCTTCATATATAAGCATGTCGAATTATATATGAAATACATATATTTATATATGAAAAAAAAAAAAAATATATATATATATATATATAAATTATATAATTATATATAAAAAGCACTTTTATCTAATTATGTATGGACATATTTCATATGTAATTTTATATTATATATGTATAAAAATTTTTTTCCCGGGAGGGTGTATCTAAATAAATGCAAAAAATTTTAGGAGATGATTCTTTGTCAAGAATTAAGGGTGGTTTCTTATATACATTTTTTAATACATAAAAAAATTTTTTAACTTGTCTGAAATTTCAGAAAAAATAAAAACTTAATTCTTACCTCCCTCTAGAAGTGTAACTTTTCAGGGAAGAATATAAGAATAATATGTTTATATAAGAAAATCTTAATTTTCGACAAAAAATCATCTCCTACAATTTTTCGCACTTGTTTAGGTACGTCTTGTATATTCTCAATTTTATATCAAACTCTTTAATTTTTAAAATTATTTTTGACATTTCTCAGAAGTGAAGTTTCTGAAATTTTTTTTTAAATAATTGAAGCCACTAGTTTTTGGATTTATTTTGCATAATTTTGAAAATAGTAATTGCGAATTAATAATGTATTACAGACTATAATGGGGTACCATAGTCCGCAAAATTCTCTGTGGCAAGACAAGCAGAACTCGCCGAAAAATTCGCCGACTGACAGTGATCAAATACATTTGAACAGCGGCTCGCCGCAACAACTCTCGTCTTCTGGATCATCCCCGAATTATGAACAGAACAATCTGAAACGTTGCTCCACGGAACCGTTACAGCGTATTGCGGAACAGGAGAAGAAACACATCAGAAGAGAGGGTTGGTATTTTTTTTTACTTTCTCAAATATTAATATACTAATATATTATAGTAAGAAAAGAATTTGTGCATTTAGTTTTTATATATAATTCACGTTTGATTTAATCTTAAATTAGTAATTCTTATTAATTCGATGCCATGTTTTGAAGCAGCCGTGCAAATATTCCGATATTGATGCCTGCGCACATTTTATACTTTGTGTTTATTATATGAAATTAAAGCTGCTCTCTCGTGAGAATTAGGGGGATTTGATAATTCATTTGTGAATTAACTGCAGCAAGAAGAAATAAACGAGAAAGCTTGAAAAAATGCAACCGCTAAATATGTTTTTTGATTGTTAGTAAAAGTCTTAAAAAGAAACAAGTATACAGAAGATTGTCACACAAATTGATAACAGTCGATAAGAAATTAATCCATATACTATTTTTAGATTAGAAAAATTAAAAAAAAAAAAATTTATATCTGTTTACATCTAGGAAAATTAAATAAATAATTTATTAGAAACATTTTTCAGATTTATAGTGAAAGAGAAAACCTTTTAATATTGAACAGAATATATTCAGTTTTGAGATTTAATCTTAAATGTTTTTCGCGAAAAATATTTGTCATTAGGATATAAAGAATATGTTGCTTGCAATAATGGCGCAAAGTCAATCGTCATTATCGTATAGCCGTTAACATAGATATATCTCTTTAAAGGTCGTGACCAAACGACCCCTCGTACACTGTCGTAGACACGAGTAGTTTCATTTTATTGTCCAATTGTTCACATTTTACTTTTCATTACAAAAAACATCTGCATACACAAGTTTTTTAGGTTTTAAATTTTCAAAGGGGATGAAATCATTTTTAAAATAAATTCTCTGTCTATATACTCGAATCATAAATAAAACAAATATTATACATAAATTATATTCTCTTATTATAATTATATCTCTTGTGGCAAACAATTTTTTTATAAATTCAATTATATAAACATAAATATAATTAAAAATATAATAAATACAAAAATATCAATGTTGACTGTTTAGTTGCATTGAGCCAATATGGAACCGTGTAAATTGTCTAGAACAATATTCGCAAAAATTCAATAATAAAATTACCTTGACTAGTAGTGAAGGTTTAACAATGGTGCGACGTAGGGTTCGAGTCGCTCTGAAGATCTGTTCAAGACTGATGAATCGAACTGTCTTCTTACATCCGACGCCTTTTCACCCACGTGGCTGATAACTCGGGTACACACATACAAGACGCACACAAATATACGTATACGCAGTGTATCAAGCAGATAGTAGCTTGCTCGAGAGACGAAGGAGACGGAGAGAAGCCTGATACCAGTTGATCATACTCGTAGCAATTAGTGAAGGTGCATGCATATAAAGTTTCCTGTGGTGTGTTCCTGCACGAGTGCGATCCTCGCCACGGCCGAAATAGGATGAAGTGGTGTGAGATCGATAAATCCAGGGTGTCGCTGTTGCAGAGTCGACGTTATCCCCCTGACTCTATCAAGAACCGACGCCGTCACGTCGCTCAAGAAACGAAAGATATAAGACCGATCGCGATGCATCATCAGCTTCATGTTGGTTACAACGGCACACAAGGCGGTACGATGTAAAAGAGTTACGCGCTGATAGCCGCATATGGATGATGCTCGAAAAAAAGCGATGCGATGAGACGAGAACTATAAATCGATCATTTTCCACGCGATTTTTTATAGGGTGACGCACATCATTTAGAACTTGCTTTTTTATAGACTACCCAGTAAGCGAGAAATATTTAATCAACATTTTTAAATGTTTAAATGTTAAAATCCTATTGTTTTATTGTATATGTTGATATTATATAAATTTTCTAAACGTTATGATATAATGTTTTATTAATATGTTTAAAATATTATTAATAAATAAAATTAATTAATTGATAAATGATTAATAAATAAATTAATAGATGCAATGTTAAAAACTACATACTTGACAACAATGATAACGTTGTAGTGATGATTTTTTACTTACTGGGTGAAGAAAAATTAACGAAGCAGCTTAAATTATATTTTACTAATTATATAGATTTTGTACTTTTGCACAAATTCTTTTCTTTCTGAAAAAGGAAGTCTGGTACTACTGTATATTTATAATATTAAAACTATCTACACTGAAAAAAAAATCATTGAATTTGAATAAATATTTATTTCGATGCTGCCATATAAATTATTTATTTGAAACTATTAATATTGATTTGATGTAAAAAATATTTATTTGTTTGAAATAAATGATTTATTAGGCAGTGCTGAAATAAATATTTATTAATTCAATAATTTTTTTCAACGTATTATTCTCTAACATTATAATACTTATACAAGCTAAAGCTAAAAATAAATAGGAATAAGCAGCAGTTGTAACGTGTATCTGAATGATTTCTCTAAAAGATTATTTAAAAGATTTGCGATATACTGAAACGTGAAATGATGAAAACAAGAATATTGAGAAGAAACAAACTTATTGTATTTGTTTTACATTTTAGGATCCATCGGGAGCAATGGCTCTGCTCAAGGTTGGTCTACGCAAGTGGAGGAACTCGCGGAACACCTCGCCGCTGATTTCGATGGATCGTTATCCGCTCTCGCGGCTTCTGATCTCGCAACAGCCGTCGCCTCTTACACTAATATGAGGTAAGGTGTCCAAAATTTTCAACAAAATATCGACTTCAAAATGACTTCTGGTAATGACTCACAATCTTGTACAGAAAAAAAAAATACAATTTACTACTGTGGTCCAAGAACGCATCTTATATATACGCATCGTAGATGTGCTGAACCTTAAAAAAAAAAAAAAAAAATAGAAATAAAAAATTGTAGAAATCTGTAACGCATTAATTAGGCGACCTGTTTCACGATCGAAACAATTCTCTGCCGATAGCGCGCATTTGTTCAGCTCGTCGGTAGCGTAGGCTTCTGTCGCGAGCAAAATTAAAACGGACCGACAGTGCAAGTCAATCTAGAAATCCGGTTAAAACTGGCCACAGTTCTTGGCATTGCGTCGCACCGGCGACACGTACAGGAAAATCAAACCGGTCGACCCCGATCGCGAGTATTGGTGTGTACGCATGTGCGCGAGTGTATGCGAGACATTTTATTAATGTGATAACGAAAAAGCAGTGCAGTTGGCAGATTCTGTAAATTTCTCGCATTTCCTTATTTTTTTTAAATATTATATAATGTATTATTTTAAATTTTATATAATAATATATTAAAATAATTTCTGCACACAAACATACATATAATTAAATAATTACATATATTTGTCTCCATTATAAAATAGCGAAAAATTGCGATTATAATTGTAAATAATATCGTATTTATATGAACAGTTTTAGAACGACTAGACACGAACACACGACTAAAATGGCCACGCATGTATACTTTATCACATTAAAACATATGTACATCATAAAATGCTTGAAAGTGTCCTTTTTAAAGTAGATGAATAAGAAAATAGCGCGAAATTTTTTAAATAAAATTTTGTTTTTAACACGCTGCAATTAATAAAAAATTATCACTATATTTTGTCAATAATTCATCGATGTAAAATGTTGTAGACTAAATATCTTTTCCGCGATCAATGATGATTAAATTCTTGATCGTACAGTCGACTCGCGCGCATCAGCTGATCGTGTATGTATGGTATATGTGACAGTTTACGATATGACGTGTGAAAAAAAGAGGCGCGTGTATCCGTCCATGAATGAAGACACATGTTCCGCGTGGTTTGATCCAGTAAGGAACCGGCTAACGCACTAGTTCGCTCGTATATAGACATAACCGGTTTGTTCCGAATGAAGTGTCGGTGCTTCCTAAGAATTTTCAATTGTTAGTTAAATTGTCAGTAATCGGTCCTCTTGTTATCCGGAGTTAGGCGGCGATATTATATAAATAATCGTGAAATTGTGGAATAAACACACAGAATTTATAGAGGAAAATATAATATATAAAATATTTTTATTTATTTAGTCTAATTAAAATTATAATTGAAAATTTTTAATAGACATTTTATTTATATATTTTATAGATATTTTATTTCAGTAGATAGTGATAAAGATTGCAACATAAATTTTTGTGCACATTCCTATATCATAAATATTTAAAGAAGTGAAATATCAGTGACCTATTTTATCAGTTTGATTGTATTTTATATATTTTTGCTTAATTGGAAATTAAATTGTAAATAAAGTGAAATCTCTTAATGAAAAATAAAGGAATGCACCAATATGTAAAATCTGGGTAAGTAATTTACTGAGACTCTATTATTTTATAATTTATTCTTTAGTTAAATAAAAAACAGGTTTTAATCAATTTTATTCACACGACAAGGAAAATTGACAAGCGATCAAGAATTGATAATACTATATTCGTGTAACTTATGCGATCGGATATCTCAACCGCGTAAATAAATTTTGATGGTACTCTTGACACGGTATCGCATTATCTTATTATTTCACACCGATTAAATCCGTTGTACATCGAACTAGTTTATTCCGGTTCGTGCTGACCTTACTGATTCAGAGTATTATCGTAGTGGTTCTCAAATTATTCCTTTCTTATCCCATGCAAGACTTTTTTCGATGCGTTGCGAAATTAAGTGGCCATTAATTATTAATCTTTATATTATTAGCACAAGATAAATAAAAAATCGCAAATAACATGTTTTCATTAAAGCAAAAAAATTCATGCAGCAGCACGTAAAACTGCTATTTTTTTTCAGCGAAGCCCTCCTCAATTTGCCATCGCTGACAGTCTTCAAACAGGAGGCTCCATCACCTGAAAATCAGCACAATAATCCCAAGTAAGTTAAAAAAATTCACATTACATTAAAATTATTTATTTTTTTTAATGAGCCCAAAAATTAATTTTAATTATTATAATCATTTTTTACTTATTGTTTTTCAACTTCGCGGTTTCCCATTAGCATCTCGCACAATAATCCCAAGTTAAAAAAATTCACATTATTAAAATTACTTACTTTATTTTTTTTAATGAGCGCAAAAATTAATTTTAATCATTATAATCATTTTTTTACTTATTGTTTTTCAACTTCGCGGTTTCCCATTTGCATCTCGCACGCATTGCTTATTTTTATTGCTAACGATCGAGGCGAGCGAATGCTAATAACTCGGCGACATTACCACGACGATGTACGGCTGCATTATGAAGACGAGGCTTATATCTCTCTCTCGGGGCGCGAACTCGAGGGTGACGAGGCTAAAAAGTATTCCGAGCGGAATTTGCCACGCGCGGCTCCCCCGCAAAGACATATATTGCTACAGAGATAAGGCTGTATCTTTGCGCCCCGTATCGGGAGAGTACAGGCCTCCTTTCTCGGGTCAGACTTCTTACTCTCTATTATGGGTATTTATCGTGCGGCGCGCGTTATTCCGTAAAGCAGCAGCCGGACGTGCGTCAGTACGTCAATCGAAAAATATATACGCGAATCGAGAATTGATATCTTGTTCCGTCTGTGCGAGACACCTCGCTCCTGGGATCAAGCGTGATAAGGCAGAAACGATACGCGAGTCTTTTAAACCGTGCAATAGTGCGATTCAGTCCCGCGAGTGAAAGGGATGAAAAAATTATTACGATTTTTTTCATTTCTATTTTCATCATCGCGGAATCTCGGAACAGTGCAGTTAATTAGTTAAAAGTTAATAACTTTTAACTTAGTTTAGTTCATTTAAAATGTATTAATTTTTATTTCAACTAATTATTTTTAATCTTAAACTTATTAACTTTTTTCCTAACGATAAGTTAAATTTTTTTATGTTTGAATACCATTAACTTTTTTTTATAAATTTTAAACGTATTATTTTTAATTAAAGTATTATTAATTTGTATGTTTATTTGTCATCCATTGTAATTACCAAAAAATATATTTCTGTATAAAAATCAAAATTTTAAAAGAATTAACAAACGAAATTCTAATTTAATATTCATGCAACTTTTAACTGAAATAAATAAATTTTATAAGCAACTAACTTTAACTTAACTTAGTTCAAAAAAATCATTAACCCAACCCTGCAAAACAGGATTTAATTGTGTACAATATATACAATATACTTTTTTTCTTTCTTAAAAAAAAAGATTATTTTATTTTATATGAATCAGAATTATGATTCACGTAGGATATTATTAACCGGATTAAATTCCACTATCTAACTAAAAGACCGATTATTGGGATAAACGCTGAAAAGTGGGGAGAATCGCCGCGTCAGCTTCGCATAAATCGCGTGCGATTTATCGTATCGATGTGGAACGATGAAATCGAGAGGTCGGTCCAGTGATCTCCTTGTGTTTATTCTTCGGGAATAAATAGATTAAAAAAAAAAAAAAAATACATCCGCGAACTCTCTTGAAAAATCGAGTAAGCGTTCGGGCATAAATGAGATTAGACGAATGTGAGACGAACTCGTAGACAGTGATGAGTCTCTCTCCGTTGAACGACTCTCGCGCTTCTTCGTGTGCAACGTGACAAAACGATTTACGTAATATGTAAGTGATAAGTGTTGACGCACTCCTGTTTGCGGTAGGATTTTCGAATGAAAATTTATCCAGCCGAGGGAATCAGAATGAAAACTCCCGCGGATTTGAATGTTTCGTCGTCGCTTTTCTTTAACTTATAGTGAGTGCTTGCGATCTCGACCATGGAATATATTTTATTACGCTTTTCTTGTGCGAGAGAGAGAGAGAACTGGTCTCGTCCAGTGTACCACCGTATTTATATAATATATTTCCTTGCAGTTTGAATCACGTGTCGCAACGAACGATCGCTACAGCTCCGTCCAACAATGGGAACGTCGGCACCGTCGAGGCTGACAGCAACAACAATGGCCAGACCGCCAGTCTTCATCAACTCTTGTACTCCTCGAACGAAGAGTATCCGCCAACCTCGAGCGCTAATCACGTGTCTTCCTCCCAGCAGGGAAACGAATTCAATGAGGACTGCCGGTGGGCTATCAAACATTAATTTTAATCATTAATCAACAATTACCTGAGTCATAAATAATATTATTAATTATTTTAATATTATTTTTATATAAATTAATTATATAACAATTAATAATATTATTTTTACATTACTTACCTGAGTCATAAATAATATTATTAATTATTTTAATATTATTTTTATATAAATTAATTATATAACAATTAATAATATTATATTATTTTTATATAAAGAATATATATTGTTTTTTTAATATCTCAAGAATTCTATAAATAACTTTCTCGTATATGTATGTATTTTTAATCCTTGACAGGCTGGCAAGATGTTGAAGCTTCTTTTTTTCATTGATATTTTTAATCTTCCATATTATCTCAATAAAATGTTTTATTAATTTTTTTCGCATACAATGCAGCGAGAAAAATATATCACTCGTCGATTTTTATTCAATGGATTATATATCGAAATGGAGATGTAATCGCGAGGTTTTTCTTCAGTTTCCAGTACGTCTTAGCAGCCGCTACGAGCATCGCCACTAAAGTTAACGAAGAAACACTGACGTATTTGAACCAGGGACAATCGTATGAGATCAAACTGAAAAAATTGGGCGATTTGTCTGCATACCGCGGGAAGATTCTGAAGGTATTTGGTCGCACGCATTTAAATACGAAACGCTCCTTCAGACGCTTCTAATGTTTGGGTAGCGGCATCTTAAAAAACGCTTTGGTATTCCCTCACCCAGGAGGTAAACGAGCGAGCTCATGCTGGTGTCGAACCGGTGAATCTTACTGATTTTTTTACAATTAAAAAAATGACAAAACTAATCACATATGAATCGCATGATGATCAAATATAAAAAATTATTAAAATAAATTTTTTATCGAACCGATGAATTTTACTGATTTTTTTACAATTAAAAAAAATGACAAAAATAATCACATATGAATCTATCACATGATGATCAAATATGAAAAATTATTGAAATAAATTTTTTTATCGAACCGATGAATCTTACTAATTTTCTTACAGTTAAAAAAATGACAAAGAAACAATCACATATGAATCATATGATGATCAAGTCGGAAAATTATGAAAATAAATTTTTCTAGAATAATTTTTGAACAGTTAATAATTTTTGGAAGCTTTATAAGCATCGATATGACTGTCGCTTGGCTGACGTTGACGCTGAAACGCTGATAAATCGTACAGTGCAGAGTAACCAGAGACAGATGGATCCAATTACGGCCAGTTAACCCTAGACTCCGCTGATAATTATGCAAATAAAAAACACTAACTCTTTCCGTTCGTCCTGGGAGAGTAGAATAAAGGCCGATCCATGCAATTATAATAATTATGCGCTATATAAATCGACACGATCGGCATGAGGTCGCGGCGTATCCTCGACGTTCGAAAGATGTGAGTCGCCCAAACGGTGCTACAACGTCTCTGTAGGGACATCCGACCTTTCTGTTCCAGTCGACGATACGCATCTGCTTCCACGAGCGACGACTGCAATACACAGAACGAGAACAGATGCTGGCCTGGCAACGCGCTAGACCAGGGGAGAGATTGCTAGAAGTTGACGTTCCTCTTAGCTACGGGATGGTGGACGTCTGTCAACCGTCACCGTTCAACAACAGCGTGGAATTTATGTGGGATCCCACGAAAGAAGTCGGCGTTTACATTAAAGTACGCTCTGATCCGATTACATAGTTTATTCTTTAATTAATCGCGACAACACGTTGATTCTTCTTGCTTTACTGCAATTATATTTTATAAATCAGTGAAAGTTTTATATAAAAATTAGTATTAATAAATTAATAATAATAATAATAAATAAATAAATAAAAAAATAAATAAATAAATAAATAAATAAATAAATAAATAAACAAATAAATAATAGATAAATAAATAATAAATAAATAAATAAATTATATTTTATAAATGAATAAAAGATTGTATAAAATAAATAAATAAATTAATTAATTAATTAATTAATGTTTTTCTCTGGAACATATCGTCGATTATGAAGTTTGATGAAAAGTATTGTCGCACGATTACTGTAAAAATAATTGTTTACGATTACTTTAAAAATATTTTACCCTCTGAATAGGTGAATTGCATAAGCACTGAATTTACGCCGAAAAAGCACGGTGGCGAGAAAGGCGTTCCTTTCCGGATTCAAGTGGAGACCAGACTGCCAGGAGGTCCACGTTTGCACGCCGCTTCGTGCCAGGTGAAGGTCTTCAAATTGAAGGGAGCGGACCGCAAACACAAGCAGGATCGGGACAAGATATTGAGACGTCCTCTTCACGAACAAGACAAATATCAGCCCAGCTACGATTGTACCGTTCTTTCCGATGTAAGTTTCGCCGAAAAATGTGTTCTTCAGTATAAATAGAAAAATACCGAAACACTGAAGAAATGAAGCTTAGAATCTTGTTTCTTTTCATAATGAGTTTCTGTAAACTTTTTCTTTTTTATTATAGATTTCTCTGGAATCTTTATCGCCTTCAAGCTTGCCGGCGCAAAACGGTGGAAGTCCGTATGCTTCAACAGATGCCATGTAAGTCGATTATTATATTCTTGTCCTGATATTTTTTTAATATATTTTTTTTAATTTTGTCGTCGCATTTTGAAGATAAAAAGTAAACTAAATTAATAAAAATATGCCTATAAATTATTTAATTTTATTATCGAACAGAGATGTGAAATAACATCTTGCGTGACATTTTACTTTATGTGGAAATAAACGCAATAATAGAATCGTGCTTTATCTTTATGGAACTAGCAATTTTTCATTAATGAATAATAAGACACTCGATGCGCAGTAAACGTAGATACTGAATGCATAAAGTCGATAAAATACACAACATTCCCTGAATGTCTAGAATTAAATATGGGCATCATGAGAAAGATACGATAATTACAAAATCGCCTCGCTACTATAATTGGTCCCATTAGCTCGTCAACATAAGATTACATCTACTACACCAATATCTTTTACGTCTCTTTAATTATCTTGTTTTTTTACATCACTAGTGAATTTACAAAGCCCCAGGGCTTGCAAAACACCGACGTCTATTTACAACATACTGTTGCGTAATTGTTTACTAACTGCTGTCAAATATTAGGACCGACCTTATAATTGAGAAATATATAATACGATAACGTATTAACAGCGTTTGCTAACTAGAACGTGATATTTCTAAAAAGGAGAGATTAAAAAAATCGCTGGAGATCTGTCATAGGTCACAAAGCTTACAAAATTCATAATTGTTTACCCAACATTTAAGTATATGTTTGGAAAAGATTACCGTATCGCTAATTTTATTGTTATTTATTAATATATCGCAATTCTGACGCGGAACCAATCGAGTGCGTAGACGAGACAATTTTATCCCGAGCTCTCGTAACAGAATTTACTATGCCATTAACAACTAGTCGATTCTGGATACGTTGGGTTCCAGGCGCCTGTTTAACTTATATACATATACATACGAATCCATTCCGTCTTTGCCGACCTGACGGATTCCTCCGAAAATAGCGCGACGCGCAAAACAAATTGTAACCACGTGCATAATTATTATAATTATGCACAAACTAATGCGCGCGTGAGCAACTGATTTTTTTATTGTCACTCTTCTGATAACTCGTCTCACGCGATGTCATCAATAGTTCAATCTATATATAATATGTATAAGCAAATGCCACATTGTCGTAATCTTTTCTATTAGGAAATAACTCTTTCAATTTCTATCTCCATCTCGATTCTCGCTGCAATAAGCAGCGATGCGGCTTCTTGCGTCATGGCGGTCGACAAATACCTGTTCCAGGGATATAAATAGAAAAACATTTCCTATACATCTGGATAGCCAGTGTTTCCCAATGAATGTTTCTGCCTTTACGAAGCTATTTATATGCACGCTTCTTGTATGCTACCAAGCAATTGTCGTGACCTTGATGCCATTGCGACGCATGTGGAAGTTAATGTTAGTCCTGTGAAAGTCACGTTACCTCGTCAATCGGTTCCTCTTCTACGTCTTTATATATTTAAAAAAAAATTAATTTGTATCGTACGAATATTTTATTAATTTTTTCTGATATTTGGAAAAATTATTTAGGTGAAAAAGTATCAATTAAAAAAATAAGAGTGATTAATTGTATCCACCAAGAAAGATATATCTGTCTATGAGGTATTGTTCTTCTTTTTTCGTTTCTTCTATGAAATAAAAAACAAAAAGATCGTCAATCGGTTCCTCTTCTACGTCTTTATATATTTAAAAAAAAAATTAATTTGTATTGTACGAATATTTTATTAATTTTTTCTGATATTTGAAAAAATTATTAGGTGAAAAAGTATCAATTAAAAAAATAAGAGTGATTAATTGTATCCACCAAGAAAGATATATCTGTCTATGAGGTTGTTCTTCTTTTCTCGTTTTTTCTATGAAATAAAAAACAAAAAGATGAAAATTAAACATGACAGAGAACAAGATATTGAAAAGCTTTCAAAATATGATTGTGAAAAATTTCTTTCTTCGTTTTTTGCAATTTCTACGCTCATTAGAATCAATAAAAAACGAAGATCTAAGATAGAAAATTGCATAATTTCTTTCTGAGATCAACAATTGACGATTTATTATCGATTTGTTATCTCCCGTCTACGATTTATAATCTTTCGTTCCATTAAGAAAAAAATAGAAGAAAAAAATAAGAGATTAAAAAAGATAAGAAAAAAAGATTAAAAAATAGATTTAAAGAAGAAAAAAAGAAGAGAGAAGAGGAACATTATGCACTCCGAGTACGGGTGTACCCAGAACTTACTGCGATGTTGTCAGACAACACTGGTGGGGGTTCATTCTAGAAGTGAAGGATGGAAGTGGAAGAGGTGGTTATATCTTTGGTCTTGCTCGTCGACGATGGCGAAGGAGAGGTGAGGAGACGCGGAGGTAAACCCCGGGCATCGTCGCCGACAAACTGGCTCGAACTGGCGCGAGCCGGCGTCTCCGACGGCGAAGTCTCTCGATGGAGGGGAAGTTGGGTGAACCAACGGCGAGGAGTGAAAGAGAGAAGGAGAATCTTAGAGAGGAATAGAGAGACATGGTGAAAGAGAGGCACGGTACACACGGAATAAATTCAGGACGCCGTACATTGCGTGCAGCCGCGTTGCTCTCGTCCCGACCCATCATCCTGTTGGACCTATTCGGGCGCACCCACGTTATGTTCGAGAGATATAAGTGTGTCATCGCGTCTTGAATAACAAGTCGTCGGGCCTGTGTTTCTTGCGAAATAAATCGGCGACCGGCATCTCGCGTAAATCGTCGATTGAAGATTTGCTACACGTGACTGTGTTGGAGATATTCCTCGATTATTAGAAGAAAGCGGCTGAAACTTGCAGTCGCCGTTGCATCGCGCGAAAACCGGTATCTTTTCGAACCGGTAGTCACTCCGACTTGTTCTCGAGACGTTTCAAAGTGCAAAGAAGAAACCTACCGATCGGTTTCTTCAGCGTCATCTTGTTCTATCTGCAAGATATTCCAATATTCGAGGTGCTCCAATCTACAGGAATCGCTATTTATCTTCAAGATAAGGAATTCTTGACGATTTAAAGCTGAAGGAGTACGTTATCGTTTGAGATAACCGAATTAATCTCAGTCCGGTATATTCCGGTGCGTTTCGGTGAGCTTCAACAGGAAGTGAACCAATTGGGAGGGCAGGCGTATTGGCTTAATTCGTCCGAACGGTTACATCTCGCGCTGTTGATGTATCCCACTCCGAATTGCATCGAGGGCGACCTGATATTACGTTGTCTCTTGAACAAGTAACCTATTGCGAGAAGAACTTTGAGAAAAAACGCAATCAATCCAGCCCATTAGTCATGCAATAATAACCGCTGACGGAATCACTTATGACAGATAGCTCATGACAGCTGGCGTTTAACAAGAACCACGTGTGATGCACCGAGCGATCTTCCTCGAGCTATAGTGATCTTTCCCGAGTGCTGTTGAGACAGCGGGTTCGATATATATTGTGAACGAGCATCGAACACCAGGAATGCCCTCGTCCGTCGCAGCAGCGAGTCTACTTCCGGCAGAGTGTCATACGCGAGTGTCACCTTCGATCGCGTTGATTAAGGATCTAAACGCCGTGGCGACGCGCGATATCCTGGCCATCTACGTGCTCCTATCTCGGCAGGATCATCTCCTCAGATGACGAGCAGCCTTACCGCCGAAAAGCTGATGCCAGGGCGGTTAAATCGAGTCTCGTGACCAGGAAATGTCCTGCTCTTCCCCCCAATTACTGGGAAGCTGTTGAAAAAAGGGAACTCGTCGTTCCTCGAAGTTTAATTAGATTCGCCGAGTTCAGAATTAACCTTGAGAAGAAAATAAAGAGGAAAATTACGGCTGATTGTAACAATCACTTATCGCACGAAGAGGATCAATGAAACTAATTGTGCAAGTCCGGAGTAAATAAATTGATTATGGGGGACTGGATTCATTTTACACTCGAAGCATTCCATACGCGCGTTTCCACGTTGTAACGACGGAACAAGAGGGAGAATTTCTTGGAAGCAGAATAAAAAAAGCGATGGTTACATATCCTGTACGCATCGAAGAGCGCTGGAAAAGTGCGCGTTTATGGCACACATGTGGCATATTGTAATTAGATTTGACGCGAATAAGTCACGAACAGACGCGCTTCAAGGGGATAAACATCGTGGACTCGCGGATACAAAGTTCACTCATTTATATAGAAGTACATCGGACGAGCAAGGCGAAAGCAAGACGGAGCCTTTGAGCGACGAAGAAAGAAGTGTATAAACCGGTTACCAATCGAAAAAGGTTTTTCGGACTTTCCAAGAAACACGGAGTGTTCCATTCTCTTCAAAATTGGCTCGCGAGTGATTATCAAGTTCCCACGTAACGTTGATTTGAAGAGGAAGAAGAAAAAATATTGCGACACATTGATCACGCGACTCGGCGAGATTTCGACTCGGGAAAGACTATCGCTCGTGAAGGTCATATTTCGAGAGTTCTCGTCGGATTCGCCAACTAGCGGTATCCAGTTCGCGGCAGACCGATGCAATATCCGACTGACTCGAACTGATCCTATCTGCCGGTCGAAACCAGAGCTGCTCTCTATTACCCTGAAAACAATCGAGCGTCGTGGCGTTTAGTTATTGGATGGCAAGCACCGCACGCGAATGAACTGAAATATCGCATACGATAAGGCAATCTAGGCATCAATTACAAATTTCGAATGATGTCGAAATCGCGATGAGGACACTCATCGGTTACCGAAGCGATTGAATTCATGTACCGCAGCATTATCGAACCGTTCGTACGGATTCGCGACGAGAGCATCTTGATAACATCGAGCACGAATGGATGGGAAGACGCTTGAAGAACGACCGGAGGTTCGAGCGTGCGGGTGCGTGACGTTTATGAATGAACGCGTGAGGAGTCGGAAGAAGGCCTTCAAGGAGAAAACGGACTCGATCGAGGCGGAGGATTCCTTTTGATTCGCGACATGTCGAGGAATTATTGGGATCTGAGGAGCTGCTGGTCCATCAGACGGCCGCGCTACCCTCTCGATCAATTGATCACGTGGCTTCTGGAGCACGAGGTGGTCGTGAGCGGCGGTCCACCGCACGTGCAAGTCGTGGCCAAGTTCGTCCATGCTCTGTTGAATACGCGGATTAAGAGAGGATGCGTTATGCGAGGTGGATTAGTCAGTCTGCAGATAAGGAAGCGTCGAGACATGAACAGAATCGATGGCGGCTCCGGAAAAGTCAAGCTCGTAGTTCGGTTGAAAAGGCCTCCTGTGTAAGAATGTGTTTTCACGATTTTATTTCGAAGATATTTATTTTCCTCTCGGTTGTTACACTGACAAAAAATTTATTCAATTTGAATCACATATTTGAAATTAATAATAATGATTGGATGTAAAAAAATATTTATTTTTGATATAAGCTCGTAGTTCGGTTAAAAAGGCCTCCTGTGTAAGAATGTATTTACACGATTTTATTTCGAGAAGATATTAATTTTCCTTTCGGTTGTTACACTGGAAAAAAAAATTTATTGGAAATTAATAATAATGATTTAAGGTGAAAAAATATTTATTCGATATAAGAAGATCCTTTTTAAAAGAGATAAATATTTATTCAAATACATTATTTATAAGGCAGTATTGAAATAAATATTTATTAATTTAATAATTTTCTTGTTCAGTGTATTAAAAGATTAGAATTGAGGAAATAAATTTCATAAATCAAAGATATTGAAAAAAAAGATATTACATATAAAATATGAATCAAATTTTATCTAGTCCACGAATGGATAACGGTTTCTCAATAATTGAACTATTTTCCATCTTTATCTTGCAAGTTGATAACGCTAATATTGCGATTATGCGGTTTCATATTTAGCAAATAGAATTTAAGATTTTAAATATGGAGTTTATAAAATTACGTCTCATAAAAAAATCGTCAAAATCGTATGCTCGTTAATTGTAATATTTGACACAAGATGTGCAAAGATAAAATAAAATTCAATCGCTTTAGTTTTGTCATTTTATGTGATAGGCATCATTTTTATTTTAAAGTGTATGCAATTATAGTGCATGCTGCAATTGTTGGACACGTTGTATCCATCATTTATTTCACTGTTATCCATCAATTTGAGGCACTTGACGTGTTTACATATAATATTTGCAAACACGATACTTTTTAATCTTTCAAGATTGCGAATTTATTATCATAAGCAAAATTATATTTTGATACGAATGTGTCGACTTTTGTGTCGCGAGAAACGACTGTTTCTGCGTAAAAAAATATTTTCAGTTAAACGTATAACTGTCAGTCGTCGACGATTTATGTCGCGCCTTTACGATTAATAAGACAGATAATCCGCCAACGACTTGTCAACATTTTGCAATACGTAAAGGAATATACGACAGAGTCTAAAGTATGCTATTTTCCACATGCGACGTGTCGTCGGAATAAAAAAAAATTTCCTTATGCCAAGAATAATCTAAGATCTCATCCGGCATGAGAAAGAAATAATTATAATTAAATTATACAATTTCTACTTATTATTACGAATGACGGACACAAAAAAATTTATTACATGCCGTAATAATGTGCCATTTTTTTACATAACATTTTCAAATTTTCCAGACTAATTAATCTAATTTATTAATTTAATTAATTAATTAATTATTACTTATTATTACGAATGACGGGCACAAAAAATTTATTACATGCCGTAATAATGTGCCATTTTTTTACATTACATAATTAATCTAATTTATTAATTTAATTAATTAATTAATTAATTAATTAATTATCGAGATAAATTTATCAATATAGATAATTAATGTGTGACTCGTCTGCTTCTTTTTTCAAGATCGCCGCAGACACGTGCGACCATCGGCGGAAATTCTTCCCCGGTAGTGGCCCCACTAGCACTTTCGGTTTCTAATTCCGGTATCGTGCCGCTGGTCCCCGCTTCGGATGCTGTGAAGGAAAACACGGGAACGGCGCCGGCCTTGCCGTCGCCCGCGGCCATATTGCCGGAACAACCTTGCATCGAAGCTGATGTTACTTTGGCCGCGCAGAAAGCTTCTTCTCCGCAACACTTAATCGAGTCTATGAGAACAGTAAAGATCTTTTATTCTTGTTGTAAAATAACCTGACTCTCCCGACTTTGTATTTTTTGTTCCTTAGGCTTTCACATCAACAAAATAATCATTTTATTTATTTATGTATCCATTTATTTATTTATTTACTTACTTATTTATTTGAAGTAAGCTGATCCTCCCGATTTTGTATTTTTTATTCCTTATGCTTTTACGTTAACAGAGAAACCGATAAATAATTTTATTTATTTAGCTATTTATTTATCCATTTATTTATTTATTTATTTATTTATCTATATATATATATTTATTTATCTATTCATTTATCTATGTATATATTTATTTATTATTCCGATTTATCTAATTGAGCTTTTCCACAATTGCTAAAAAGAGGAAAAATAAATAAATAAAATTGAGAACAGTAAAGATCTTTTATTCTTGTTGTAAAATAAGCTGACTCTCCCGACTTTGTATTTTTTGTTCCTTAGGCTTTCACATCAACAGAATAATCATTTTATTTATTTATCTATTTATTTATGTATCCATTTATTTATTTATTTACTTACTTATTTATTTGAAGTAAGCTGACCCTCCCGATTTTGTATTTTTTATTCCTTATGCTTTTACGTTAACAGAGAAACCGATAAATAATTTATTTATTTAGCTATTTATTTATCCATTTATTTATTTATTTATTTATTTATCTATATATATATATTTATTTATCTATTCATTTATCTATGTATCTATTTATTTATTATTACTTATTCCGATTTATCTAATTGAGCTTTTCCACAATTGCTAAAAAAGAGGAAAAATAAATAAATAAAATTGTTCACATCGTTTTAATTTTACTAATGAATTAATCTTAAATTTTGCAGGGCGCCCCATGTCTCAGCGAGCTACCACCGGATGCGAACGCCACGCAGACAACCGCATGGCTTCGCGCGAGTCGGTTCAATGCTTTCGAGTCGACGTTCGCGAGCTTCTCCGCGTCAGACATTCTGCGTCTGTCCCGGGAGGATCTCATCCAAATCTGTGGGGTGGCAGATGGCATTCGGCTGTTCAATACGCTGCACTCCAAGGTTCCGACTCCGAAACTCACCCTCTACTTCTCGTTGGAAGGCAACGGCTCGCTCTGGAGAGTCACCTACCTCGACAACCTCACAAGCGTCGCGCTGACGAACAAGTTGCTCAACACTCTAAACTTGTCCCATGATCGAGTGCATTCGATACTGTTCCTAGGACCACAGGGTATTCACGTGTTGGTCACCGACGAGCTGGTGGCGAACATGAAGGACGAGAGCATGTACCTCGTCGAGATGATCAAAGGTAAATGCTTACTTTGCTGTAATTACGATTTTTTGACAACTGAAATTAATATACTTCTGAATTAATATGGTGTACATTTTTTTTTAGATCCGGCCAGCGAGCGTTATAAATTGCTGATCAAGTCGAAAACCATTTGAACAATTTTTGAAATTTTATTTTAGAAAGATCTAAATAACGTAAGACGCGAAAGAATCAACTTTTATGAAATAGATATATTATTTGACGAGTATGTGCAAAAAAAAAGAAAATAATTATCATGTCTTGTAAAAAATAGGCAAGAAAGTATATAATATAGATTTGAAAGTTTTACAACGGAAAAAAACATATAGGTAATGTGAAATAAATCTTGTAATATATTTTATCTTTATGATCAAATTTTTATAAATAATTGATATTATATACATATCTGCTTTATCTCGATAATTTTAATTATTTCGATATCCGCCTGGATATCAAGCCATATTTATAACATAAACGAAACATATTCACTTATATGCAATTTAATCAAATATTCTCTTTTTAAGTATATATGTATTAATAATAATTATCGCCATTTCGTTATATTGCCACTATATACTTATAAAGCAGTGCGAGTATAAATCGAATTTGTATCTCTGAGTTTAGATATACTTAATAATTTGGAGCAACTCTTAACTCTATATTTTTTTTATTATCTTAAAAGTAAATTTAGGAAAATATGATCTTCTTTAAGAAATTTTGTATTATTCCATCCATCGTATAATTACGTATACTTGACGTATCCATCGTATAATTACGTATTAATTAATGCTTCAGCAATAGATAGATATGATGAGTACAAACCTTGTGCAATCGCACAGTTGTACTGAATATTCTGAGATTATGATTACTCCGAGTTTTAAATTATAATCTTCGGACGAATGCGAAAGAGTGTGAAAAGAGAGAGAGAGCACCTACAAGATTCCGATTATGATTTCTATAGGCTGCATAGGATTGATGATGAATTTAGAAAAAGTATTTAAAATATGCATGTATTTGCCAGACCTTAGTAAAGAATGAAAGGACAAAGAGAGATAAAAGTACGATTGTATGTATCGCTATTCTTTTAGTACAATTTTTGAAAACAAATGTGTTTTCGATATATGTGCCACGCTAAAAATGTAAGTGTAAAATTCTTAATATTGTATATATAGTTGTTATTATAATTATTCGTTGATTTATAATAATTTCTTTTTAAATAGGTATAATTTTTTGTTTCTATAAACTTTTAATACATGTTAATATTGTTATTAAGATAAAATAAAATGACGTTCTTATTATAAAGAATTAATAATTTAGCTTTAATATATATGGATTATATCATAAAACTTAAGGAAAACAATTTACCAGTGCCTTAATAATGTGCCGATAGATATTTACATATTTATTTAATAAGTGTTTATAACTGACAGATATAGTAAAAATTATATGAAAGGAAAATAATTTTTCACATTTTCTTATAACACGATTATTACGATAAAGGAAGAGGTGTTTTTTTTTATATTAATATTTGTGAGATTATGTGACATTTTTGAAAATTTTATAAAATATATGATGTTTAAATAAGTTACAATTATATTTTATAATACTAATTTTATGTTCAAACATCAATGCGACTTATTACAGAATTGTTGTTGCTTGTTAAATAATGCATTAAGAATTTATTGGGAAAAATAATATTGTGTATTTTTATTTAGGGAGTTTGGAATAAAAATAACACAATTAATCCATATGTGTTTACGCACGCATGATAAAAAGTACATTGAATGATTATTAATTATTTAACAAGTAAAATAATTTTTACTGTTGCGAATTGCATTTGTAACGCATTGGAGATGTTCACTCCAAATCTAACCGTTTGATATCAATTACGAAAGATATAATTATATTTTAAGTAAAAAATTTATGTATATTATTTTATTATATACAGTGTTAATTTTTTCTGTTATAATTTGTAACGACTACATGTTGATATTTTGAGAATGGAAATGTATGTGCATCAATACGTTAATTGTTGTATACCTCATAATGGTTAAGTCATTGAGAAATGGCACAATAAATATTTTTTGATGCTAATCATTAATATATTTTGTATCACGTGTCCCACCTTGCTTTAATTACGATATTGATTCATCAGAAAGAGATAGCAGGTAATATATATACATAATATTGTATATAAATATCGAGAAATTAATTAATCAAAATTAATCATAAGAAAAATCTCTTTATGCAATAAATATTATAAAATAAAGATATATATAAAATATATAATGTTATAACATATTATTATACTAAACATATGTATGTGGTGTCAGTGAACGTCAGGCACATCTTGATTTTAAATTTATTATAAGAATCCGTTTAATTGTTTCTCGCCAACAAGTTTCTTTTTCATTCAAATATAAGATTGAGCATATGCTACGTTGCTTTCTGCTTCTTCTTCTTCATCGCTTTTAGTTGTCTCGCTTCTGCTTTTTGTTGTTTGAGTCTTCTCTTTTCTTTTTGACGTTCCTCTCGCTCCCAAGTACGCGAGTACAATCGGCGGGCGATAATAACTACGAATACAATTATAATTAATAAATGATTATTAAATTTTATTATATATAAAAAATTAACATTTGAAAAAGAAGGCGATAATATTTCTTTTATGAAGAAATTGCGAGTTTTTCGAAAGAATTAACGATAATAAGTACAAGATACGGCGATAATCTGAAAAAAGGTGTTGAATATATAATTACGCAATCGATTGTTGGATATAAAATTAACATTGTAAAAATAAATATATATTATTCTATATATTAATATATATTTATATATATATATATATATATATATATATATATATATATATATATATTAATATATAATATAATATATATATATATATATATATATTTATATATATATATTTATATAATATTATATATTATATATATATTATATATATATATTATATATTATATATATATATAATATATATTATATACAATATATATTATATATTAAATATATAAATATTAAATATAACTATAAAAACAAAATTATTACGCGATACAAGAAATGTCGTACCGAGCAGAAATCCTATGACTGATACCGCGAAAGTGAATAGGATATAAGATTGATATGGTGCAAGCCACGTGGGCAAAATCGAGTTGCCGCGTAATTTTCGCAGAGTCTTGGTCAACACGTCAAATGCGCCTTGTTGGAATTCCTTCTTCTCCTCGTCGCTCAATTGCTCGTATTTTTCGAATATTTTCGACAATTTCCCTTGCACCTCCTCCGGTATTGCATCGCTATTATTCTCCAACGTCTCCACAATCGATTCCTCCATATTGGACGAAGATCCGCGCGAGTTTAGAGTAAAAATTAGACTGATCGACTGAAGACGATCAGATTCAGCGGTCGAGTGGACTCGATAAGATAACGAACGTTGAAAATAAAATATATAGCAAAGTATGATGTAAGTTACATCGATCTTGCTTAGCGAATCACGTAAATCCGATTATGCATATTCGGCGAAAAAAAATATGCTTTGCGAATTTGCGAGACGAAAAATGACGTTTTACTTTCTGAGCCAAGGCGGAAAAGAGGTCGTCAGACTACAATATTAAGCGTTGAAAGACGTCGATTTGTCGATTGTAAAAACAGACTATCAAGAACGTATTAATCACTAATAATTAAATATTTACCGAACAAGAGTGCACAAGTGCAAATCAGCGGAAATTATCCCACTTTTGACACGTAAAATTAACGTTTGGCGAATTAAAATAATCTTTTCGGCACCTTGATTATAATCTAGAAATTGAACAAACAAGGTCAAATACAATTTTACAAAATTATGTGTTCTCTCCTTCTCTCTATTAATAGACATTTATTATTCTTTATTTCTATTGCCTGTACTTTTATCATGCAATAGGCCGAATGCTTAATATTTATTATTTCTGTTGCTAATAATTTTCTATTTCTGTTGTTCTTAAAATAGATATATATAAATGTGTATATTTTAATATTATAAATGTATATGTTTTAATCTTGTGTGGAAGAAAATTAAATAATCAATTTTCTAATTTAGTGATTGCGCAAAATAAATACTTTATTAAATCGAAATCTTTTTGTGTGTACGCTTTAAATAATATTATTTAATTGATGTTTATGATAATACATAAACATGTAGAAATATATTTAAAAATAATTTTACATAATTATATATACGTATATAAATAATTAATATAATATAATAACAATTATACAAAAAATATAATAATAATTACTTACTTATTTATTTTATAAATTACGAAAAATAAAATTATTATATATCAAAATATATAACTAGATTTTACTATAAATATATGGCGCATTATCACAATTTTATTACACATGCATTAAAATATGCATGGAAAAAGATTATTAAATATATGAAGCAATTCTTTAACATAATTATAAAATACTAACAAACAATTTTTAATGATTTTAAATACGAACAAAACAATACGTGCAACTCAACAAGTGTAAATGGAAAACAAATAAAAGTGTATAAATAATTAAATGACTAAAATTTGGGAGCAAGAAGAAGCTATAAGATATATTAATAAAATGCGTTTATTAATATATATCTTCTCCCTCCCAAATCCATTGAATGAGAAAACAGATATCGAGTTCGAAACTGGTGGTCAAAATGGCAAACAAATGACCTTAGCTGAATTCCGTCAGAAACGAAAAAGAATGATGAATACTGCTTCTGATAATATATCTTCAGCGCCTTGTCACTCTCGAATGCAGTAAGATTAAAATTTGGGAGTGAAAGAAAGCTATAAAATATATTAATAAAATACGTTTATTAATAAACGCATTTTATTAATATATCTTATAGCTTCTTCTCACTCCCAAATTTTAATCTTACTGCATTTGAGAGTGACAAGACGCTGAAGATATATTATCAGAAGCAGTATTTATCATTCTTTTTCGTTTCTGACGAAATTCAGAGGTCATTCGTTTACCATTTTGACCACCATTTTCGAACTCGATATCTGTTTTCTCATTCAATGGATTTGGGAGGAAGAAGAAACTATAAGATATATTAATAAACGCATTTTATTAATATATCTTATAGCTTCTTCTTACTCGCAAATTTTAGTCTTACTGCATTCGCAAGTGACAAGGTGCTGAAGATATATTATCAAAAGCAGTATTCATCATTCTTTTTCGTTTTTGACGAAATTCAGCTAAGGTCATTTGTTTACCATTTTGACCACCAGTTTCGAACTCGATATCTGTTTTCTCATTCAATGGATTATATATGTCTTTATCTGTGTTTCCTGTCTTTATACCTTTCTTGTTTTTCTTTCTTCTTGACTGACGTACATTTTTCTTGTTTTTCTTTGTTCTTGGTTGACGTACATCATCTTCGTTATTCTCGGATTCGCTCGATTCAGTTACCCATTTATCTAAAATTCTGTCGAAGTGTTTTCGAGTGCATTTCATTCCTGGAACTCGAATGTCTTCGAATTTCGGAGGAATATCAGGATATTTTTTAAGAAATTCCGACTCGTATTGTTTGGCTGGTTCTCGCGCAGAAGACGGTGCTAAATATTGGGACACCTCCGCGCGATTTTCTTCGACAAATTTTTCCCAAAGTAAATCGCTCGTTGCTGTGAAGTATTCCGTAGGATAAAGAAAATTTCGCATATCCAGCAGACAGTTTTTTGCGAAACGTAAACGACGATGTGCAGGATATGTATTTGATTTCTGCGTGCGACCTGAAATTGCAATAAATCAATAAATTTGCAAAATAAAGTGTGTAAACAAACAACGACATAAAACGCAAAAAAAAATAATTTAAACGATGAAAATATTAGATTGATGAAAGCCGTGCAATGAAGAAAAAATAAAACTAAAAAATTTGAGTATAATTAAATACGCGATTATTAATAAAAATTACAAATTATTTCGGCAAAAGTCTTACGCTTTATTCAAGATACGTACAAAGTATTATTTCATCTTCATCCGTGTCCTGTAGATTTTCTTTGGATACGTCCAATGATGGTATATTTATCGGTACCAACTTTTCACGTTGTTCAGTAGTTCTTTTAGAAATTAAGGGAACTCTGGATGAACCTAAAATCGGTGATAGAGCCACAGGAGATTCAAACTCGGTCGGTGCGTCTCGTATTTTTTCCGGACTTCCTGAATGTAAATCCTTGAATAATTCTATGCTAGTATTGTTGCTTTTCTTTGGGCTAGAGTCATCTAAATGTGTAAAAGCTTCATCGACTGACTCTTCCAATTCTGTTTCCCATTCCGAACTTGTTTCTTGTTGCATATAGTGTACCTTGTTTGCAATTTTAGATTTTTTCTCATCTTTCAGACTACTTTTTAATCTTTTTGTTGCTTTTCCTGTCACACAAAAATTAAATTAATTATACATACATATATGCGACTTATAAATATTGGGTTACAATAATATAAGTTATTTTAATGCAATTTGGCAATATTTATATTTTTTTAAAAGTACTTATTTTTTCTAATTTGAACAGAGATGTAAATCATATTCCCAACTATATAATTTGTTATTATACAAGCAATACACTTCTCAAAATAATTAAGAGCTCAAAAAAAATTGTCCAAAAAATAAGCAAATTTTAAATAGCTGTAACTTTGTTTTGAAAAATGAGAATTTAAATTTTAAAAAGGGTTTTAAAGTTTGAAATCTCTACTTTCAAAAGATCATAGCTTTTTCCATTTTCTTTAATTCTGATATTTTCTACACACAGAAAACGACAAATATAACGAAATGAAAAATTATTTCTCACTTTGTAGACATGTCGCATACACAAGAAGATTTGAAAAAAAATGTTGATATTTTTACGTTAAAGTCTAAAGTTTTCCCTGCAAAATCATTTTTTAAAATTTAAATTTCAATCTTTTCTTATCAAGTTATCGCAAATTGAAGCGAAAATGTCATTTTCACTTTGATCGGTCATAACTTCGTTAAAAATCATCGTATAGAAATTTTAAGAATGAATTCTTGAAGGTAAATCTTTGCTCTATAGTGTGATATAGAGACTGAATGTTTTTCAACTCGTTAACTTTTTACAAAAAGATAAAAATTAAAATTCTCATTTTTCGGAACAAAGTTACAGCTATTTAAAGTTTGCCTGACATTTAAATATTTTCAGACATATTTCAAATTGTTGGACAATTTTTTGATTCCTTTATTATTTTAAGAAATGTATTAAAATAAAATTTAATTATTTGCAAATTTAACTATTATTTTTTTATGGAATAACTATTCGACTTTTTCATATTGAACCAGAAGAACTTTATTTATTTTATTATGATAAAAATAAAACAACAATTATGCTTGCATAAGTTCTTACTTGTTCTCTGCAGAAATGATATATCTTTGAGCCTCTCTGTGCTCGAGGAAGAAGCTGTGTCAATCCTAGATAATGATGTGCTGTGATGAAACTGTGGCACGTGGTCGGTCGGCGTACTCGTGAATATACTTATGGTAGCACGTTTATAATTCTTTTGACTAGGTGTACGATTCTTTTCTGACATATTGCTAACAATAAGATGCGTAATGAACTGTTCTTTCCACGGTTACTATTATCTTTAATATTGCTTGCGATCGGATATCAAGCCAGTTTAACAATAAGTGCGAATACGAAGAGCAACCTTTCGGAACCTTCCTGAATGTTTTCCCCACTATTTGTATATATACAAACTCGTCACGCGACATCACGTGACATTTTTTCTTATAAAAAAAGATATAAATATATTGCGATTGTCGATTTTCTTAGAAAAATTCCATTATATGTATGTACATATGTACACAATCATTATGTTAATATATATATCTTACAATAATCAAATATCAATATCAATTGCTATTATATATGTATTTTTAGAAAGAGATATATGTATATATAAAAGTATAATTAATTAGTTAAAAGAGTTAAATAGAAAAATTAAAATTTAATAACTTAGCTTAGTTAATTTATAACTTAAACTAAATATTTTTAAATTTAAACTTATTAACATTTTTCGTAAGTTAAACATATCTTTTTATTTCTGAATCTTATTACTTTTTTTAAATCTTAAACATTGAACAATTAAAATTTTAATAACGATTAAAAAGAGCATTATTTTATGATGTATGTGATGTGATTGAAGTTTGGAGCGTTCTTGGAAAAAAAATTAAAAATGTATAATGTATATAAGTATGTGTCTATTTATATGTGTATACACATACATATATATATATATATATATATATATATATATATATAGAATTTAATTATTGTAACATATTAATAATATATTGCAGATGAAATTAAAAGAACCTTAGTAGAATGGAGAGCGGAATGAGAAAGAAAAAAAGGAGAAAGAAGTACAAAAGAAAAAGCCTCCTTATAGTTGGGATTGTTCGACATAAGTATTTCTCTCCAGTAATGACTAAATCCAGTAAGAACCCAGACATTAGAAAAATGGAAAGACAGAAAAAAAGGCGAAAAAGGATCTTGCAAATAACAATTCAACAAAAAATATTCTAGTTAGTATAGTTTTAATTACTACAGTTCTTTTGCACTTTAATAACATTTTCAGCATTGTTCAAATATTCTAGATTATATAAAAAAGATATTAAATTTTCTGCACAATTTTTTTCTTTATTATTGTATATAAGTAAAGATCAGTTTGATTGCGTTTTAATAGAATTATAATTAATTCATTATGAGATTCTGTCGATTCAAAAGCAACAGAATCAACAATTTCAATAAACTAAAGAAACTCCTCATTTTTCGCCATAACAGTAAATAATTTCGATTAAAAAATCAATGTTAAACAACAATAAAATCTCATATCTTTATTTAATTTAGAATATTTAAATAATGACGAAAGATGATACATTAAAAAAAAATAATAAACTGAACAATTATGATCTCGCAATTTTTTTGAAGCCTCTCTCTTTCGTTGTACAATAGATGTCAAACCTCTATTGTACAACGGAAGAGATAGGAACGAATCTGAACGCAGACAATTTTTATCGTTTTTACAGACTGCATGTGTATCATAAAGATAAACGAGATTGTAAAATGCATTACCGTATAATATATTGTTTAATTTTAGCAGACCTAATTTTGTGCATCATTATTTAATCAAATCTTCCCTCTTTCATATCTACAATTAATTGTAGACATGAAAGAGAGAAGAAGATTTGATTAAATAACGATTAAATAATAATGCACAAAATTAGGTTTGCAATTTCGCGAGATTCGAAAATTGAGAAATTGACTTATCGTATGAAGATCGAAGGAGAGGCTGTTCGTGTATATATACGATTGTGGAAATCGATTTCGATGGCGGTAAATTGAGAGATCGCGTGCTCTCGAAATCCAACTTCCATTAACGGCGCATTGTAATTTGGATGCAAGCAATAAACTTTAATTGACTGCGGCGATGCAAATTGTTAATAATTAATCGATAGCTCATCGTGAAAATTTTTAATCAGGCATGCACCTCGGCCGTTCCTTCATTTTGTCTATAAAATCGAATTATACGATTTAAATTACGCGAAAGAGCGCACGGGATATTAAATATTAAAAAATAAAGAAATTGTTCCTCTGCAATTACTTTCGTTCAAACTTTTTTCGCGAGATCTATCAAGTCGTGAAAATGTATTGTTCGGCACGATATTAATCGCTTGAAGAAAAGAGGTCTAGACGGGGATAAAAAGTTTGAATAATTTTCTCTCTCGCGTAATCATCCTCTTTCTCTCCTTTCCATTATTGTAAAAGAAAAAAAAACGTCAGGCAAGCAGCAATAATAATAATAATAATAATCGCATAAAGCACGCAGACTCGCATTTTCAGGAATATTAACCAAAGATTTACGACGATCTAGTCGTGATATGAGAAAACATCAATCACAAAAGTCTTCATATTTTTAAGCTCAAAGAAAAATATTTGTCAGAGCGCGCGTTTGATGTTTTAAAGCACCTTCTCAAAGCTTTTTACGAGCTCGAATTAGAGCGCATAATATATCGTATATCAAACACGGTCCTTAAATGTGCATTATTTCTTCTGTCATTATAATTAAACGCAGCCTTATACACGAGGCAATGTAATTCGAGCCAAAATTAGCCTATCCATATCGAATTGTTGCAATGCGATTTGTTCGAGGAAACAAATAGATTGAAAAATATTTTAAAAATGTGAAATTTTATATACATATTTGGAACGGCTTAACAATTTTGAAATTCTTTCCTTCCTGTCAAGGCTGCGCGACATAACGCGAAATATTGCAAAAAATAAAATGGAAATGTAAAACTAGCGCGCGGCTTCTCTTTAATGGGACGTAAAATCGCTTTATTTCTCGCGGTTTCGGAGTCAGAGTTTTTTGCAATTTATGCAGCGAGAAGAACGAGGAATTACGTAATGCAACAGGAAAAAGGAATGCAAAATTAAATGGCACACAGCTTCATCTCGCATCCGGAAACGTCCGACGCTACTTGCACCTCTATTACGAGAGAACGATATACCCTAAGCAGAGAGAGAATATATTATTTCTGTTCCACGTGAACTATTTCTTTAAACCCCGAAGAAAACCGCTGTAGCGAATTGTCAGAATAGAGAGAATACATGTACAATTTTACATTTAAAATGCGCAAATGTCAAATGTCGCTTCCTATTATTTATTCACAGACATTTTAGCAATTATTTTAATAAATGATTTTTTTAATTTTAGGACAATGAAAAAATAAGATTTATTTCGAAATAGAAAAAAATTGTTTGTGGTGAAAGAAAAATTTTCTTTGATAATTATGTATTTAAATCAAGTGTGTTTAAATGATTATCATGTAATAGATTTGGCTTCAAATTTTTGTCATGTAAGCTGCAATTATAATTTCTTATAATCGTGCATTGACATATCGCCATATAATTTTGTAGTTATAACAAATGTAATTAGGGTCGGATATATATTATACTACCCCTCTATTAACTTGATCGAACGAACAATAGATTAGACTGAAATGTCACCAAGATCTAATTATCGAAGGCGCTATGTCAATAGATTTTGCACGCGGCTGTTGTTTGTTCCCGGTCAAATCGCCTTCGGGACCTCGGGGAACAATGAAATTTCAAATGTCAGAGTTTACGTTGCTGTGTAGAACAGCTCGTAATAAAGCGATCGCTAAAAATAAATTAGTAAGAAAATCGAATGTATAATATACATAGCGGAAAGTAAATACGAAGCAAAAAGATATACATATATGTATAAAGGATCGAATGGCAAAAGTAAAAGTTTCAGAGAGAATTGCTTTTTTAATAGGATCTCTATTTAATTGCAAAAAATATAGTTTTTTTTAACGAAGAATCGATTTTGCGAGAACGAAAACGCTGATTTCGTATTTCGCTTTCATTTTTTACTATAACAAATATTACAGTACACTGACATGAAACGAGAGTGGTTTGATAAAATGTTGTTTGATAGAAGTATAATTTGTTTGCCTTACATAAAATCGATACGCAAAGAGAAACTTAGCATATTAATTCTCGTTCCAATTGTACCGTAATATTCAGAGACACATGTAAGAACAAGTCGTAAACTCTAAAATAATTTATACAACATGATACATCAATCTAACGCAAAATACATAATATGCGAATTTAAAAAAAAAATAAAAACTTGATGTGACTAGTAGCACTTTTTTTTATTACTTTTTATCAGTAAAATAAACTAGTATACAAACATTTTAGTTATATCTATTAAAAAGTGTACACTTTCCACTTGCCAACACAATTTTTGTTTTCTCAGTAACAGCATGCATTAAAAACTGACAGCTAATTTCAATAATTTCCTATCGGACACCCTGTATATACCTATGACGTTTAGAAAAATCTACTTTAATCTAATAAACATGAATTTTTCAGTTCGAGTCTTGGGAATCGCACGATCTGCTCGATCCACTTTGCCACGGTGAGTAGCCTCTGTTCGTGAAAGAGTGGCGCCATTAATTGCAAGGACAAAGGTAGACCTCTTCGAGAGAGCTTGATAGGCACATTAATTGCAGGCAAACCGGCCATATTGGCGGGTTGCGTACAGTGATCCTGAATTAAGCATTGCGTCTGATTGTCCAGCTGCGTAAACTCGTCGTAAGTCGGCGCCTCGGTTAACGTGGTCGGGGTCAGCAGAAGATCTATATTACCGTTCCACACAACGTCAAAGTCCTGCGCAATTAATCTACGCATCTTCATCGCCTTGACGTAATACTCCTTGTAATTCTCCGCCAGGAGAAAGTAATTCCCGACCAGTATACGACCTTTCACCACGTCGTTAAAGCCTTCCGACCTGGTTCTCTTGTACAACTCGTGAGCGGAGCCGCACTCGTCGGCCCTGTGACCGTATTCTATCCCGTCGTAACAGGCCAAGTTGCTGGCTACGTCGCATCGATTCAAAACGGAGTAACATACGATGGAGTAGTCGGTGTGCGGTAAAGACACCGGGACGATATTAGCTCCAGCTTCTTCCAGATGACGAGAGACCTCGTTCCAACACGCCTGGACCTCCTCGCTTATGCCTTGCACTCCGTATTCCTTTGGTATCCCGATCCTGAGGTTACTAACGTCTATCGTTTTAGGTAAGTTGATCGGCACGTATTCCCTTTGTACAGTGGTGGAATCTGCCGGATCAGGCCCGGCTATGGCGTTCAAAATTAATACAGTATCGTCTACTGTTCTCGCCAGAATGCCAGGCACATCCATCGAATTCAGCAACGGGATCAGGCCGTAACGTGACACTAAACCATAGGTTGGCTTTAAGCCAATTAGACCACAATAAGACGCAGGATTGCGAGTAGAACCACCAGTATCAGAGCCCAATGCTGCGTAACAAGTACCCGTGGCTACCGCAACTGCAGAACCTCCACTGCTGCCACCTGAAATTCATTAAAAACATAAAAATACACATAAGTGTTTAGTCAATAAAGGCTTGTATAAAATCGAAATTTAGTCATTAAAACAATTTTTTAAAAATTAGTCTGCATACTATTTAATAAGGTTTCGACTGTACTCAGTCTTCTTCACTACAAAGAGCAAAAATATTACATTTAATTTGCATCCAACCAATGTTTCAATATATAAAATTTAGATTACAACAATGACATTTATATTTTTGTATAAAATCAAAATTTAAAAAGTAAGAAACTTAGGTGTCAAAAATACATCAAGCAATAATAATAACAATGATATACCTGCTATGCACCACGCATCTTTGTTGCGTAGCTTCCATTCTGCGATCGACGAGCCATTCGACTCGTAAAACTGCGAGAGCACATCCGAGCCCCACAAATTCTTGGTCGGGCCGTAAAAGGAATCCACCGTGCCGGAGCCCATGGCGAACTCGTCGAGATTAGTCTTGCCGATGAGGACGGCCCCTTGCTTTCTGAGCCTCTCGTAGACCGTGGCGTCGTAACCGGGGGAGAAGTCGGCCAGCATCCGCGACGCGCAGGTCGCGGGCGCGCCCGCGACGCAGTAGTTGTCCTTGACGGCGACGGGGATGCCGTCGAGCTGTCCCAGCAGGGAGCCCAGTCGTTGCCTCGCGTCGGCATCGCTCGCTTGCTCGCCCGCGACGTCGCTCGTCACGGTGATGTAAGCGTTCAGGGGTTTGACGAGCGAGGCCAATTTGACAGATGCCTCGCAGATGTCAGACGGACGAGCCGTGCCCTCGTAGATTCGCCGACTGACCTCCCTGATCGGTGCGGATAGCAGCTTGTTTACGTTCATCGCGACCATGGACATAACCTATTAAAAACCGCCATAACCTCAAACTCGATGGAGAGAGAACAGTTTTCCTCTCCATGGGTTTCCATAGCCTGTTTAGAAAACGATATCACGATTATATTGTTATAATAAATAATGATAAGAATATTAAGAATATTAGATCGGCTCTTTTTAATATAAAACACGATATACACCTCCTTCTTCTCGGCCATAGAGCCAAACGCGATGTTATTGCGAAATTAAGTAAGAAAATTGAGGAATCTGGGCTTTATTATAATAAATCTTAATTATTTATAATAAAGCACGACTTGAGAATTGATATTCTGAATTCTGACAAACTGAGAATTATAAGATCGTTTCCTTTTTTTTTTTGTTCATATACCTTTTATATTGGATTTTGTATACAATTTCCTCTTGTTTATTTGTCTTGTATTATTACCTAGTAATTCATTAATAATTATAATTTAATAATTAATTTGTAATTAATATATAATTTATCAATTATAATTATTTTAATTTACTGATTAATTTATAATTCTCATGTATTATTCAATTTATAATTTTAATTTATTATATATTTAAATTATAATTATAATTAATTATTTAATTTATAGTAGTTTATTATCTAATAATTCACAAATAAAGTAAAGTAATTTTACTAACAAATACGCGAGACGAAACTCAGGGTCGTATTCGGAAATTCGTCTGTCAAAGTGCAGAATTCGACCAATCAGAGATCGAGAATCCTTTGTTCTGATTGGTCAGTCAAGCGCGTCGCGCTAAGAAAGTATATTTTCGAACACAATCTATATATAGATGCTGCCCTCTGGTGCACTCGCGCTCATTCATCGCCGCGAAAGTACACGAGACGAAAGTGCGGGTATTAATTAGCGTCATTACGCCGTTAATTATCGTACAAATTCGACCGCGTCGCGTATATCGACATCGTAATCGCGTAGACACACGCGAGATTCACTTCGTTGGCCGCGAGTTTCGCGTTTGACGTTTCGTTCCGCCGAAAGTCACGTGGTCCAACTCGATAGCCGCCAAAAGTTCGCGCGCGAATTTATTACATGGCGGATCGCGAGAATTGCCGCAAGTTTTCCGAGAGTTTTTCGAGGTTGTCGATCGTTTCGAAGTCGGATCGCGCGTTTCCGGAATATCGGCGACTTCCGAGTGTGTCGTTCTCGTCATTCGATGAGATATTCTCCGATATAAGTAGCCTTGAAAGTAGCGGCGACGCGGTTTTATTCGTGCGCGAGTAAGTCTTCGTGATTCTCGCGTTTTACCGAAACTGTGATATATAATTAAAACCCGGACGAAAAACGCGCGAACGGAAAAACGTAACGCGAGTGCAAAGTGTTTCGAAACTTCTGAGAGAAGGAGGAGGCCCAGGGTGGCATCGAGCAACGGCGGAACAAAAATATGGTGAGAATAATTATTAATTACTATTTATTATTTTATATTTAATTTATACCAATTTTATAAAAAAACTTTTTATAAAATTGGTATAAATTAAATATAAAATAATAAAATAATAAACATATTTAGAAAATCAATATTTAATTAAAAACTAATATCATTTTTATCGAAAAAATTAACTAATTTTTTCGATAAAAATGATATTAGTTTTTAATTAAATATTGATTTTCTAAATCTATTTAACATTTTATTTAAATAATAAAAAAACTAAATGTAAATAATAATTATATTTTTCGAAATATTAATTATTTTTAATTTTATTATTAAATTTCCGTGTTTTTATTTTACAGTTTACAACTCCACTGCTGTGCATCGTATCGGTGAGTCTCAACTTTTATTTAAATTTTGGGTAATTATTTTGTGAAAATCATGTATGAGAGAAGAGAGATATTGTGTATCGCAAACAATATATGAGATTGCAAGTCATGGAAAAAATAAAGAAATAATAATATTTATATACCGCCGGCAATGCAAAATGTTTATTTTACGGTTAACGCACCCTATTGCACAATTATATATTATACAAATTTATGTTATTTTATGTATTTTAATACGCGATCGACAATAAATAATCGACGAAGCTTCTGCGCAAGGTGAATTGAGATATCTAATTGATTTAAAAAATTAATTTTTTAATATAAAAATGATAACATTTCATTTGTAGTCGTTTGTAATAAAATAATTTTGTTTATTTGTTTTATTAATTAAAAATATAAAAAATGACCAGTACTTGACTTTAAAATATATTATAAATCATGTATAAAACTTGCGGGAGAAAAGAATTTATTCAAGTATAAAGATTGCTATATTTTCGCAGAGATAATGTCATTTGCGAAAAATGTAAACTACAAAAAAAATAATTATTGCAATTGGTTCCACGTATATATTAGAAGCATTTCATTGTCAAACTTATTTGTTGTATCAGAACATCTAGTGCGATTATTACTACAGGTCTTTTCAGGTATTACCCAACGAGATTTAAAAATAACTTTTTTGAAAGTCAGATGCTAAATTTATAGAGCTGAATGCGCAACATTTTATAGTCAAAATCAGGGTTGGGCAAGTTAATGATTTTTTTAAACTAACAATAAATTAAGTTAAAGTTAATTGATTTTAAAATTAAGTTCTAGTCAGACTTTAAGCAAAGATAGATTGTTATAGATATTAAAGCGGAACGAATACCTCAACTGTATTTGTCACTTAAAGCATTTAGCACTAGACTTTTTAAAAATTAAATTTTTAATACAGAAAATGATAGTTTGTAGTTTTATCGATTAAAAATAAAAAAAATTGTACGGTTTAGAAATTGCAAATGTTTAAAGAAATGTTCAAGGGTGAAATTTATCAGTTTTAAAGATTTTTTAAATCTGCTTTATTTAGTTTATTCAAACTCGTTTGTAATTGTTTGTAATATTTTTTTCTGCTCGATCTTCGCGATTTCTGCGTCGTTAAATATTCACTAAAATAAAAATATAGTGAAATCTAGTGTCCAATTCCTGTATAGCTTATTTTTGAATATGTCCTCGAGAATGTCATCGCATCATTGTTTGATAAGGCTCTCCGATAACTCTGGGCCTTGAAAAATTAGCGACGCGAAAACGGAGCAAAGTATTTCGAATCTTTTACGAGGACAATTCTGACGCAGAGGTTGGTCTAAAAATAATTTTTATTCTATCTATGATTATAGAAAAATAACATTACATACGTTATTACATGGAAATCATGTAAAACTTGCAGAAAAAAAATTATTCAAGTATGAAAATTGCTATATGTTTTTGCAGAAATAATTTCATGTGCGAAAAATGTCAACTGCAAAAATAATTATTACAATTGGCCCCACGTATAATTAGAAGTATACAGTTAAAATCAGGGTTGAGTATGTTAATGATTTGTTTAAACTATAAGTTAAGGTAAAGTTAATTGCTTATAAAATGAATTTAGTTAAAATAAAAGTTGCATGAACAAAAAAATTAACTCAGTCAAAGTCAAGTTAAGATTAAATTAATTGTTGAAGTTAAATCAAAATTAATGTTTAAAAACATTTATATTAAATTAGAATTTTGTTTGTTAAGTCTTTTAAAATTTATAATAACAAACAACAAAGACATTTTGATATAGAAATATTTTATATAAAAATATATTTTTTTTAATTACAATTGATGACAAATAAACATAAAAATTAATAATACTTTATTTTAAAAATAATAACTTATAAAAACTAGTTTATAACTTATAAAAAAACAATAATGGTATTCAGAGATAAAAGAAATTTAACTTAGGAAAAAAGTTAATAAGTTTAAGGTAAAAAATAATTAGTTAAAGTTAAAAATTAATACATTTTAAATTAACTAAGCTAAGTTAAAAGTTATTATCTTTTTAACTTTTTTAACTTTTAACTAATTAACTATTATTACCCAATCCTGGTCAAAATTATATCAAAACATCCGGTGCGATTATTACTGCAGCTCTTCTTCAAAATTACCCAACGAGATAAGAATAAGAGGCGATAGCTATAACTGTAGACAGAAGAAAGTTGACACATTGTTCTGATCCTCGACATCATCGACGCACCTTGTTCTCACCCTCGCGAGGAGAGAAAACGTCGCGGCATCCGCGTTGCTGACTTCGATAAACGCAGGTAGAGGGAAAAGGCAAGAGAGCAGAGCACACACAGGGTGGCCGCCGGTGGTTATACGTGCGCGAGGGTAGCCCCGTCTCTGGGACAACAGGGTTGGGCACGGGGTGGCGAGGACGCATGCGTCGAACCCGGCCGCCGGGGGCTGTCGTGTCGCTCTCTGCCGACGATTTTGCCAGTCGTCGTGACGACTTCGAGCCGTCGTCGTCGAGAGCGTCGTGTCTTTAATCCGTTCGCCCGCGCTCACGCTCGTCTCCGAGTCCCTTCCTTCCTTCTTCTTCTATCATTCTCTCGTTCTCTCAAATTCGCACCGCGTTTTGCGCGCGCGCGCGCACACGCCAGCATGACGCGGAACTCGCAGGGCGCTTTGAATCGCCGGCGAGTTCTCGCACCGTGAGTGCCGCTGGAGTTCTCGCGGATGAGTTTCTGTGCGCGATTCGCGAAGTGGTAGTTCCTCGAGCGAATAACGATATATCGAAGTGCGACTATACGTGGTTGTCCCTCTTTCTATCTTTCTCTCTCTCTCTCTTTCTTTCTCTCTGTCATCTGCGGTGCGCGAACTCGGACAGGTGCGCGAATGGCCGCGACACCCCTCTGCTATTATCGCGGTTAAAGGTGCTCCATGATTGCACTTGGAGTCACGGCGAGTGGATATGGACTTCGACACCTCGGATCGCTCGATACCACAAGTGAGTGTAATGTCCGATTGCGAGTGCAGAACTCTTTTTTTCTTTTTCGAGAAGTTTTATAGAAATCTGATGATACCTTGTTTTTTTGGGGGAAATGGGGTTTCCTAATAGCACAACATATCCAAAAGATATTCAGAGGATGTCCAGAGGATATCCACACAGAAGACATTCGAACATTCCCAGAATGTTTTCTGAACGTCTTTGGGATATGTGTGCTGTTAGGGGTTACTTGTAATGATAAATTTATTGGACGTCGTGAAAAATAGATTACGTTTCAGAATGCAGATGCGCTAATTATGAATATTAGAATTAACGGCGAAAAAAAGATGGCCGACAATGTAAAAATATCTATCTTATTATCATTAATTTTCAATACGTGCGCATATCATAATTTATTATTATTGATGCACATCTGTCGTGCAATAATTTAAAACGTAATATGATATACTTTTAAAAGTTCTATTTACATTAAATTTCATGAAATAGAAGCTGCTTACTTATATATACTTAAAGTCGGATATATGGTACGATTA